CTAGGGCTTCGCTTATGTTATTAATTTGACCATCTTTGCCCGAAATTTCAGCTTCTGCGACTACAAGCGCACCACGAACAGTATTCAGAAACACTCCACTAACGTCCGCCATGTTTCTTCAGAGAGAAGCCTGGTTGAAGTCAGCCGCTGACGCATTACTTGAGCCCGCCCCCGCATCACTTGAGCCAAACTCCAGCCAGGCCAAATTAGAGCCAAAAAATCCCCGGCGCGGTAAAGATTGACGTCTTTGTTGATAACTGATACGAGGTGTGAAACACTGCTCTTGCACGATAACGTCTGATTTTGGAGCTGAGATTGAAAAGAGTCTTGCTCTTTGGAAAATTGTACCTGAAAAAGTAAAATGAACACTGAGTAGTATTTCAAATGAGTCAAAGAGGAAGTGACTGGCCAGCATAACTTTGCGGTTTGTGTGCTGGATGTCGCAAAAAAAAAAAAAAAAGTACAGATGACACACAAAGGTTTGATTTGAGTGTTAAACTTTTGAAACAAAAAATGAAAGGTCTTTGGAAAGAGCATAATACGGCGAGGAAACTTGAGTATATCTACTATCAAGGAGCCATTCCCTGTAATTTGCTGTTTCCTCGAAATAATATACCAGTACAGAACTCACAAGAGACACACCTGGAGAGTGGAATTTTCTATCAAGCCCTACGACCACGTGATCAACTTTTTCATATCAGCCGGTATAAAGATTAACCTTGTGAAGCATATCTGATCCATACGTGTACGTTGTTTCATTCAATCTTTCGCGTTGGTAAACGTGGGTGTCATTCTTTTGAAAATCATTGGCCTTTAATACGACGAGGAAGCTTGAGTGCATTTACTCTAGTCAACAGCCATTCCTGACAATGGTTCCCGTTATTATATATTCTACAAAATATAAATAAAATACAAAGCATTTTAAAATTCTCCACTTGGGAATGGTGGCGATTGTGTTGTGGCGAAATAAAGAAGAATAAAAGCAATAAAAAAAACTGATTGAAAGCGTTGGAAATGATAAAAATCAAAATAATCATATTGAAGTCTACTTCGAAGATTGCATTGTCATGTTGTCTTGCAAATTTTCATTAATCTTATAGTTTTCATTCTCTTATTGGGCGCCGAATCTTCTTTGCTATCGTCTGATCCGCCATGACCTCAGGTCGTTACAGTTTCGCTTTTAGATACAAATTTGTCCTTATTTTCAAAGTAAAATACAATTATCCTATTTACATTTTCGAGTAGTAATAGTTGACATTGAGTGAGTGATGAGTTGATGTATTTGTCCATTTCGCCCTTTTCGGGAAGCCACTAAAAATTCTAATGAAGTGTGTACAATGGAAAACTTAAACCTTGAAATTAGGCGAGGGAAAATTGCGAGTTGCAAATGACAGTTTATTGGCGAAGTTTATAAGCGAGTTAATTTTCAACGTGTTGTTCGCTGATTTGATTTTTTTTATAGGATGTGGAAACAAACACCGAGTTTATTTGCAAAGATTTTCCCCTATTGTACAATAGAAAGGCCGAATAGAAGCGATTTTATTATGCCGTAATTTATAATGGACACCTGCCGAGGAAAGAGAAAATGCACCTGGTTTTAACGCCGCCGAGGAATCTTTTCATTGGTTTGCAATAAACTAAATTATTAGTCGCTAAAATAAAATTGACCATAGTTATCGATTGAATCTGCGGAGATAAATAATGAATTCGTTCACAGGACTGCAGTAGAGTGATTTGCAATCATCTGCCTTGGTGCCGAGGTTTGTGTTTCAAGCGAGGGAGCTGTTTTGCCGGTTTCAGATCAAAGTTCACCCGCTCTTTTGGTTTCAACCCAATACAAATTAAACTCGACGTTTCGAAGCGCCCTTGTTGTGTCTCGCAAAGAAGAATTCACCATGTCGTTCGCGGGCTTCAAGAAACAAATTAACAAGGCGAACCAGTTCGTGAGCGAGAAGATGGGTTCGGCCGAAGGAACCAAGATGGAGGATGAATTCGTCGAACTAGAGCGAAAAACAGACGTAATGACAAATTTAGTGACGCAGTTACTCGGCAAAACCAAAGAGTATCTTCAACCTAATCCTGCTGTACGCGCCAAGATCTACATGCACATGGCTGCACAAGGAGCCAAGTATCCTCAACCCGAAGGAGCTCTTGGGGATATCATGCTGAAAAGCGGCCATGACTTAGATCCTCAAGTCTCTGATTACGCTTCTGCTCTACTCGACGTCGGCAGCGCTCTGATCGAAGTCGCCGACGCCCGAGATGTCATGGATGCACAAGTGCATGAGAATTTCCTCATGCCGCTGCATGAGTTAGACGAAAAACAGCTGAAAGAAATCGCACAGCATCGAAAGAAGCTTCAAGGACGCAGGCTCGATTTTGACTGCAAGAAACGAAAGGGGAATAAGATCTCTGTGGAAGAAGTGAAAATGGCACAATACAAATTTGAAGAATCTAAGACGATTTGCCAAGAGCAGATGACGGTACTTATGGGGAACGAAGTGGAACGAATACATCAACTCAGCCAACTTATCTGTGCCATGCTGGAGCACCACAAGAAATCAGCCGACACCCTCGAGCGATTGTTACTCTTACTGAATAAAAGAGTACAAGCGTCAAGTCGAAACGGTAACGCCGCCGTGAAGCCCAATCCCGCAGAAGTCTTAGCGGACCAGGGAAAGTCGGAAGCTTCCGCCAAAGGCACGAATCCTTTGGCCGGAGAATCGGATTCCGCCGAGAAGCCGAAGGAGGAGCAAACAGCGAGTAACAAACCAAGCTGTCGGGCAAAATGCGATTACAAGGCTGAAAAAGATGGCGAACTGTCGTTTTCAGATGGCCAAATCATCATGCTGTCCGAAAAACTCAACGAAAATTGGTATGAAGGAATTTTGGATGGAAAGCTCGGTCGTGTCCCTGTTAAACATGTCGAGATCTTGGTGGATTTACCATAAAAGTATTTTCGAAGGCTGCAACCAATTGACGCCCTCGAACAGATTGAAACTAAAAGGTTTCTGAACCAGTTACCTACATTAATTAAAATTCTGTTAACGTGTGGATTTAAGATAGAGCAGGATACGAAATGAATTTTTTGTTTCATTGTACTAGTTTATTTTCAGCGTTGTTTCTTTTCTATAATTGTTTTCACAACAAAGGAGACAACGATTTACGCGAGGAATCAAAATACAGCGATGTATCTGTTTTAAGTAAGATTGTAGGCATTACGAATTTTTCAAATTAGAGATAAGATTTTCTATTTAAAAAATACTGTTTAGATCTTTTTGGGTAAGAATTTCTCTGTAGGAGATTACTGAAATATTATCATAACAGAGCTGCCATCACAGTTCATTTCCGCCAATATTGAATCGCATTCAGTCAGAAAAACATTGTTTTCGATTTTACAAATTACATTGTATCTCAAGCGCTGTGGCCCTTGAGGAAATGTTTTGCTTTACTCTAGTAAAATTACATTGTTCGAATTTAGGGAAAATAAAATATATATTGTTTTCATTCAGAAATGTTTTAAACTTCTAATGGGAAGCTGGATGAAGCGTTTTCAGCGGCTTTTGTTGATTCAGTTTGCATACAGATGGACCTAGGAAATATGCTAACCCAGTTATGACATTGTATCTTTGATTTTATTTTTATGGCGCAACTTTCGCCATATGTAAAGAGACATCTGCTAATGTACAGTCAAGTGCTACCTTGGCAAAGACAGCGAGAGTTTTCCATAAAGATGGGTATTTATTTCGAATACTGTCACAGGATTAAATCATATTTCACGGCCGAATTGAGCTCATTTACAGCTGCCTCTCTTCCGTCTACGATTAGCCTCATCTTAGCTATTCACAGATTACCTAAGGTGAACATGTTGTAGACAAAGGACTTCATTCACTTTTTTGTTTCTTTACAGATCGTGAAACGTTGCTCGAGGAATTATTTTTGACGAAAATTATTCATATCCGTGCCCATTTGAACATTTCAAGTAATTTCCATAAACATAAATCATCAAACTTTCCAAGGATTTCGAGTGTTTGTGATGATCAATTAGCCGCGACGGCTCGAATTAAGTGTACTGAAAATGACTGGTACCAAAGACGCCACAATCCGAGTCAGGAAATTTCAAGAGTTATAAAAAAAATCCATAACTCAGTGAATCCGTGATTTACGATGTAAACCTTGAATAATCGGGCTTTTTTAACTGGTCGTTAAATATGCTGTCTACTCTGAGATTTTTTTAGTCCTGAATATTTATTTGATAATTTATTTCCTGAGAATTAATTCTGTCTTAATCTGATAAGGTCTTGACAAGGGAAAAATTTTAGACTCGAACCAGGAAAACTGGATCGAGTACATGAAGTGGAGGAGAAGGGTAATGGGAACGAGTCTCCAAATAGGGAAAGGAGTTTGGATGAGTCAGTTGTAAAGCCTTGAGTTAACACTGACTGGAAAAAATTTTCATCACCCAATTCTTTTTGAAGAGCCTCCGTATTACGCAGGAAAAGTACTTTTTGCTGTTTCAACAGATCGACACGATCGGAGCCAGGTTGTCAACGGGCACCAAGAGAGTGTAAAACGTTCATATTCTCTCTCAGCTCAACCAGCTAATTCGTGCCCGCACTGATGGTCTTCGTCGTGCCATATTAATTCATTTTTAGGGAATATACTCGGATAGATGTAACAAAAAAAACATACGCTTCTTGCAGTACTCATACATTACATTTATTGCATCATTGTTATGCATCAGACAGAACATATTTATCTTACATAGATATATATATATTTTTTACAAAAATTGCACTTTCCTGTATTATATGACACTTTCCTTCTGTAAGACATTAAAAGGCCCTTCTAAGTTTGGAGTTACAGGACAGCTTGTTGTCTTATTTGTTAAATAACACAGATATCCAAACCTCCGTTACAGCTTTAACCTTATGAATCCAAAAAGTTTGGCTCAATCAGAGAAATTAACTAAAGCAATCTTCCTACATGATCTTGTACAACCACATAAGCAAGGGTAACACAAGTGTAACAGTAGCCCTTGCCTTAGATGTGAATTTCTCAAATTTATTTGGTGATCAAGTTATAATCCCTTACTCTGAAGAAAACGGCCGATGGTGTGATTGTATTATTGTTTCCAATCTTATTTAAGAATATCACGCAATAATTGCCAGGAAATTTAAATGCGCGTTATGTGACCAACTTTTTTGGTAGTAGAACTAGCAGAAGGTTTGTTTTGCTTTTTTCCGGAAATTAAAGGTGAAAATCGAGGAGAGTGCGAGGAAAGAAGCATGCGCGAGGGAAAGAACTATTCCTCTTGCGCGTAAGGCCCTCACGCGTGAGGCCCCTCACGCCCACCTCGCACACACCTCGTTCTCGCCTTAACTCATTACTGGCAACTCATTCACAACGCATAAAAATGTTATGTCCTTTGTAAGACAAAAAACTTGACTAATACCGTGATAACGTGGCTGATGTCTATGATATGCACTAAGACTTAGCTGATTAAAAAATACAACTCTCTTACTTAGAGAGCAAATAGTAGTGCCTGATTTTAAAAACCGAGGGGACTTATGAGCACTCAAGACCATTAGTATAAGGTATACTTAGCTGAAAGTATGGCCTCATTTTTTTACATTCTTGACATCTTTGGCAAAAAAATCTTCATCTGTTGAGTAGAAGAAATTCACATCAATTATTTTTCAGGGGTCCCTGGTAAGTGGGCTGATTAATTAATTAAGAGAGACACCTGAAAAAAGGAAAACTTTATATCATACTTGAATGTTGGAAGAAACAGTCTTAGAACATGGAGGAGCAGTAAGAAACAGCAAAACTAATTAATTCTTTAGAAGAAAATAAAATCAAGAAGATCAGTTCCAGTGCATAATGTGGTGTTACAAGCATTCTAAAAAATCAGAATCACACTGAAAGAAGTGGAAAGAGTGAAGGTGACATAATTCCTTTAGGAGGTTTTAGAGAGAGAGAGAGAGAGAGAAGGAATAAAAAATTTAGACTCACAAAAATTTGATTTTTCACACAGTGGTTTAGTATGTGCTTAGTGGGACAAGTAGTTATCAGTTAATATGAGATTTTACTTTTCCATCTAATGAAAAATGATTAAATTAAACATAAAGTGCAGTTTTACCAGTGCCCAGGTGAAAATGATTTGAAATTTTGTCCTACAAACCTCACTGGCCAGAAACCCAGCTAGGTAGAGGAACTGGGCAAAAGCTAAGCACGTCGTGACTGAGTTGGCTTGACCACATTCAAACCTGAGGTAATTTATATTACTTGTAAGCAACAATTTTGAATTTTACTCTCCAATAAGTCATGCAAACTTTGGGAAATCAGTCAAGAAATGGAGTAACGGATAGTTGACAAGAATCAATGCTATGTAGCAGGGGATCACTCACTCAACGGTTCAGATCTTGGTTCTCTGAGATAAGGCATATACATCGTAATTTTTTCAGTCTCTTCTCTAAAGAAGTATACTGGTAACCATATGGTGGCATCCTGTACAAAAGGATGGCCGGTGATGGACAAGCATTTTGATCAAAGGAATATTTCAACAGTCCAGGTTATTTCTTCAACATTTTTTGTGGTAAAACTCACAGTTATTTCTATTCATAACCATGCACATACACCAGTTGTATGGCTGCATTAATTTAACCCCCCCCCTTTCTTCAGTATTTCCATTATAATTACTCTTTGGTTTATTTTTCTCTCCTTTGCAGACACCAAAACCTTTACTGTCAAATCAAGATGAAAGTAAGAATGATGAAAGCATCCTTTTAATACCAACTAGTCATTTACCTGTTTCTTCCAGTTTGCTTAACATGGGTTTTAAAAGCTCCTCTAATTCTTGTTTCTGTTTGTAGATCTCTTCAACTGTCGCATGTTCTTTGTGGGATTCTAACCAGTCATTCTTCTCATCACAGAAACGGTTACCACTCAGCTACATGTGTTCAAGCACAAGTTGAGAAATAAGAGCTTGGTCACCAGTGGCTTCTGTAACTTTTTTCATAAGGGGTCTGTCAGTGAGGGTAGAAGAGAGTGCTATGGCCAGGAAATTGGCCATAATTTGAAGTGTAAAAAATAAAATCTTTTTTCAAATGGAAGTAAAAAGCCTTGTTAGATCATATGAGTGGTGATAAACCCCTAATAATCAAATCAATCCTGACTAGCTGCCCAGCTGTGACTACCATCATAATGATTTGATTCACTTCCACGAATGCTTATTTACTTCTGTTACCTCAATGGAGGGCACTTATTCGAAACAGGGTGCTTAGTTCTTTTTTGAGAAACAGCAGAATGTGAAACAAAGCTTTGATGTTCATTTGACTGAGGATCAAAAACAGAAGAAAACGGACTTGATGTCCCTGGATCCTTCCTTGCTAGAATGACCAGCCAAGCCATCATCACAACATAATAGTTGAGAGATTGAGTAATTAAAGGAAGATGGACCACAGTTGATTTCCATGTACATCATACTGACTAACAGTGCTATTACTGAAACAGAATAGGGGCACGTATTGGTATAGTAGTGCTTATTGGAATGTCAAGGTGCTTATGCAATAGGCTGCAGTGCTTACTAGAATAGGGCGCTGATTAAAACAAAAGACAAATTCAAGGGGGGCACTTATTAGAGAGGGAGCACTTATTGGAGGGAGGGCACTAAATCAAATCATTACTGTAATGGTGAGTCCTAATTACTGTCTTGTAAACCTACCATTTTTTACCCTCCATATGTTGATATCTCATTTAGGTGAGTTCTCTTTATTCTCCAAAGTGTTTCTATACTTTTGGCTTTGTCCTCAGTATAATTCAATAGAGATGAACAGTATGTGTAAAATTGATGATAGACAAACCTTGTCCTCACGTGTGAATCGACCCATGTGCTTCTCTGGATCAGATATTGTATCCTTGGTTGCAGTTATAACAGATAAGAGGGCTTTTTGAGCTTCTGTAAAACAGATAAAACACATTCATTTTGAAATCTCCTACATGTAGTTGGACAAGTAGTATGTTCAAAGAATTCTTTATCTTTTTTTCTTTTAGAGGGAAGTCTTGTAAGAACTTAATATCAAACTTGTGCCATCAGTTACCAATATCTGTAACAGATATAAGACAGAAAATAAGCCAAAAAAAAAAACCAGAAGTGGTGTTCATTACAAACAGTTAGGATAAAAAGTCAGGTTATAACCTTTTCAACTATTTGACAAAATAGGAACCACTTAGCAGAACCCTTTTCAATTGAGTGTCACAAAACCACAACTAAAGAAAATTTCAATCAACAGCCAATCAGAAAAGAGATGAACATGGCAGGCAGGTAAATTGAGAACCCGTAGTAAATCACACTGTAAGTGAAACTTGGCTGAGGTACAAGAAAATGAATGCAACCAAGTGAAGAAAGTTTTCCTGACCAATTACTAAGAGTAATATTAAGCAAAACCAATGCATTTCAGCTTTACTTCCAACACTCAATTGAAAGTTACACAATCATTGTGTGTCAATACCTGCTCTATCTAGATAGTCTACGCAAGAGTCTTTCTGATAACGGGCAGCAGCTTCTCTGGCCCTTTCACCATGAGCATTTCGTAACTGTAGATCAGCTCCATTTGCAACCAGAACTCTCAGACACTCAGGGTGTCCCCAAGATGCTGCTCTGTGCAAGGCTGTATAACCTAAAACATTAACCTCATTAGTGAGAGGTTTCCTTTGAGAAACAACAGTTAGGCTTATGGTGGAAAGTACAAGAGAATGTTCTCTTTGTTGGAAAGTTGTGCTGTTTAATCCTCCCAGTTTCACTCAAAACAAATATATATATTCTAAAAAAGATGTTGACCTCCTCTTTCCCCAGCCTCTTGTCAGGTTCTGACAACTTAATAGCAGCCTGACACTTTTCTAACTGATAGACTTTGTTTTGTTCAGTTGTAACCCATTAATAACACTCGTTTTGTGATCTCGGGTTCACCAGACACGACTAGTCTAGACACGTTTTTCATCCGTGCTTCCTTGTAATTCCTCAGCAACACTTTACATTGGATGATTAAGACTAACCCGAAGACCGCATATTAATTTTTCTGTTACAACACCAACATTGGACAAATAAAGGTTCTTCAATAGTGTAGTAAACGATAAACTTAACCATCAATTCTCACATCACTTTTTCAATAAATTGAATAAGAACTCTCTAACAAGCTTTCGTGCTTCACCTTTCTTGGTCTGACTATTGATTTCTGCTCCGCGTTCCACAAGTTCTCGAACGAGTTCTTTGCGTCCTAACATAGCTGCAATGTCCAATGCTGATTTGCCATCTTTATCTCTTTTATTTAAAGCCTGCGCCGGATCTGTAGCGTATACACTCTCCGGGTCATCAAAAAGCTCCCGAAGTCTGTCAACATCTCCCTTAGCCGCGATTTCAAACAATTCCTTGCCCATTCTTACGCTTAGCTCTTACTACTGACAATTTTTGTTTACTGATCAACAGTCTCAGAAACATACCGCTGACCACCAACAACTGTGTTCAGTTTCAAGGAGGAGCATTACTGATCATTGTTTCAGGAATAAGTCAACGTTTGCAATGTTATCTCGCCAGTTTTTTTGGTATTGCAGCAAGAACGACGCCCCTATCAAAGTCCCTCGTTTAAACATAATTTCTGACTCCTAATCGTTTAAAAACGCACAGTCTGGTAATTTGCATTGCGAGTGATCAAGCGTTCCCTTTGATATTGCAGTGATGTGGATCTCTAATTTTGCGAAATCCAGTTCACTTCAAAGCGACCTTCCTCCCAAATCGAAAAATGTCTTCTGAAACATTTTTTCCAAAATTTTTCGCGATACGGTAAGGAAACGGTAACTAAAATTAAAAAATAAAAATAAAAAAACAAACCGAACAAACAAAAATACTATCAGCGTCCATCCTCAACGGTCGTTTAACGGCCAATGTAAGTCACCTTTATTTACAAAATCAGAAAAGTTCACATTTCAAATATATTGATCTAGAAGGTTAAACAGTTCTTTTCTTCTCTTACTTAAAACAATTCGGTTCCATTTTTCCGTTTGCCTATTCAGAAATAAATCACAGAATACGTCCATGTTTGTTAACATCAGTGACAGAAAATCTATTGGTAACCTTGTTCTCAGGGTCCTTTATGTTCCAGGGAACGAAGTCGGCTCACGAGCTACTTTTGACACTATCTGTTATCCATCACGTACGCTCCTTACAAAAGTAACATGGCGAAACACATTGTTCTATTTTCCCTCACCATCACCTCATGCGCAAAAATTGCAAATCTTCTCACTTTTCAAATATCTTCACATCATCGTCGCACTTTCGTCGCCTTATTTTCTCGCAGCCAAGCCTCAGCAGAAAAAAAGTTAACAAATAACGAAAAACATGCTAAGTCCTCGGATGAAATGGCTAAAACTGTGAAGATAGAAAAACCGGCTGACATTCGCGAAGAAATCAACCAGCAAACAACAACTTCTAAATCATAAACACTTTGGTGCGATTTTCAATAGAGGTTTCACCAGTAACAAAAACTTGTGGGTTGAATAGCCCAATTTGTCTCAATTAGACAATGCTAATTTTTTCAAGTTGTCTAAAGTCTCGCGATTTCTGTGTTGTTCATGAGTCTTTCGATGTCTTCAATCTCCTTTGGGCATTCTGCCGTAAGAACTTCAGGTCCTTTCTCAGTGATCAATACATCGTCCTCGATTCTTATTCCTATCCCTCGGTACCTGAGAATAAAAGAAATCATAGCATCAGACATGGCCCGTTCAACAAGGGTTAGCTGAGAGAAAATAAACCACGACTCCTTTTGTGTTCGACCTCTACCAATCAAAGTCATTCATAAGAATAAGAACATTTCAAACCTTTCTGGTACGTTAGTGTTATCCGCAGAGATGTAAATCCCAGGCTCAATTGTTATCACCATACCCGGATGTAGTCCCAAGCCTCTGCTCACCATGTGCGTGTCGTGGGTGTCCATACCTAGATAGTGGCCCACGTGATGAGGGCAGAATTCAGCGGTAACCTAGAACCAATGGAAGACACACTTAAAATAATTGGTGATGTTAACTCTACTGATACAAATAGATAGAGTTGTAGTCTCCTTGGCGGTCATCTCTTGGTATGTCACGTAAAATGAAATCCCAAAGACATCTCTAGCTCTATGACAAGTTATCTGTAGCTCAATGGAAGAGCAACACACTGCGAAATCGGAAGATCAATGATTGAATCCTCACGGGGTACTCGGTCATTTTCTCAGACTAACACTGATGTGTCATAAATCTTACACAAGTGACGAATTGTATTCGTTTTGTTGCGAACGGAGAAATGGAATTTTGCAGTCCGATACTCTACCACCGAACCGCACAGAACTCGTTGACAAACTACGCCTTACACCTAACTCTTGTCACCCCAATATTAGTATACATCTTCTTTATACTGATTTGAATTTGTTTAACAATCGAGAGCTTCTTTAGTTGGTGATAATTTCCTTTATTCTCGTAACCTTAATGCGTGATTCAGGGGTCTTGTTGTAAGGAGAACTTAGATGCTGGTCACTCTTAGTGATCAGAGGGCTAATAGACTGGCAGTAAACAAAATTAAAGTTCTTCTTGTAACTGTTTGTTGGCATTAAGAGGGGTTCATAACGAACTGTTAGTTTGCGTCAATACCTTTTTGAGTTGACTTTCGGTCAAGTTCTTCGGAATCATATTGAGACCTGACGATAAAAGGAACGTAATTCAACACCAGGTAAATTGGCTTACCAGCGTGTAAGTATTTAATATAATTTGGTTTTATCAACAGAGTTGATAACGTAAATTGGCCACTGTAAAGAGTTTCAAAGCTGACTTTTCAAGCAATAGCCCTTTGTTATTTCATTCTGACTAAGGGCTAACACTTGAGATGTCAGCTTTAAAAATCTTTATGGTGGCCAATTTACATTATCAACTCTGTTGATAAAACCAAATTGTCTTGTTATACTTCTCCACCGACGCAGTACCACAGTTTCTTTAAAAACCTTAGCCCCCTTATTCTTTTGTGAGTATAAAAGTTTGCTGAGTTCAAAACAAGTCTGGGATAGAGAGTTTGCCTCTCCACACGAGTTAAACGAAAATTAAATTAGTTTGCAACTCTCAGATTTTCTTGCTCAAGGAACCGGTTACAACTTTACCTACCCAGTTAGTAAAAGTTTTCAGTTACAGTTTGGAAACATTGCATGTACAAGTTTCTTACGAACATGTCTTTTGACGGCATGAAAGCTGTAAATACTATCATCGGTCGAGTAAGTGGCCCCAACATAGACAATTACTTGAAGCAGTTTTAAATCGCTTGTTACCGTAAGTCTTAAACAAAATACCGAACTGGCCACTCTCTATGGTCGCTACTTGGTCACGCATACATTCCCCAGCACTTTTGAAACCGGTTGTTTTCCTTTCCGTTTTTGTTTCTAAATTGCTGTTGGCATCTGCAATTGTTTCCATTGCATTCACTTTGGAAACTTAAAAGTACACATAAAAATTTCGCTTACCTATGAGTTCCTCTCCAAGCAGTAGCAACATGGCATGATGAAGATAGTCAAGAGAAACCGTCTTTTGACAAAGCTAAGAACAAGAATGTCAAAACAAGCACCTTAATTTGACAAAGTTACTCACGTCAAGTTTTTAGTATATCAGCAGTATCAGGTCAGGAAAGGCCTCCACTCACTTGTAAGCATTTCTTGTGCACTCTAAGTACCACTTCATAGAGTTCCCTCTGTGGCTCACTAAAATTACCGCTGACTGGCCAAGTCCTGGTGATATCGCTGGCGTAACCATGGTACTCGCTTCCCGCGTCCATAAGGACCAGCTCTCCGTTTCTGCGGTAAAATCAAAGGTACATCTGTTATGATTACACGCGCCTTAACACGACTGGCTGTAACCACTTTTGACCTTGGCTAAATATTATCCCACCTTGGCCATGTTTTTCCTGCCCTTGGTGATGATTGCATATGTTTCCAGTCATGCATTGTTTGCATAATTCTTTGCTATTTAAGTTCGGCAGATATTTTTTTTAACGCCCTTGATGCCGGTTGCAGTATTCCCAAGTCAACCCCTAGTAGTATTACTCGCATCTGTGTAGATTCATATAGACTTTTCCTGGGCTTAGAACTTGTAGACTTACTTGCCGCATGTTACATCATATCTCACCTTAGAACTTGTGTGTTGTTAATGTAGTGAAGGGTGTTGGCCATTGGACCACTGGCCACTACAGGGGGGTATGCCAGCCGCTCAGCCCCTCCCATACGACACTCATACTCAAGGATGGTATGTAGATGAGATTCCTCCAGCCCTGGACGGGTGCTTTTCATCACCTTAAAAAAATAGATCAATGGAAACCACAGCAGTGAAAAGAATTGATGCACCATATTAACAACCTAACTTTCTGGGAATTATGACATGGAGGTATTTATATCAATTGAAATGAAATATATCAAAATGAAACTAGAGGAGGAATTCTAGCAGAAATATTTGATCTGCAATGTTTCTCCTAATTCATGGTGTGACATGATATTTTCCATTATAATTTTTAAACTGCTTGCTTACTGGTCAATTGATCTCAATACTTTCGTTACATTTAAGCAAAACTCTTGAGCTGACAGATGGTAATTATCTTACCTTTGTAATGGCTTGAGCTGTTAGTGAGGCTGATTGTCTTAGAAGTTTAATTTCTGCTTCAGATTTTATCAGTCTCAGCATATGAACATTGTGACCCAGAGTTAACAAGTCTAGAAAAAGAAATACATTTTTGGGAGTTAGTTTCTCTGATTTCAATGCCTGAGGTTAAAAGTAATAACAAAATAAATACAAAGACAGATAAACATATCAATCAATTGATGAATAAATGAAAAAATATTTTAAAATAAAAAAAATTTTGCTCTCTTTTAGGGCTGTTTCAAATAAACAACACAAATATGCAAGTAGCATGCGACAATGTCTTAACATTAAAATTGCCTGTGGCTTCTACTGCATGTGATATGCATTCTGTATGTCCTCATGTTTTCATTTGTATCATGCTCCTATGTCTTCATGTACTAACTTTTTTTAAGGACAAGTGTGATTGAGAGGTATTGGAAGGAATGAAAATGAAGCAGGAAAAATTAACAATTTCTTTCATGAATTTTAAGTTATTTTTGTCATACCATCTTGACTAAAGCTGCAGTTAGTGCCAAACAAGAAAAATCAGGATGTTTTTAAATTGCATTACATGCATAATTACTTGCAATGAAATCAAATGCAGTACTCATGTGCAGGGTTACCAAAGAATGCTTCACTTCCAGACAGGTGCTAAAACATGAGGTATATAAGAAATAGTATACCCTTCTGAGTATAGTTGTTGATAGTTTAAAGGGGAAAAGGGGCAGCAGAGGGACTCATAGGGGACTAATAGTAATGGTTGTGCTTACTTTTATAACTGAACTTCTCTGAGCGGAACAGAACCTTGGAAATTTCTTCATGGATCATGGGGTGAGTAGGGCGTAAGGAATCATACCACACACTGAAGTCCTTTCCAGCATACCTGGTATGAATTTTTAAAGTCTTGATTAAATGGGATGTAATGTACCAGGCCAAATTCTTGTGGACTATCTCCCAATGACTATTATGTGGATGTCACCTACATGTATGTGGATATGACACTGAACATGGGTTTCAATAACTTTATCCATAAGCACCTGCTGATGGTGTACTGGGTAGCTGTGGCCAGAAAGGGGTGTGAAAGGTGAAACACACAAGCTTGTTAACATGCTAAACAAACAATGGCAATAAGAGGTCTTGCAGGTGGCAGCAGATGGCCAGTAACTGGCTTTTATTGAAACCCTGACATTACAACAAATTATCATTACTTCGTGTTGGCAGGCTTCCAATAAAAATGTATGGCTTGCACTACTTCTTTTTTAACACTAGGTATGGACACTATAAACCAGTTTTTAACACCTACCTGTCAATAAGAACAGGAGCTAGATTTTTGATAGAGTATGACTGGAAAATAGAGGAAAAATTGACAATAAGAATTTTAGAACAGCAAGACACTATCACAAGAGTCACAATTCCTGTAAAATCAACTGAATGTAACAAGCTTTCAAACTTGCCTCATCAAATCCAAAAAACAGAATAGCATCCTTTGTTCCAGGCCTCTTACCTTCCCACAACTCCCTAACAAGAAAACAAACAGCCTCAACAGAGGTGTAATACCATAGCAAGAGACGAGTAAGCAATGCATAGCCCAACCCCTTCCTGCCCTTATTATTAGACCATAACTGAGGCCTACAGAGCTGAGATGCAAAGATACTTTTTCATCAAAATAACCGTGACTTGTGGAAACACATAATTGGGATTTTGGGAGAATGCTTGAAAAGTTTGTAAACCACTCACCTCAAGCTTGTGATTTACAAACTTTTTTCATGTTCTCCTGACATCCAGTGTGGATTATCACACTGGTAAACTGATGGAAAGTGTGGTCTATTGCTTAAATTTGCAACTTAATTGCTGTTGGTAAGCCAAACTACTAAGTGACATGTATAAATCAATATTCCAAATAACTTTTTTTAAGACCTTTATTTCAACTTTCTTAGCAGGAGTATGCCCTCTGACCCCCTAGGATTGTCCACCATTTGGTAGACATTTATCCAAACTCCCCTTCACCAAATTCTGGATCCACCCTGGGGCCTGTTGAATCCAAAAAGTATTGTAATGAGTAATTACCTTTTGGGGTCTGGAGGTTGAATGAACAAGGTACTCTTATGTGCAGGCAGTGACTGACCCTCCAAGGTTTCTGTACAATGAAAAACTGTTTAATCTTCATCAAACTTTGATCAAAGATGGCATAATCCTTGGAAGTATCTTCCTTCCACTCAAAGTTTGGGCAACAACTTACGTAATACTAAAACAGCATCAGGTTCTTGAAAACCAGTTAAGTAAAGAAAGTCTGTGTTCTGTCTAAATGGATATCTAAAAAAAGCATAACAATAATATAAGCAGGTAAAATTTTCAGATCAGAGCACTTTTTAAATCAGGGTGACATCGTCCACAAGCTATTGATTAAAACAATTCACATGACTGTATAGTATAGCATACACTTATTTCCCTTTCCATAGTTTCAGGTTTTGTTTACAAGATTTACGTTTGTATTGTGTTTTAACATAAAATTCTTTGTCAACAAAGGTCAACACAGGCTGAAATAAACTAGATAGGACTCATCATAATCATTTTGAGCTTAAATTTATTCCATACTACAATTAAACTTCCTTAACACATTTCAAATGTTTTAAATATTGTACAAACTAACTCTCACAACTTGATATAAACTTGGAAGGTAAACTTACGGTACATCTATGGTCATATGTTTCGTTGGGTTGCTTGGAATAACCACCAAATGCTTATCATGAGTTTCACCAAAATGTGTCTTGGAGAGTACACTTTAGATTGAAAGATGACGTATAAAATTAAATAATTTTTGCAAATACATTATACCTTAAGATCAAGTCTACCCATGCCTCTGACAAATTATGAAACAGATCAGTTGTAGTTCATCAAGAAGTAGTAGTTGAATTCCATTTAATCACATAATCATACAAATACTTCAGCTTAATTAACACCATGATTCAACACACATAATATGTGACTCAAACAGTCCATTTCATCTACATTGTAGAGAAGTAGAAAGGAAAAATCCTTTTCTTCCAGACAAATGATATCAGCAACAAAATGAAACAACCACCACTGTTTGAAGAGTATATCTCAAATCAAGTGAGCCTTTTGTTTCACTTGGGATGTTAAAAAATGGGGTTTAGCTGTTTGAAAATTTGTAAAGTGAGAGACACCTGTTTGGTTACAAGCAAAGAAAACCTTTATTTTAGCCTGCAAATGTGCCACAATGATTGACAAAGTGATTTTAATAAAAGAATTGACAGACAATAAATGAATAACAAGAACCTTAGAAGTTTGTGTCTTCTGTCTCTGTATTCCTTCTTGGTAATTCCAGGGGTGACTAAAAATAAACATACGCACACTTACTATCAAACTAGGAAAATCATGAACATAATTATGCAATATCTTTGGGTTACTTACTGTGTCATGACCAATCATACTACAGATCATGGCACACAAAAAAACTTAAAGAAAAACATAAACTCATCAATTAATATCATTGTAGATTGATTGGTTGGTTTTTCACCAACACCATGAGAGGCCAGAAACACACCTGTCCAGTGTTCAAGGTTTTCTGAGTTTCATGTTTCACATTCTGTAAAGTTCAGATTATTCTTTGCATGAGTGATTCAAAAAAATTATTCATGGTCTTTTCTTAAAACCTTAATTATAATGAATTGATATTTTACCATCAGCCATAGTTAATTCTTAAATAAAACTCACAATTGAGGCTGTAGATTAAGCTTTTGCATTCAAAAACTATTAATATTGGTTTAAAATTTAATTTTTGAGGCTTCTCAAAACTGGATTGGTAAAAAAGAGGAAATTTTATAAAGTTGAAATATGACAAAATAGAAATAATGCAAGAAAATAAAAATACTTGAGAGATTAATTGCAAGCAGCAGTAGATTGACAGAAAATCATTTTCTCCCTTTAACCTCTTAAATTGCATGTTGCAAATCACAAGCACATAGAGATTTACATAGGCCTAGATTTTCAATTCACATCACATTTTGGTTTACTGGCTCACTGAAAAATAACATTAAATTGATAGGTTTTCAAACAAGTACCAAAAGTGTCATCGGCCACTCCTCTTCTTGGTCGTCTTGGAGTTGGATATAATTCAGGAGCTGATGGACTTGACAATTTCATCATCAAATTTTCCTCATTCTCTGTTGCATAACCAGCATATGCTAAAATGACTGGCTCTTCTAAATCAAGAGTTTCACTGACAATTGAGCTTCTCTTTGACCCTATAATCTCATCGAGCACAGGGAAGTGTGACATGGCCAAAAAAATAGCAAATAAAGTGCAGAAAAAAATTGCCAAAGATATGATCCGTCGGAGAGTAAAATTCCACATGGTGACAGAAGTATATGGCTAGCAAAGTAGTAATGACCAAGTGTCTTTTAAGTCACATCTAAAATAAAAAATCTGAAACAATAATCCACTATCCAAATAAGCATAAATGCAGCTCCTTTCCATTTCAGATGCTAGTCCAAAAAGACCCAAAAATTTGGAGTTCACTTTACATTTTTAGAGTAGTTCTTCAATCCATGTGCTTTGTGAGAAAGATAAAAATAACCATTCCCACAATCCCTTGCTCTATTGTTTCTTCAATTTTGTAATAATATGTTGGCAGGTATTACCTGCAACAGTGACAAACAACAAGTTTGGAAAATCTCTTAATCTGCTATCCCTCTCATAAATATTAAAAAACCTGCTAACAAACACCAGTTACTTCAAAAAGGTTCATATTCTTAGAAAAAAAGTCTTGTTATCACTATTACTAATTTTGGTTAAAAGCATCCTTTTCCCTCTCAATCAGTGATTGAAAAGAAGAATCCAGTAGAACAATGGATAAGATTAAAAAAAATTAATATTTGTAAATCACATTCTGTGATAAATATAAAGGTACAACTTTTACAGCTGGTATTGATAAAGCAAGATTTTAAGGTATGATTTCAAATTAGTATAATTTGTGACAAAAATTTACTTTAAATGCAAGAAGAGTCATTAAAATTGTAAACTGTGACAAGATCACTCCAAATTGGGTCAATCTACAGTTACTGTGCTTGCTATCTAATTCTGCTCTTTTCATATTTTCTTACATTGGCCACAAATTTCAAATTACCAGAAAATCAGCTTTTTTCTTTAGAAATCATTACCACATGTGAAAGCATAATTTCACTCTCAACAATACAGAGTACCTGTGCCCTTTGAGTTATACTGCATTTTTGAACTTTTACAAGGATATAATTTGTAATTTAATTTAGTTGTGGTATAAAAATTTTCTAGGGGTTTAAATTTTTTTTCTGACCCCTGTATTCTACACTCATTATCATCATCTGATAAATGTAATAACCAAATCAACTAATGAATGTAATAACCAATAAACTAATGAATGTAATAACCAGATTGGTTTCAAATAATGAAATAACATGAACAATTTGAACCAAAACTTACTAAGGTGAAAGAAATTGAGAGACTGACAGTCTTTCAAATAGAATTGTACCTTTTTTCACAAAAAAACTACCCAGCCGAAATAAAGGACAAAACTTTAAGTCAGCTACCATTGTCTAATGTTCCTTTATTTTTACTTTTTGTGCATTGGGAGACACAATCGCTCAACTGTGAGTGTGCTGGACTCTAAGTCAAGAGGTCCATGTTTGAGACCTGTGCAGGACATTTATTTATAGTGTTCACCAGCCAGGCACTACAATGTCACCTTATCCTTTCCATCTGGATGCATAAATTGATATATAGCTATAGCTGAATGTGGAGAAAGGAAGGTATCTGACTCACATTCCATCCAGGGAGGGATAATATTAATTCTAGTGGATTCAAGCAATAGAGATCGGAATAAGATGCAGCTGGATGGTCCCTCTTTGCTAGGGTGGTGACGGAGAAAAGCACCTTTACAGAGAAGAGAGCTCACCGATAACTTTAAGTTCTGAATAAAAGTTAATTAAAAGAAGGGACTTATTCTAATAGACACAGGTCTCTGTGTCTAATAGCTAAGCCCTGGATGCTTATGTTGATTCACAGTTGAAGTAAAAATTGACTTGATTGACATCCTTGTCACTCACTTTCACTTTCCTCCATCAGGTGAGGGTGCGATTCTGGTGTTGGTTGTCCAATTGTTTTTGCCTTGTCACCAACAAATCTTAGTCCTTTTTCACTGAGGGACTTCAGTTTTTCTGAGAAATAAAGCAACAGGACATATTTGAGTGTTTGTAAACACTTTATGGAATGAAATTGATTTAAAACATTAAAAACATCCCCTTAATTAATAAGAGTGGAAACTAACAGCAAAGAAGAATTCCTTTAAAAATTTAAATGTCTACTTCATTCTAAGGCTTTGAAATCTCAGCTTAATTGAATCACTCACAAACATATACTTGCTGATTTTTTTTTTGTTTTGTTTTTTTTGGACCCTCTCCATACCCCCTTCCCCCAACCCTAATAAAGAAGATTATAGGGAAAACGTTCATAATCAAAACCCAAACTTCCTGATTCATAAAATCATAAAGGGAAGTCCTTCCGGCCTTCCCAAGGAAAGCGACTTTATAGAGCAAATAATTATGAAAGTGAGATATGCAGGATCACTATCCCTGAGATACCACGTCACAGAAAGACAGAAAACAGTTGACACCAGTTCTAAACAATTTGCACCAACAAAACTGCAGATACCAAGATACCAAGAAAAATGGAAAGTAGTGTTTCGACATGAGTCTTTCAAATACTGAGTATGACCCAAATTTGTCTTTTGTCAGCCCGCAACGGGCATCCGCATAAATCGCATGGGGGACCGGCTACCGGGGTATAACTACGGGTTTCCCTTAATTAAGGATCACTCAAAGCCCAGACGAAACAGCCATAGTAGAGCAACTTGTAAAAGTGAAAAAAAGGGGGAATGTTTTACCTTCCTTGGCAAAAGTCTCTGGTCCAGCGATACCGCTCCAGGTGCTTTCCTCGCAAGCCTGAGGGGCAGACATTGTGGCGTTACGATGCCGACATTTCCACCTCGTAAACTTTGCTCCATGGAGAAATCTACCAACTATTATAATATTAGAGCGAATCCAGAACAAGTCTCTAAGGTATCTCTCTTTCAAACTTACCAAATAAGCGTCGATTTGTTTTCGAAAAAAGAGTTAATTTGGGTATTTGCGCTGCAATGTGTTTCACATTGGCCGCCATTTTGATTATCTCCCGGGGACCTTTTTCTTTGCCTCGTCAATACTCGGCAATATACCGACGTCTTCCGATTAATCACGAAGGTGTTGCCGCTATCCTACGAAAGCGTGACCACCGCGTCTGTTGGATGTGGGAGTGTATTTCTTTGCTCACTTCGGTAACTTGTTAGAGCCATGTCTCCACATTTTCAGTTAATTCTTTTCTTTCTCATTGCTCTTGGTTATGAATGCGAGAGTAGGACAGGAAGGCGATTGAACAAGTTTATCAGACACTACGAACCTCTGTACTATGACCCGACTTCTTTCCACAACATTCATCGAAGAGCCGTTGAAAGAAGCACGCATGGTAAATTCTCCTTTTCCGCGTTTGGGAAATTTCATCGGCTAAACTTGCAACCCGATAGAGAGATATTTACAGCAGATGCAAAAATTCTCTCTGGGGATGGAAAACCGATACCTTTTGAGCGGGATTCCGTAGTACGCGGGAAAGTGGAAGGCCGACCGTACTCTGATGTGTACGGAGTTATTAGCAAAGATGATGGCTTTCACGGAAAGATATTGAGTGGAAGCGAGAATTACTACGTTGATCCGTCATCCTGGTATTTTGATGAGAAGCAGGATTTTCCATCAGTTATGTACAAAGAGGAAGACCTGGAGTACGAACATAATTTTGCAGATATCAAACATAGAGTACCAGCCTCTACGGTTCCAGAGCGAATTAGACGCTCGCTTGTAGAACAAGACCGTTCCCGTTCTCGTAGACAAAGTGAATCAGAGCTCGAGAAAAGCGCCTGTCCGCTTAGTCTCTACGCCGATAACTTTTTCACGAAGTTGTACGGTGGGAAAACCAAGGCGATCTTTCAGCTCGTCAAGCAAGTACAGGCTGCTCAAATCATTTACATGAACGAATTTAACGGCACAAATTACTTCTACCAAAAAGGGATAACTTTCCGCGTCAGGACCATCGTTGCCTTCAACGACAGCGAGAAAGCGCCCAACAATTTGCCTTCCCAAGTAAAAGACAGCAACGTTGGTATAGATACCCTTTTAGATCTCTTCTCTAGCATTGATCACAGTGGTGTATGCGAGGCGTTTCTGTTTACCGATCGCGATTTTGAGGGCGGGATTTTGGGTCTTGCTTGGATCGGAGATCCATCGGGGAATGCGCTAGGAGGAATTTGCGATAATTTTGTTGATATTGGTGGAGGCAAGAAACGAAGTTACAACACTGGTGTCGTGACTTTGAAGCTTTATGGCAGATTTACACCTCCGAGAATTTCAGAAATCACGTTTGCTCACGAGCTTGGACACGGCTTTGGCTCACAGGTATGCCTATGTTTTCCTCCTTAAAGGTGGAACCTAAGCTTTCATTGAATAAACGCTGTTGTAAGTTGTGAATTAGGTAGGAATTTTTATACCGATCCCAATTCATTTTGTTCATAAGTTGCTGGTTAGATACAAACTGCTGTGTAATTCAATCTTACCTCGCCGTAGAATTTAGAGCCTGACCTAATACGTAAAGGTCAAATTACAGAAGTAACAGTCAGCTTCGCTACTTGTCGAGTACGCCACTGTTGAGTTCGCTACATGTTCGCAACTTACATGCCGAATTCGCCACTTACTTCATCCTATCATTCTACTTCCACGATCTTTTAGAACCAACATCTTGTTCCAAAGAAATCTGCCTTACTCAACCTGTGATGGGCGCCAACAGAGGCAGCGAATTCGGCATGTTAGTAACGAATAAGTAGCGAAACCAGCATAAAACAAAGATAAACGATCCGCATTGGTCATCTTCTCGCTTGTTTTTGCAACAAACGATAAAGAAAACATTCAACTTGCGCGCTGCGTGTAAACAGTGACATTCTTGAAAATAGTTTATTTACTGATTAAGGATTAACATACGAGAGAAAGGTTTGTTGTGCGAAAAGTTATTTACTAAGAAGCGGAAAGGGAGGTATTTAATTTAGTTTCACACAACAACTTTACAGAGTACGAAAGTGTCTGTGCATTGCGAACGAAAGCTCGAAACTTTTTTATCACATGCTTTGTTTGGTAAAGTTTCCGCACAGCCCCATACTGTTGTAAAACAAATCTGTTTTCCCGATGGAAATGTATTGTTTTTGTCATTATTTTCTCTGTTCAAGAACTGAATGCATAATGTAGGATGGGGCTGTGCGGAAATTTTACCATTGTTTTCTATGGACTCTCTTGGAAGGGCCAGGTGCCTTAACATGTTTCCTATCCCAACATACTTCAAAATTTATCAACTCACTTTGTAATCACAAAGATGATAGCAGCCGAAAACGAAAAAAAAGATCATTGAGCCATTAAATCTATTTGACAAACAATTTTCAGGAAAAATGAGTATTTACTTTCAATGGCAATATTGTGTGATTAAACAAGTTCTACATTGTGATGATGTCATCATCAAATATTACAGACATGAATTTGATAGCCACCTAAGTTGAGTGTTTTGTGAATGAAATTTGCCATTATCTGGCTCTATTCTTCACTTAATTTCCTCCCTGTGTAAACAGTTTTGTATGTCAAACCTGTAAAGCCTTGATCACAATCAACATAGACTTTTTCAGCGTTGTAAACCAAATTTTCTTAATGATATAATTAGCAATGATGTGATTCATTTATTTATCACGAACAATATTGTGTATGTGTGACTTTCAAAGTAGTTCCTGTTGTGGTCATTGCTCAAATTGGCAGAACTTGCTTGTTTTTCAAATAGCTAAAATATTTACTGGGAATGTTTTCTTTTACTTAGCATGATCCAGAAACTGAAGCTTGTGCACCGGGGAAGCCTGATGGTAACTTTATCATGTTTGACAAGGCAACATCTGGTATTGAACCTAATAATGACAGGTTCTCACCATGCAGTAAAGATAGAATCAAGGAAAATGTCAACAAGAAAAGAGAGAAGAAAAAGACATGCTTTATTAAACCTGATGAAGCTATTTGTGGCAACAAGATTGTAGAGGAGAATGAAGAGTGTGACTGTGGGGATGTTAACACTTGTACTGAAGATTGTTGCATTCCAGCAAATTCAGATCCCAGCAAAAAAAATCCTGGCCAGTGCTCTCTTAGAGTTAAAGGGGGTTATGTTTGTAGCCCGAGCCAAGGTTGGTTACTCTGTGACAGACAGCCTTTGTAGTTAAAATGTATGATTTTCAGGAATTTGAAATTAAGAAATATATTTTTTCCTTGCATAAATAACACTTGTTTGTTCTTTTGCATTTAGGACCATGCTGTAGCAAAACGTGCAAATATGAAGGACCTGCAGTTGTTTGCTCTGTCACAAATGGCTGCACCAAAAACACATCATGCAGTGGCCATTCATTCAGCTGTGATCCTCCCGAACCACTTAAGAATGGGACCCTCTGTGACGAGGGACGTCGCCTGTGTTACTCAGGGCAATGTTCTACATCTGTCTGTCATAGATATGGCTTAGTTGAGTGTTCATGTGAAGTGGAAAGGGAACTTTGTGATCTGTGTTGCAAGGAAGTAGGAGGAGCATGTACTTCAGCAAAACGCTTGACACAGGTGATATATCCTTCATAATGACCTAAATAAAAGCAAATTACTTTTTTGGTATGAAAATCAATGGTCATCATGGATTTTTTGCAGAGATATGCAGAAGTGCAAATCTCTGCAGTGCCTAACCTCGGCTTGGGCAGTTTAATCTTGCCATAAGTGCTCAGTTGTTCTCCACGGTACATGTATGCCGCACTGATTAATCCTTTCACTCTCAAGATCTCATCAATATTTCTCTGTACAATTTTCCATACAATCTTATGATGCTAGTTTGGATAATTTGGTACAGGACTATTTAATAATCCCCTAATTCATATTTTTCTGTGTTCTTTATCACTCGTTTCCTTGATATTATATTGATTTTGGAAGGAGAAATTTTGCCCTGGTCACTCACTGCAGATGATTGTTAAATCATAAATATAGCTGATTTTATATTCTTGGAGCTTTACTCTACTATACTAGCCATGTGGGCTCAAGCATGAATGTCCCCACGGCATTCACACAAACAACATGCAAATTAAAGATGGAAAATAAGGAGATCAACCTTTGATATACAACTTACGGGGTCAAGTTCACTTTAACACCTCGGATTGTTTGTAATGCTTGCTTCCTACCTATCTTCCTATCTAAGATTTATAAGTTCTCAGAATCTAAGAGACTTTTTTCACCATAGATGGCGACAGAACTACGGTCATTGAAGTTGGTTCCAGGGACACCTTGTGATAACCTTAATGGATATTGTGATGTATTCGCCATATGCCGCCGCGTTGACATGGAAGGTCCTCTTCTACGTCTCAAGCAGAAGTTCTTCACTGTGGAGGGTGAGAAAATGATAGCACTTTTCTATTTTGTTCTTGCACTATATGATGTGATGCTTTTTACTTGTATTGATTTACCTCACTTTAAGTTGAGGTGTCTGTGAAGTGTGTAGTTATCCATTTGTGTGCTCTTTTTATCAAATTCAGCTTAAAATGACTATAGACTGTTATGTAGTGAAAAACTGAAGCTTCCAGTAATGTGCCACTCTATATATATTAGTGTTGGCTTGTCCTTAATTTTTACAAACAGGAAGGATATCTGCACTTACATAAATATTGTCATATTGGAAATTGTAAGAAAGGCTTTTTAAAAAATGTTGGTAGTCTTATTGTGAACTTATTGTACATGAAATCATGATTCCATTTCTTGGTATGCATCAATGTGTGCCATTTGAGTATCAGAAACCAGGAAGAATGGGGTGAAGTTTCCTCAATATCTTGGAAATTAAGGGAGGAAGGGTTCATTTGTAGTAAGGTGCTAATTTGTAGTAAGGTAATAATTTATGTGTTACAGTTTCGTAACCTCAAAGAAATTGTTTAAAAGTACATTTTTTCCATCATCAGGCCTCAAAGAAACAGTTAAGAAGTATTGGTGGGCCATCATGCTTGGTACAATTGCCTTTTGTGTCCTCATTGGACTTTTTGTCTTTTTGTGTGCGCGCTACACTCCAAGCAGCAATCCTCACAAAGAGGCAAAGAAACCTGCCAAGACACTCCCAGGTCGCAAGAAGCGAAGCCCTCAACAGAGGCCAGGCCAACAGGGAATGGAAATGGAGTCACGCGCATGAAATGCATAGTTTTGTAATAAACTTTTGATATCAGAATGCAGGGCAATGCTTCAAGAGGTTCCCTACATGAATTTTATTTGAACCCTGAAAACTTGGTTGTATTTTTAACCTTGGACCCATCATAGTTCACTTGAACAATGTACCATTGTACAGGTATTTAAAATCAGTGATGTTCTTTGCATTCCTTTTTTATGAAATTCCTCTATGCCCTTCCATATCTTCACAGAATTGGTAGTCCTTTTTCAAAGCTTGTGAGAAATTTTTCTCATTTTGAAAATCATATTGACTTCGGTTTTCCTTTTATGGAACTTTTGAAGCATTGACTTCTCACTATCTTTGGTGTATATTTTGTGGTCATCAGAGATGGCAGGACTCCTTATCAATAGCTTTTCCACTAGTGGGTCTTTTTGAGTACCTGTGAGTGTGTAACAAGTAATTGCAAGTTCAATATAAGAAACATTGTTTGTACTAAGCATCTCTAAATTTGATACTGAAACTTGGACAGTTTGAAATGAAATGAAAACAAAAGCTCATCTAAAATCAATTAAATTTAAAACATTTCTTTTTCCCATGTTTTTGATGCAATAGAAGGGGTGATCTTTGATTTTCCTCAAATAGACTTCTTTCATGATGGCAGGCATGATAATCACGTGAATAAGACATCTTCAACTTTTTTTGAATAATATTTTTTTTCAAACAGCCTATGGAGGGCAGTTGGGGCTTCAATAAGTTTTAAATTAGATGGCACAAACTCAAATAGGCATCTAATGCAAGTTGGATGTTTGCTTTAATGCTGTTGATTTCAGAGAAAATAGGCTCAATTTTGTTTCAGATAGGTGTTGAATTTCACCAGTTACTGGCTTTTATTGAGATCCCTGGGGAAGAAAGGCTAATTGACATAGATGTTACAAAAGATTGCAAATATGCCAGCCATTTATGAAGGAGGTCTACTGGTTTCAAAATTGCATCTTCAAACAGAGAAAAATGCAATTAAAATCCTTATACCCCTGGTCAGAGTTTAAAAAAAACAGCCCCAAAGTGTCTGGCATGTGATTTCATTGACAAGAGTCGGCTCATGGCCCCCTGTGCCTATAGGCAAGCAGTGTGACTGCATGAAAGTTAGTCTTAATTTTCTATTTATTTAGTCCAAGGTTGCAGGAGTTTCACAACTTTGTTGTTGTCTAACCAGTGCGTGTGTCGCTGTTTTCTCAGACAACCTCTCTTGTCTAATTCTTTTTTCTTGAATTATCTAAAATATGAGTTGGTATGTGGACTGATATCGTTCCTTGTGGTCAAGGTTTTATTTATGTACTAGCAATGCTGTTGTAATTGAAACATTTGTGGCAATTGTAAGCCACTGGTAGGAAAAAAAATTGGTTGTAGTATATTTTAATGCTCTGTTAAAACATTTCTTGGATGACCAAGCCACTACAAAATAATTTGTAACAAACAAGGTAAATATGTAGCTTAAGATAAGTTGCAATTCTTCTTGTGCTATGTTATTTATAACAATTTAAAAAAAAGTAATTTATAAAAGGTAACTCAATGCATAAGACAGTCTGAAAACTCAGTTCTGGCCTTATGAGCTGTCATGAACATTATTTCGTAATTCTGTGAACATTTTCCATATGCATCGGTAGAATTTTGAGTAAAAAGTTTCCTTTGTGCATTCTTTTGAAACTCATTTGTTGCCAATAGCTTTTTGGAAATACGTGTAATGGAAAAAATTCCTAGGATTCATTTTTCTTTGTGAGATATTGCTCTCATTTTTACTTTATGATGAAGATTGAGGCGTTGAAATCATTCTTTTCAATTTTTTTTTCTTTTTTTTTACAAATATTCAGTCTCCTAAATGACTGTTTCATTTTTCGTCTATAAACCATAGCCGTTGTCATCCTGCTCCAGGCCCTGGATCTCTCGATGAAGAGGCACAAAAAGGCCAATGACCAACCTTCGTGCGGTTTTTCGCTTGTTACCGATGGATTGTCTCGAAAATTGTAACTGCACGCTCCCTACCCATCTAGATTTAAATTTTCAAGACCGAATTTTTTCTATTTTTGTATGCTAGTGTAACTTACCATGAGAAAATAGTGAAATGTATTTTTGTCGGATAGCAATGAAGTGAAACCAATTTTTTTAACCTCCATGGGAAAGTGATAGATAATCTGCTCGTTAAGAACAAGACGTCACTGCCGATGTACAGCTTTTTTAAAGAGAAAAACAGTGCACTGATTGTAATAAAGATAAAATTGCCCTTTTAAACGAGTATTTTAATTTTGTGACAGCAAAATTAATAACCGGGTTTCACCAAATCAGGTAAAATGTAAACATGCTGAATAACAGTGGTAACCTAATGAGGCGTGGTCTCAGAGGAATCTTCACTCGTTCAAGTCCTTTGGCGCTCTCACTACAGCGCGGAAAATGAGTCAACTGATAGTTTACGGTTACCGAAGCTCAGCGAAGAAGCATCAGGCTCGATAATCAGCCTTTTCGCAGAGAAACGAAAACTAAGCATGAGAGAACGGATGAAATCGATCCGAAGGATACACGAGGGTGACAAAATGCAAATTTATGAAAAAATAAATGAAACAAGTTGGAAATTATTTGGCTTAGACTACGAGCAATCTCTCCTTTTCGGAGAGGTTGGCCGCGCGAGTCAAAAAAAAAAAATTAGCGAAAACGGAAAAGATGATGATAGCGCGCCCGAGTTCCGCTTGGCTCGCCAACCTTAAATTTTTCTGCGCTGACTTTTGTTACTCGTGCGACGGTCTTCACCGAATAGAAGGAACTGTTCCTAGTCTATAATTGGCTACAACAACATAACTGGTGATGACTGAGGATTTCCGGGTGTCGAGTCGTAACTCAGTCGTCTTTGTTGTTCATTGTCGTCACGCAACACAGAATGGCGTGACGACACTGAATTGCGTTAAGGAAACAAGAAACGACTGCGAGAAAGACCACTACTATTAACAGAGAGAAATAATTTCTTCTCCATTTTTTTAAATCCAATTATTTCCTCATTTTCATTCTCGTATGTTTTTCTGTTGCTGAACTGAAGCGACTTTGACTTGCGGGTGGTTAAAAAATTTTTCAAGTAATTGAAAATTTTCCAATTATCAATGCCCATTCTACTTCGCCAGGATTAACCTTGTGTCTGGTAACAAAAATATTTTAATCACCAACCAGGATCATCATTTTCAATTTCGATCTGCTTCATATCAAAAGTAACCGACCAATCATTTGTGATTATTTGTCTTAGTACTCAAAACATTGTTCAAGCCATTAAGAAATTTAATGCGCGTCATTGAGTAAATACTTAGATACGCTTAGAAATTTGTGTTTCTGGTGCAGTTGGTGAACGAAGCTTTGGAAACGTTGGGAAAGGTTACGCAACCGTAAAAATCAGCGAGATTTTCACTTAATACTCAAAGCAATGGCGACGTTGCAGCGGCCTAAAGCAGTAAAGAGGTTAAGCTGGCAGGACTTGTCTCCTGACAGCCCAAGAATTCAGTTAACAAGACGAATCGTGCAGCTACAAGGAAACAAAACGTCTGCTGACATTCTCGAACAAGCAAAGCAAATATGTAATGATTATATTGAAGCTAAACTTGAGCGCGAAGGCTTCAAAAATCGAAGCTGGTCTTTCACTTTCTCCAATTCAGCACCGCGTCAAGAGAGCGGTGAGATGGTTTCTCAAGTATCAATCCGTGTGCGGGAAGTTGGTAGACTCCTTGAACAGAGCTATCCCCGTTTATACAAAGATATTTCTGGCCGTATTAATGTCCCTTTTAACAGCGAAAACACCGTTCATGATGTATTTAATAATGTTTCGTCGGAAATCTTGAGCGATGGATTAAACTGGGCGAGAATTGTTGCTCTGTATGCGTTCGCTGGTGCGCTCGTTGCTGAATGTTGCAAAGAGGGTCGCAATTCTTACGTGCTGGAAATCGGAAACTGGATGTACGAATTTGCAGCTCTTTACATGGTGGATTGGATCAAAAGTAAAGGTGGATGGGTAAGATTAAGATATTTCATGTTCGCAAAATGATCATTTAGCAAGTATAATGAAGTTTGATGTCTTCTAAAACGCTACGTCGATGTGTTTTACCACAGTTGTTTCCTTTAAAATAAACAATACGAGCAACCAAGCTGGCAACCTCAAGCAATCTTGTTCGTTTTCAAAATTGTATTGGCTTTCTAGCCATGCGATGGTAATGATTACTAAAACTATAATTACACAATTTGTATTGTGCGTAAGTGCTTCTTTACATATCAAAGTATTATTTAAAGAATTAAGCGCGCATGATTAAGCTTCTGGTGAAAACTCTTTTGTTTACACGAACTTTCTATTTAAATTGATGGTGGTCTCTAAGATCTATGGTATGGAAGGCTAGATAAACATTCAGGTCTTAAACTCTTGACCTCAGTGCTGATGCCGAATACAGAGAACTATTGTATGCGCAAAGTTATTGAAGTTCCGTGAAAGTGTCCACGACTCGACTGAAGATGAAACAAATTGTTCTCTTTTCAACCGTGACAATATCATTGATCTGTTTTGTATTCATTCATAAAATACGCTTAAAGAGGCTGAAAATATGTCCAGGAGTCTTTTTGTTTGAGCCACTCTGATTTCCGCATTTACATTTTTCCAAAGGTTAATCTTCCGCCAACTTGTTACTTCTTTGACGTCATCAAAAAAAATTGATGCAGGGGCTTTCAAAAAATAATCTGTTAAGTCAGTCTCCACAAGTCACACCATGAGAATAGAAACCGCAGTTGGTAATTTCTTGGTCAAACTAGATACCCAACGTATCGTGACTGCCGACAAAAACATATTTAAGAGTTGTGCAAGGCAAAGGATCCAAGCAGTTTGGCTTCGCAGGAGACACGTAAAAGACTTAGACCTTGGCATCGATCTCAATCTTTAATTCTCTTTGGCTGATAAGTCATTAACATCAAAGTAAAAATTCAAGAGTGGCTAGTAGCAATTTATGTCCAAATTCTGGTACAAAAATGTCATTAAGTATCTATCTGTTTGAATTCAAAACTCTTTAGGGTATTTCGATCTGTAATGTAAACAATGCAAACAAAGCCCAGCTTTTTAGAACCGGCAACTACTAATAGAAACGCCCCCTTGGATTTGAGCCCTAGCTGATCGAGGTAATTTGTTGTGCTCACAGTCCTTCTTTCCAATTAGCCAGCTGTTTTAACGATTTGCTGTATTTACAGCCTGCCGCAAAAACTGACAGGATTTGGGGAGGGAGGTTATACTTACAATGGAAGAACCGGAAAAGAAGGAATACGCGGTCTAGTCGCTTAGTGTCATAGAAATTAGCCAGTTCCGGGCGTTGAGTCAGTAAAACGAAGCGATATATTAACAGGTGCAATTGAAGCGGAGGAGTGAAAAAAACGAGGGGGGTACGAGATTAGGTGGACCAGGTATCCCTCGTTTTTGCTCTGTTGCTTTTACTTTTACGGCGCCTTTTACTTTCATTAGCTGAACGCCTGGAACAGGCTACACAGAATCAGACAGGCTTTGGCAAGAATGAGCCCTCTGGTTCGTTTACTGAGTTATCTATTCGCTTGTTTTGACAGGAAGACCTCTTACGAGCTTTCCCGAGCTTAACACCGACTGGTTTGGGAACGTCGATCGATGTTCAAGCTACTCAGTGGTACAGTTGGTTAGTGATGGCTGTTAGGGCGTGGTGTGAGACGGCTTTTGAGTTCCTGGAATACTGCTTCAAAGCTTACATGGAAAGAGTGCGGAAAATGAATACTGGCTCTCGTAAAATAAGCCACTGATAAATAAATAAACTGTGTAACATCAAGAAAATTGGAAAAAATAGAAATTTTTCGAAAAGGCCGAATCATGGATGATGGCTTTAATAATTTACGGTTTATTTTCTTATCAAAATTTCTAGAGTATTGCGAAGTAAAAATAAAAAAATCCTTTTTAAATGTTATTAACAATATTGACAGTGACCTGGTGGGTTGATGTCAGAAAAGAAGCGTTCATTGTGTTCAAGTCCCGACCTCCCGTGCATCACTGTACGTCCCACAGATCGTGAGCTGCGTTCAACGCCTCAGCTTCGTTCTTAAACTGCCAGCCTCTCACCATTTTAGGTAGGGTACATGAACTGTGAAAGCTCTGTGTATCGCAACAAATAATTCAACTTAAATGGCAAGACCTTTAATCTCGTGCTTGATTTATAGACTCCCAGGAATTAACCCCTAACGCTAAAAGCACCAAACGGACCTGTTCACCTTACATTTTAGCGCGCCGGCGGAACTCTGAGAGCAAGGCATACAGAAACGTGTGCTCTTCTTTCCCAGAGTTCTACGCGGCGTGTTAACATCAGTTTGTTTTCTTCACTCATTTTTTTTTTCACTAGCGCGATGGACTTCGCCGGAAAGGAACGACTGCTCGTGGTCTAGAACCGTAAGTTTCTCAGCGCGTTGCAACCAGTGAACAATCACAAATTGACAATATTTACAAGACTGCATTAGTTGTAATTGTTTAATGAAGCAGGTTACAGTTGATCCTTCAGAGTGAGTAAGGATTTTAGTATACTAAATAGAATGCCGTTCTTACAGAAGAAAGAATTAAAAAAATCCGCGCAATCTCTCCTATTCAATTAAACTACGTTCCTCAAAATTAGTCAGATTGGTGAGGTACTGCACGAAAAAGAATGGTTACCAAGAGATTTCTACCTGATGTTGTAAATGACTGTGCCCTCAAAACATGACAGTTTTTCGATTCCTCGTACTACATTTTGTTATTTCGTTAACTCAGTTAAAACGCTCGGACCAAGTAGTTTGTTCCATCTTGCCACTTCAATATTCAAATCTCTGAGATGATAAGATTTTTTAAAACTATGATCCCTAACATTTTGAACATTGCAACAGCCTTGCACCTCAACCCAAGGACAAAATTTGTTGAACGACCCATTCCAAAGTAATTGGAATTCTACCAATCAACACATACATTACTTATTAAGGCTGATGTCACGGTTAAACGTCAATCAATCATCATACCTAACGACTGGATTGAAAAGGAACAAAAAACTAGAAGCTGGAGTTGGGCTTATATATGCTACTTTTGATGATATGGCTTTGAAGCGAGACTAACGATAATTGTTACAAGTGTTACTCAATTACAAGTTAACTAAGAAACTGCAGTGCTAATCCTTTACGAGAGGTGTTTGCTTCAATTGCAAGAAAATTGATCGCATACGCGATACATCCTTAGTATTTTTTGTTCCCTTTGGATTAAAGTCGCAGTTGCGGCACACTCGTTCCCAGTCATGACCAGGAGTTGAGCTGTCATCTCGGTCTGCTACAAAGGCTTCTTCATCAGCCCTGTAAACGAAAATTTCCCCAAGACTTTGAGTATAACTAAACTAAAGTTTGTCAAGAAATCTGTAATCTATCTTCTTCTCGACCTTACCAAACACAGACAAAACACAGAGATAAAAAAAAACTTTCGGTTATTTTCTCAGTATACCTTCCACAGCATTATGAAAAATAAACACCCTTTCAAATGGATATAAAGCTTTAGAGGTACACACATTTTTTTTAATGACTGTAATATGTGTTTAACTGTCAGTGAAATTACTGGAACAGTCTAATTGGTGGAATGTGATGTTATTTGGTACAAACTTTTGTAAAATAACAATTCTTCTACAAATTAAAAAACCAATGTTACTTGATAAAAAGAGTGAAATTAAGAAATACAAATTAGCTCCAAGATTTATCAAGAAACATAGCAGTTGAGAGAGATCTGACAATAGAACCAAAGAAGTGTTTGTTGACTTTAGCTGTCTAAGACAATAATACCTGTTGCTTGTTTGTGTTTTTCCTAACTGTTCATCTCGTCTCTCATACCAGTCATTCAGTTCCTTCTTAGCTTTTTCACGCCATTCTTGTATTTCTGCTTTTTCTTCTGTATCCATTTTCTCAAGAAGGGCTGCTTTTTCTTCCCTCCATTTTCTGTAACAATGTACATTGATACATTAAAGAAACAATCAAGAATATCTTAGTTACAGAGTGCATTTAAGACCATCACAGTCACTGAAAATATAAAAACACAATAATTTCTTTCAAAGGATTCTCTCATGTATTTCTTTAAATGGTAAAGCTAAAAACTATTGTTGGACAATGGTCAAGGCCTTTATCAGAAGACATACATTCCCTACCAAGACCAGTAGATGTGGTGCATGTGCAGATTTTCCTGTTCACAAGAATTAAAACCACACCTCTCAGGGGAAGAGAGGGTGCGGCAGTTATCACTTGAAGGTTACTCTTGCACCGATTTAGCATGTGCTAAGCTTGAAATGTCACTGTTGGACAATCAGCTATTTATGGTGCTCCTGAAAAAGTGCCAAATTCCAAACCTTGCAATATTCTTATTGATGTCAGCTTTTGTTGGTAAATATTAAACAACTGAGGGTCTGAAGTCCAAGCCATACCTTACAGACTCTGGTTCAGAATCTCTTGCAAGGGGTACAGCAGGCTGGTGATCACCTGAAATCTGTAGATAAGAATCAAGAATTACCAACATAGTAAACCAGTCAACACAGTGGAATAACTTGAATAACTGATAGCCAGGTTCAGAACACTTTTTCCAGTGCCTGGCTACCTGTTTTATTTTCTGTAATCAGTGAATCAGCTATTCCCAGGTTTTCTTGAATCAAATACCTTATCAACATAGCAAATTCCAATTGAATGTCAAAAGTATTTCAAAATTGCTTTGGTTTTATTTCAATTTACTTGATTAGTTGAGAGACCTTGCAGCCCTTTCAACAAAACATTTGTAGACCAAAACCAATTGCTTGGTCAATGGACAATTTCTGAGATCTTGCCTTTCAGTGATCTGGTACCCAAATTTCAGCAGAGGTTATACATCCCAGCATTCAAAATTTAAGGTACTGGCAATTTGCTCTCTCTTGTTTGTAGCTTCTCCTTGAACAGTATTTTGTGGTCTATGGCAGAAGAAGGTAATTTGATCTGCTTATTTGCTTCAGCTTCCTTGTATAAATCAACCAGTTCTACTTTTTTAACTGAATGTCTCTCTCCATGCTGATTTTCAAGAATTTTGTGCTCATTTTCACCCCCACAGCCTCCTTATTCTATATACCCATAAGAGTGACTTTGCACTTAGCACTGTTCTTGTCCCTTAATTTCAGCATCAGATCACTGAACCACACAAACTCAGTAATGGTCATTGAGTTTCCTCCCAATTTTCTCATCAGCTAATTACAATGTTAACCTCAGTTTTTCTTATTGGCTGCTGTGATCACATTGGTATGAGTTTTATTTCACTCAACTGAAAACTGCTCTATTACCAGGTAATTTAGTGTTAACAACTGGGTTGAAAACGTAAATTAGCCACCGTAAAGGTTAAAAAAGCTGACGTTTCGAGCGTTAGCCCTTCGTCAATCGCTCTGATGAAGGGCTAACGCTCAAAACGTCAGCTTTTTTACCCTTTATGCTAAACTCTCCCACCGACGCAGCACCACAGTTTCTTTAGAAACTTACCCCTTTGCTCTATTACCACTTAAGTTCACAGAATACCAAGGAGCCCTTTACAATTGAAGTAATTAAGATTGGGACCAGCAGACTATTGGTTTACAGGAAAGCTTGAAAAATTACATATTGTAGAGAAATTAATTCAAAATGACCACTAGAAGCATTCTTTAAAATTACTTCTTCATCAGCAAATCCATTAACAACTGGCTGATGATCCATTCCCCCTAATCCATCATGAAGTCCATTCATTGCCTGTAAAAGAAAACCAAGTATTTGTAATTTTGTGGTTTCATGTTAAAACAAATCTCTTGCAGACAATTCATGGTTACTAGTTGTGTAATCCTTTTAAACCTCCAGTATTACCTGGACAAAGAAGATCGATATAATGTCACCCTGATCAATTCTCTTGAAGGCACTCATGGGTTTGCCATGGTCGTGGCACCCCTGCACCCTAACATGTTATTTATTTATTTCTTTCTTGTTCATTACTTTTCTTTCTAAAACAAAACCACTAACGAGCTTTCATCAAACCAAAGACATTCCCCGCGCTCATAAAACGCCAAACTTAACTACATCAACCGGAATTTTGACGTTATAAGTTTCACATGAAATGACAAATTAGGCGAATTAAATTTTGAAAATTTTCCGACCGCCTCACCCCCCCCCTTTTTTTGGATTCTAGGCCTTTCAAACTTGTGTTAGTGTGAAGGAAAGATCAAATGATCCATCCTTCGAATTTGAAAGCAGCTCTTTCGTATCAAATGTACATGTTATGTCCAAACCGGACAGCAAAGTTAGATTAGATTAAAGTTTTGAGCCAAAAAGAAAAACAAAGCAAATGGAAAAAATTAAAATGGCTCCCGATAAAGATGATTCCTTACTCAACAGTAAGTAACCGAAGGTCCAAACCTCCGTTGACGCCTTCCGACTTAAACATGACAAAACTAAAGATCATGTTCTCTACAATATCACAAACCGACAGTAGAAATGGCACTAAATACGGCTAAAAATAAGATTCCGAGGAGCTTACATTAGCTTCTGGCTGTTCTTCACCGAAATCTTCTCCAAGCTCGGCGAGATCATCTTGTTCTCTGGCCAAAAATTCGGCTGCTGGATCTTCCTGAAAGTCGTCACTGCCCAAAAGATCCGCCATGATGGAAATCGGAATGACTCGTGTAAAGCACAAACATCCCGGATATTCTTTTTACCGTACCTTGGTACTTACGTGATGCCCTATGGGTAATTTCTTACGTCATGACAGTCACCAGGGCCACACCGAGAAAATGGTAGGTTATTATTCTTCGCTGTTTCATGGTGATCTTTGCGGGCCTTTTACTAATCTGTTGTTGTATTCACTATTCCTTAGACTAAACTCGTATTAACAGGGCTTGGAGTCACTGGAGCGGCGATAGCAGGTTTATTTGAAGGCAGAAAAGCATCAATAACTTGTCATATATGATTTTCACGTGTTGCATAATTCCTGATAGAGGACTTCTTTCGTATTCCAGGCCGTTTTGCCATGCAGGCGTTAAGAAAAGTTAACTTAAATGAGATACCTAAGATTATCCCTAAGATACCGGTAAGTAGTGTTAAGAACAGACGGGAAGTCTTTCATGATAAAGTTACGTGTTTGCTTAGGTTACAAATCCTGTATTGCACTTGGTTGGCCCTTGTCAGCGAGAATCTCATTTTATGCTTGATTTCTTAACCTGGTGGTGTTTGGAGATGTTGCTTATGTTGATTTCTTATCCTGGTGGTAATTAATTTGAGTATTTAGTGATGTTACTTTATTATTAATTAGAATTATTTTATAAATACCGTATTAAATGTGAACTAAAATTGTGGAGAAAAGCACCGTGTGCTAAAGTAATCAGACTAATCCTTCTTAGCTCTTCAAGGTGTAAACTGTTGTATGAAGATTGTATTTGCATATTTATAGTAAAACTCTAGGTTGCTTTGTTTCAAGGACCGAGTAACCCTTTCATCCAACAGATACCAATATTCACAAAATTTGCTACATGTTGGATAAGTGTTGTAAAACAATAGGAATGCATTGGTGTAAAGTAAGAGGTGAAAATTTTAGCTTGGTGAAAAAAAAATACCAGTGGCCATAACTATTGAGGTTTCCACCAATAGCAATACATAGTTTTCTTTAGAAAATTAAAGGCAGCTTGAAAACACAGAACACAACAGAAAACAATTAAAACAGCTCAGAAGTCCTCCATCGAAGTCCTCCATCCCCCCCTTCCACTTTCTCTTTCCCCTCACTACCCTCTTTTCCTTCTTCCTTCTTATAATAATTTTAGGTGTCTAAGAAATGTGAGTACATTTATCTCATCCTACAGTCCTTCAGCAAGCAAGGCCAAAGTCAGAGAGGCACATAGAAGAATAATGTTGATTAATCACCCTGAAAGAGGTACGTTTAAGAATCATTCTACTGAGGCGTAATCAACCAAAAATGCAAACATTACTCTGTTGAATTTGAGTAGAGGTGGAATTTATAATGGTAATTGAACTGAGTGGAGTGCAATTTGGGCTGAAATCATACGCGTGATTCCAAAATTGAACGAGCGCGCGGCGCGAGTTCGATTTGAAATCACAAGTATGATTTCAGACCAAAATTGCACAACACGAGGTTCAATTACCACTTTATTACATCCATTTTGAAATCGCCCAAATACAGGACTTGGTCAGTTCAAATATTTTATTAATACAATACTGAGCTGGTTTGAAATTAAATTCATCCATTTTTTGGGAGGAAAAAATAAGAGTTTTGGAAACAAAAGTTGCAAAATTTGCCACATGATAATCCATGTCTTTCATCTTCCTGCAATATGATCGGTTACTTTAAACAAGCCTTGAAGTCTGATTGGTTGTTTTGTTTTTAGTGTAGCCTCCTCATTGGCTGGGGAAAAGATGCGATTTAAAGCAAAAAATGGTGCAATTTGTGAATAAATCGCACCAATTAGAGCCAATCAGATTACAGGGACCATCAGTGATTTCAAAATGGGTGTAATAAAACCCTTTAACTCCCAGAGGTGATTAACATGTAACTTCTCCCTTTAATATCTATACATTATCCAGCAAAAAGGTAATGAGAATACTCAAACTTATCAGGAAAAATGTATTACCCTGATCTATCACCAAATTCTTGTCACTAATTTTCAAGGAGGTACATGGCAACTGGAAGGGAGAATTCACCATCAGATCTTGGGATTGAAAGGGTTAATGTCAAAGTTTGATGTATTAAAAACTCCCTATGGTGGGGCATCATATGAAACTAGGAAGGAACACAAGAAAAGTTTGCAAACTACTTTTTTTAAACTTCTGTGTAAAATTTAACCAACATAGAATTAAAAACTAAACGTGTATTCTTAATCTATCTTGCAGGAGGTTCCCCATATCTTGCTGCAAAAATTAATGAAGCAAAAGATCTTGATGGAAATGGCAAGTGATAGCAACAGCCTCATATGATAGAGTTAGAACTTTCAACTAGAGCTAGAAAAGGACCCAAGGACAGTGTTGCAAAAAGTCTTTAATCAAGACTTCATGGAATATTCCAAATGACAGACTGTTGGAGACAACAACCAAAAACAAATCTAAATTTGAATAACTTTAACTTTGTCAAGAATTCCTGAAGGGTCAACCTTGACCCAAGTCCCAGCAGCATTATCAAACATGCAGTTAAGAATCTCACAGAGCACTAAACTGCATTGGTTTGTCAAGAACAAAACTTCTAAGACATATTGTCCATTAGATAACAGATAAGGTAATGCAGCATACCAATTGTTAATAATTTGTTTTTGAAATTGAGAATTTCACAAAGGAGTGGTAAAACAGAGACAATAAAATACTCTACAAAATTACCACTTTAGCAAAATGGTATTGTAAATAAAGGTTTTATTCATATATCATATTTGCTGGTTATATTTTGTCCACACCTCTTTCCAACTTACTGTTCTCCCTGTTAAATTCATGATTGTAATTTTATAGATCATCATTATTTACCAAAAGTATTATCATGATATTTATTTCCAGCCCAGTTCAAAGTTAAATCATACTTAATATTTTATAGGACCATTTCCCCTCTGATTCATGAAAATAAATAGTCATTGATAGAAAATAGATAACAATTGAATGCCACCAATTTGTACAAGGAGTTTTTGGCAGTACATGCCACATCAAATCTAGAGGAGCAAGAGGAAGGAGACCATGAATTTTAATTGAAGAATTCAAAGCAAAATCAACAATTGAAGCACTTAGATTTCTCTCATTCACAGTTCTCTTTTTTGTTTTTTAATTACTATAACCTTTTTTGGTTTTGTTTTTTATTTGCTATTTTCTACTTACTGTATATCTTAAAAATTAATGACATCACCCTTATGCTACATCATTATTTCCACCTTTACCCCTATCCCATTTTAAATCAACTCCAACTGCAAATAAATTTCTTAATAAGAACTTTAAAATTTTGAATCTGAGTTTGTAGCCCTCATAGACAGCACTTGCTTCTGGAACAACTCCCAAGAGTTGTTGCACAATCTTAGGTGATTAAATGCAAGGTGAAACAGAAAATCATTCACACCTCTGCCACTCAGGGTGCTCTTGTAGTAGACGTTGACTGACTTCTGAATCTCCAACTTCTGAAAGAGAAATTCAACAGGCTTACTTCATAATCTAATCTGTGCAGAGGTGTTGCAATACACAGTAGTTTGAAGAGGAGAGTGGTTATGAAAGACTACAGAAATCAAAAGTTAAACAATGCTGCTACATTTTGTCTGAGAGCTCCTTGATTGTTCACAATATTTTGTTTACTTGCCAGGCATAATGACTGCATAAAGTAGTGGATTTATTCCAATAGAGAGTTAATTTGTCATGATGGAATGCTTTGTTGTGCACAGTTATGTCCAAAGAACAAACAAAAAACTGAAAACAAGGAAATAGTTTTGAGTTTCAAACCAATCGTATTTCACAAGCGTGGTGTGGCAGCTCACAGTGTAGCCAGGTTCCTTAATGAGCCACCAAAAGTCCTTGTTCTTGCTTGGGGTTTTTCAAGGTCTATGACTGAAATTTGTGCTCAGTTTAGCTTGGCTATTTACCTGATGATTCTAGTGGCTGGAGATGAAGTTTTCACAGAACGTTTGCTATATTCTCAACTTTGTTTTTTCTTTTCTTGCCAACCCAAGCATTATTTTTATTGCAGTCCTCCAGAAGTCTGAAAATATACATTCATAAAAGTAAACACATCTTTCAAGTAAACCAGTTAACAGTTGGGTGACAATTGTTAGAGGGGAGCTGTTCTTCACAACTACTTAAAACAAGTATCTAATTAACAAATAGATTCCAAGTTGCCATGCGTCTGTTCATTAATAAATCACAGATGACGTCAAAATGTGGTAAGAACAAAAAAGTGGCACACGAGGCACAGCCACCCACAATCTTATTCCAGACACGTGCTAATCAGCTTATTTGAAGCAGTGTCTTCTCACACCTATCGTTATTTGGAATTAAAAGAAATTCTAATACGAACACTTTATGGCTGTTTGCTATGCTCAACAAAAACCGATCTTTTACAGTCGATGGACACTCACAAAAAGTCGAAGCTTACCTTTCTGTCAGGGAACGAATCCTGAGGTCAGAACTTAAATCATCACTTGTTGCCATTTTGCCATCAAAAACCGCTTTTTGGTGTCGCTCGCCGATCATCATCTGGAATAGCGCTAAAATTTTGAAATACACCGCTTTCATTCTTCTCGATTATGATTGGTTTGATCTTACACCTCGTAGTTTTTGATTGGTCAACTATACACCAATCATATCATTTCTTCCAACCTTTGTGCATGTACCAGCAAACAAACGTTGCTCTTTCACCGAAAATTATACTCTACAAATTCAGTGAAAATATCAGGTGTTGTTTGTTTATCACGTCACTGAGCCCCTGCGCATCCTTGAGTCCCATGTCCCCGAGTCTCACGTCCCCGAGTTCCACGTCCACGTTCCTCCATCCCACTTTTAGTCAACCATAAGACGGCGGTGAGTATACAGATATTCCATGGGTTATTACTCGTAGGAAAGCCCGAGTTTTGGGGGTGGTCTTTGGCAGAAAAGGCCAGTTTGACCTGCTTCACTGCTGCAGCTTCCTTGTACAAATCAAACAGTTCTGCTTTTTTCAACTGAATGTCTCTCTCCTACATTGATTTTCGAGAATTTTGTACTCATTTTCACTACCACAACCTCCTTATTCTAAATACTCATAAGAGTGACTTTGCACTTAATTTCAACATCAGATCATTGAACCCCACAAACTCAGAAATGGTCCATTGAGTTCCCCCAATTTTCTCATCAGCCAATACCAATGTTAACCTCAGTTTTTCTTGTTGGCTGCTGTGATCACTTTGGAATGAGTTGTATTACACTCAACTGAAAACTTCTCTACTACCACTTAAGTTCACAGAATACCAAAGAGTACTGTACAATTAAAGTAACTAAGAGTGGGACCACCAGACTATTGGTTTACAGGAAAGCTTTAAAAATTACATATTGCAGAGAAATTAATTCAAAATGACCTCTAGAAGCATTCTGTAAAATTACTTCTTCATCAGCAAATCCATTAACAACCGGCTGATGATCCATTCCCCCTAATCCATCATGAAGTCCATTCATTGCCTGTAAAAGAAAACCAAGTATTTGTAATTTTGTGGTCTCATGCTAAAACAAATCTCTTGCAGACAATTCATGGTTACTATTCGTGTAATCCTTTTAAACCTCCAGTATTACCTGGACAAAGAAGATCGATATAATGTCACCCTGATCAATTCTCTTGAAGGCACTCATGGGTTTGGCATAGTTGTGGCACCCCTGCACCCTAACATGTTATTTATTTATTTATTTCTTGTTCATCTTGTTCTGTTCATTACTTTTCTTTCTGAAACAAAACCACTAACGAGTTTTCATCAAACCAAAGACATTCCCCGCGCTCATAAAATGCCAAAACATAACGACATCAACCGGAATTTTGACGTTATATGTTTGACATGAAATAACATACTAAGCGAATTGAATTTTGAAAATTTACCGACTGCCTTACCTTCTTCTTTTAGATTCTAAGCTTTCAAACTTGTGTTAGGTGAAACAACGACCAAATGATTCATCCTTCCAGAGCGTGAAATAATTTTTTTTTTCTAATAGTCACCTGGCTCCTAAATTCTTCAAAGTGGTAGCCAATTAAAAAAAAGTTGGTCGCCATTTCAAAGACAAACAAAACCTTTTTTAACGCTGTCAGCGCTCTAGACAGACCCTCCAAAATTAAGTTAGGGAAAAGATCTTTAACGTGCTACAAAGTGGACACAAGGATGGATGATATACAACCTTCAAGCACACCTAAATCCAAGAAGGCGTCTAGTTATTGATCGAGATGCATGTACTGCGTTTTGGAAACAAACTTAACGAGGAAGTTTGCCGCGGATTTATCTTTCTCTTTGCAAATCTTGTTAATTCACTATATCTCTTGGTAAGGTTATGATGAAAGATTCTAGTCGCCAATTTGGCGACTAACTTTCAGGATTTGGTCGCCAAAGTGAAAAATGTAGTCGCATTGGCGCCTGTATTAGGCGCAATTTCACGCCCTGCCTTCGAATTTGAAAACAGCTTATTCGTGTAATGTACATGTAATGTCCAAACCGGATAGCAAAGTTGGATTAGATTAAAAAATTGAGCCATCGATAACAATGAATGGCTCCCGATAGAGATGATTCCCAAGCTAATAATAACTAATCAAACTTCCAAACCTTCATTGACGCCTTCCGACTAAAACTCGACAAGACTAAAGATCATGTTCTCTACAATATCACAAACCGATAGTAGGATGGCTCTAAATACTGCTAAAACTAAGGTTCCGAGGAACTTACATTAGCTTCTGGCTGTTCTTCACCGAAATCTTCTCCAAACTCAGCGAGATCATCTTGTTCTCTAGCCAAAAATTCGGCTGCTGGATCTTCCTGAAAGTCGTCACTACCCAAAAGATCCGCCATGATGGATACCGGAATGACTCGTGCAAGGCACAAATGTCCCGAATAGTGTTTCAACTATATTCCCTTGGGACCCTGGGATTGTTCGCTGGCGTGATGCCCTATGGGTAACTTCTTGCGTCATGACAGTCACTCGGTCTACATCGAGAAAATGGTGGGTTATTATTCTTCGCTTTTTCATGGTGATCTCTGCGGGCCATTTATTAATATGATGTTGTATTCACTTTTCCTTAGACTACACTCGTATTAGCAGGGCTTGGAGTCGCTGGAGCGGCGATAGCAGGTTTGTTTTATGGCAGAAAAGCATCAATAACTTGACATCTGTGATTTGCACGTGTTGCATAATTCCTGATAGAGGACTTCTTTCGTATTTCAGGCCGTTTTGCCATGCAGGCGTTAAGAAAAGTTAACTTAAATGAGATACCTAAGATTATCCCTAAGATACCGGTAAGTAGTGTTAAGAACAGATGGGAAGTCCTTCATGATAAAGTTACGTGTTTGTTTAGTTCACGAAACCAGTATTGCACTCAGTTGGCCCTTGTCAGCGAGAATCTCATTTTGTGTTTGATTTCTTAACCTGGTGGTAATTAATATGAGTATCAAGTGATGTTACTGTATTATTAATTAGAATTATTTTAAAAATACTGTTTTAAATGTCAATTAAAATTGGGGAGAAAAGCATTATGTGCCAAAGTAATCACACTAATTCTTCCTAGCTTTTCAACTTGTAAACTGTTGTAAGAAGATTGTATTTGCATATTTACAGTAAAACTCTAGGTTTCTTTTTTTCAAGGACCAAGTAACCATCTCATCAGACAGATACCAATGTCACAAAATTTACTACATGATGGATAAGTGTTGTAAAACAAAAGGAATGCATTTGTGTATAGTTAGGGGTGAAAATTTTAACTTGGTGAAAAAAAAAATGCCTGTGATCTTAACTACTGAGGTTTCCACCAATTGCATTACATAGCTTTCTTTAGAAAATTCAAGGCAGTTAGGGAATATTCTTCAGAAAACAACTTAAACAGCTCAGATGGTTTTCAGTTTGAGTCCTCCATCCTTCCCCCTCACTCCCCTCTTTTCTTCCTTCCCTCTGAGGAACTAACTGGTCTGAATATGCTGATGATGTATTTTTGAGATAAATATTTGCCACATTTTATATATTTCTTTACAAACAGGAGTTTAGTCATTATTACAGAGGAGGATTTGAACCTAAAATGACCAAAAGAGAAGCTGGTTTAGTTCTGGGAATTAGGTACAAAAACAGTTCAGTTTGATGTAAATTAATTTCTATGTTATTTGTCATGAATCATAAAGGATGAATTGGCTGGCTGTCAATGTAATAAACAAATTATCATTTCCATGATAATACTGTGAGAATAAATTTAGATTGGTTTTCCTCGTAATCTTGCTTAAGGGAAGAAATTATAGAGGTGAACTTGCAAGACAGAGCGTGATACAAGCACAAGAAAGTTGAATTATATTTCAATAGTAATTTTTGGTGTCTAAGAAATGTGAGTACATTTATCTCATTCTACAGTCCTTCAGCAAGCAAGCCCAAAGTCAGAGAGGCACATAGAAGAATAATGTTGATAAATCACCCTGACAGAGGTAAATTTAACAATTATATTCTACTGAGGTGTAATCAACCAAAAATGCAAACATTGCTCTGTTGAATTTGAGTAGAGGTGAGATTTAATGTCAAAGTTTGGCATATTAAAAACTCCCTTTGGTGGGGCATCATATGAAACTAGGAAGGCAAGAAAAGTTTGCAAACTACTTTTTTTAAACTTGTGTGTAAAATTTAACCAACATAGACTTAAAAACTAAATATGTATTCTTAATCCATCTTGCAGGAGGCTCCCCATATCTTGCTGCAAAAATTAATGAAGCAAAAGATCTTCTTGATGGAAATGGCAAGTGATAGCAACAGCCTCATATGATAGAGTTAGAACTTTCAACTAGAGCTAGAAAAGATGACCCGAGGACAGTGTTGCAAAAAGTCTTCAATCAAGACCTCATGTAATACTCCAAATGACAGACTCTTGGAGACAACAACCAAAAGCAAATAGAAATTTGAATAACTTTAACTTTGTCAAGAATTCCTGAAGGGTCAACCTTGACCCAAGTCCCAGCAGCATTATTAAACATGTAGTTAAGAATCTCATAGAGCACTAGACTGCATTGTTTTGTCAAGAACAAAACTTCCAAGACATATTCTCCAATAGATAACAGAAAAGGTAATGCAGCATGCCAATTGTTAATATTTTTTTGGAAATTGAGAATTTCACAAAGGAGCAGTAAAACAGAGATGATAAAATACTGTCCAAAATTACCACTTTAGCAAAATGAACACTGTATTGTAAATGAAGGTTTTATTCATATATCATATATGCTGGTTATATTTTGTCCACACCTCTTTCCAACTTACTGTTCTCCTTGTTAAATTCATGAATGTACTTTTATAGATCATCATTACTTACCAAAAATAATATCATGATACTTATTTCCAGCAAAGTTCAAAGTTAAATTGTGCTTAATATTATATGGGACCATTTTCCCTCTGATTTATGAAAATAAATAGTCACTGATAGAAAATAGATAACAATTGAATGCCACCAATTTGTACAAGGAGTTTTTGACAGTACATACCACATCAAATTTAGAGTAGCAAGAGGAAGGAGGCCACGAATTTTAATTGAAGAATTCAAAGCAAAATCAACATCTGAAGCACTTAGATTTCTCTCATTCATAGTTCCCTTTTCTGTTTTTTAATTACTATAACCTTTTTGGTTTTTTTGTGATTTTTTTGGTTGTGATTTTTATTTGCTATTTTTTACTTACTGTATATTTTAAAAATTAATGACATCACCCTTATGTTACTTCACTATTTCCACCTCTAATACCTTTGAATTACCCCTATCCCATGTTCAAACACCTTCCTGTAACCATGTTAAATCAACTCCAACTGCAAATAAATGTCTTAGTTAGAACTTTAAAATTTTGAATCTGAGCTTGTAACCCTTGTAGACATCACTTGCTTCAGGAACAACTCCCAAGAGTTGTTGCACAATCTTAGGTGATTAAATGCAAGGTGCAACAGAAAATCATTCACGCCTCTGCCACTCAGGGTGCTCTTGTAGTAGACGTTGACTGACTTCTGAATCTCCGACTTCTGAAAGAGAAAGTAAACAGGCTTACTTCATAATCTAATCTGCGCAGAGGTGTTGCAATACACAATAGTTTGAAGAGGAGAGTGGTTATGAAAGAATACAGAAATCAAAAGTTAAACAATGCTGTTACATTTTTGTCTGAGAGCTCCTTGATTGTTCACAATATTTTGGTTACTCGCCAGGCATAATGACTGCATAAAGTCGTGGATTTATTCCAATAGAGAGTTAATTTGACATGATGGAATGCTTTGTTTTGCACAGTTATGTCCAAAGAACAAACAAAAAACTGAAAACAAGGAAAAATTTTTGAGTTTCGAAACCAATCGTATTTCACAAGCGTAGTGTGGCAGCTCACAGTGTAGCCAGGTTCCTTAATGAGCCACCAGAAGTCCTTGTTCTGGCTTGGGGTTTGTCAAGGTCTATGACCGAAATTTGGGCTCAGTTTAGCTTGGCTATTTACCTGATGATTCTAGTGGATAGAGATGAAGTTTTCGCAGAATGTTTGCTATATTCTCAACTTCGTTTTGTCTTTTCTCACCAGCCCAAGCATTATTTTTATTGCAGTACTCCAGAAGTCTGAAAATATACATTCATAAAAGTAAACACATCTTTCAAGTAAACCAGTTGACAGTTGGGCGACAGTCGTTAGAGGGGAGCTGTTCTTCACAACCACTTAAAACAAGTATCTAATGACTGATAGATCACCTGACTGACTGACTGACGATTTAACTTAAACCAAGCGAACACACTTGATTCGTGATTCATTTAACGTTGCCAGACAATTCGCTGTTAAAACAGCCATGATTCTCATTCTGAGGTACAAAATGTCAGTAGCATTTAGTAGAGTTAAACATTTCTCTAGTTATTCCTTACGTAAAACAAACTTGCAACTAACCTTGTCCAGTTTTCATCCATGCTAAGCATGTCTGGGTTTCCTATCACAATCAGGAGAGCCTGGGCACGAGTTACAGCCACGTTGAATCGCTAAAAGGGACATTTCACGTTAGTACCGTGCGTTTGTCTTTTTGTTCGCTGACATGTTTTTTTTTTCTTCTTACGAACATACATTTTATTACTTGGATTTGTCTTAAAAAGTTTTCATGCGCCCACAGTTAGCTTGAGTGCCATTCTTGGTGAGTCGAATGTTAGACGTGGAAACTCATTAGTATTACACAAGCGTTCACAGATTACTTATAATCTAACGATTTTGTTAATAGGACAAATTTACTGTGATAAAATAAGTACATTTACAATAACATATAGGACTAACCAAGGATATTACATGTTGGCAGCTAAATAACGCTAGAATTAGTTTAAATGTTTCAGAAAAGCTTGGCCTTTTGAATGATTTGTTGAGTGTCAATATATGACACTGTTTTTTTTTTTTGTCTCTATGTGCGATATTGAAGGCTATAGCAGTATAGATAGTAAATCGCTGTCTAAATACCTTCGGGTTGTCTAGGAATCCAAGGTGAAATTCCTTGTCCATGTCAAGATAATCTTTGTTAGTGCTCCTAACAGTTGACAAGATGATCACTCTGCGTTCTTGTCCCTGGAATTCTTCCACACTGCCGACTTTGATTCCTGAACCGAGTCGTCTCTTTTCAATCATTTTCTGAATCTTTTGCACCTAACAAACAAGAGAATTTGAGATTGTTTTGAGAAAAAAAATTTGTATCCTCTGCCCTATGCCAAGGAAAAAAGGAAAGTTACATTTTTGTTCAAGAATTGGTTCAGTAAATTTTAGAAACAGCATGCGGAAATTGTCTGATTGAGTGCTTGTATCGTAAGCTACAAATTTACTTTTCAAGCAGACGAGGTTTTGATTGAAAATAATATCTTTAACAAGTTGTTAAGTTGTATGATGCTTATCTGTTACAACGATTTCGTCGTCTTAAGAACTGAAGAGGAAAACGAAAAAAACGGTTTGTTCTTAGGTTATAACGGCCATAGATAAAATGCGGCGTTTATGTAATTGACCTACTTGTTTCTTGTAGGGTGAAATGATTCCAACCATCTCAGGTTTAAGGTGCATCAACCGTTTGCTTCTCTCTCTGTCGTCCAAAAGTTTCTTCAGGTACAATTCCACAGTTGCCACCTCAGTCACGTTAAAGAACGAAGGGCTGTTCTCTTCTCGTTCGTCTTTGCCATACACCGCGTGGAAGATCATCGGAAATTGCTTATTCGGCAGCTCCTCCCAATTTAGCATAATGTTCCTGTGGTCAAAAGTTACCCTTTTTAATCAAAACACCTTAATCAAATATGAGATGCTAAGTCAGTTGGTAAGCCTGATCATTCCGCCGGCCACTCTGCCTGTCTCAGTCAGTCGGTCTGTCTGTCAGTCAGTCAGTCAGTTCCTAAACAGAAGGGTTGGAGATTGAGCAAGGTAGTGTGCCATAGTGGCTGGGTCCCCTTCAGTGGCTGGACAATGAATAGGAAACACCTCAAAAAAAACATCCAATGTTCATATCACAAAAGAGACTGGTGGGGTTATATTAACCCTTTACACCCTAATATCAGTATGCATATTCTCCATACTGTTCATCGTACATTTCTTAAGGTGCTGACAAGGAGAATTTGTTTAACGATCAAGACCTTCTTTAGTCGGTGATCGCTTCCTTTATTCTTGTGACCTTCACGTGTGATTCAGGGGAGATATTGAAAGGAGAAATTAGATGTTAGTCACTCTCAGGGCTGAGAGGGTTAAGGGAAGCCAAGTGTTTATTAATAATTTCGTTACTTGTCTCACCTAAAATCCCCAGCGCATTCATTTAACTCATCGTCATAAAATAGTTTTTTGGGAATCTCGATGATGTCTCTGTGTGAGCGATAGTTGTTGACAAGTTTTGTTAAAAGATTTGGATCGTAGTTTGGGTTTCGCCAGTACGTGTTGCATGACGTCATCAATCTCTCCAAAAGGGAAATGCCTGAAAATGAAATAGATAGATTTTATCGTAACCAGGTGTTAATGTGAATTTAGAGCAGTTGAGGCCATTAACATATATAATGCATTGACTAGGAAAGCTTGCTGAGCTTTCCGAGTCAAAAAAGTCTCTGCGAAGGTGACAGAAAATCAATCTGGCCTTTTTTCTCTATGAGCATTTGAACGAAGTAAGCAAATCGGTGGGCCGACAAAGGTCCAAAGATACACACGAGCTACAGAAAAGCGACGTTTTTGCGAAAAAACAAGACATTGCGAGAATTAATGAAATATGGCATGAAAATATTTCTTAATTACTCGCTGCTTAAGACAACAACGAGTCCAGCTTCTGGAAATAACCGTGAATTTGGTTATGTGCCTGTGTACCATACAACGATGATTCGATGATTTGTCTTATAACACTTTTAGCCACGCTTGTGTGGTGCTCGTTTTGAAATCAAGATTTGCACGAGACTTTCATAACCTCTCCGCAGCATGGTCGATAGAGAGGTTCGTTTTTTCCTTTTTGAGCTCCGTGCATTTAGTACCCACCGAGGCCATATTCCTGTGTTGTTTTGCACCTAAGGATTGGCCCTAACTGCTTAGGGTCTCCCGCGAGCACAAGCTGACCGCCCCTGGGGTTATCAGGGTCCAGGAGGTCCGCCACAGGGATGATGCACTCAGGTTCTCTTGCATGCCCCGCTTCGTCTATGAAAATGTGCGTGAAATGATGCCGAGGGAATGATGCAGAAACCAATCTGAAAAACGCATAGAGGAAAATGATGACTGCTTGAAGTATCCGTAACAATCCATTCCAGTTTTGCTTTGACTCTCAATTAAGACCAATTAATGGAAAATATGGTTACCCTATCTCACCCCAACGAGTAGCGTAGGACATCAGAGAAGGTAATTTTCTTCTTTCCTATTTTCTAGTGATTTGCTTCTAGGCACTTTAGAGTGCTAAGATCTTATAGCTTACCTTCCTGCCGTTACCAAAGTAGTAACAATTATGCGATAGTTTTCCGTCAAATCCTCCTTTGAGGGATAATACACTTCACGCGTCACTCGGTCAAAATTCACCACTTGGGCGTCCTGAAAATTGCCATACCTTACATAAATTAAACAAACCACAAAGTACAAGTGTGAACTGTCGGTCACCCTTTGGAGGAATCAGCGACGTGAAATAGCTTTAAAAACTTCAAACAGCTTTGCCAGTTTAAAATGTGCAAATGGAAACGGAAGTTCAGTAAAGTCATCCCATCTAGTTGAAAGCACAAAAATTTATCTCAGGGGGATGATAAGCGTTTGAACGTTACTAGATTTATCATTTCTATTTCATACATTTGCGGTCATCACATTACTCTATACTAACTCACTGACCCGCCCAGGACAGAGACACACAGAGAGAGGGTTATTTTCAAAGCCACATTTTCTGTTATTCAAACAGAACTAAGCAGAAAAGTTTTCGGAACTTTAGGTGTTGTCTTCAGGATTTATTTCCGCATTGTGTTTGAAGAACCCTACCTTGAGAGGTTGTGACACGAATTCCCAAGGTCTTGATGCAGCATACATCCTGAACAACTTTCCCTTGTCAACGTGAAGCAGTAAACGCTCGGCTAACAGATCAGCAGCACTGTTTTCAGGCGCACACGCCAGAATGACACTTGACTCAATTTGATTATGTACCTAAGTACGACAGTAACGAGTGAAAATAATAACTACCGGCTTTAGTGTTTATGTACCGACAGGTTTGGAATAGAGTGTCCATACGAGTTGAAAGTTTCAACAGTTTCACATCACATAAAAGCATATCTATTTATCAGCTTTGAAGAGAGGAGGGAGAAATAAAAAGCTAGCAAACATTGACTAAATCCATACCTGTTTGATGGCTTCCACTAACGTAACAGTTTTTCCAGTTCCTGGGGGTCCAAACACGAGGTAAGGAGCAGGGCGTGAAGATCCTGACAAAATCTTCTGAACCGCCTGCTTTTGTTCATCGTTTAAGTTGCGATCGTAAAAAGATCTGAAACAGAATCGGATGTAACGAACAGAAATGTCATAAAAGAAAACCAAGTATGATAGCCTTCTCCATAATAAGCGTACTGCACTCAGTTTGCAACTTACGTGGGAAAGCTTGAGAAATCCCAAAGAATCGATCACGTCAGTCACCTTGGAACTACGTCTACGTGAACAGCGAACAGGAAAATTTAAACTTTCGTTTTCAACCTTTCAGCCAAGTACGTGATATTACTCTTGGGTGGGATTTGGTAGTACGCATTTGTAACAAACGTTATTCTAAATCTATCTCTTAAAACGTACCTATCGTCGACTCTTTTATTAATCTCGGGTCTGCGAACAAGACTTTCTTGTTGTGGAAAAAGAACTAGTCGCATTTCTTTCCTTCTCTCCGGCGCAATCCGCTCACACGCGCGATGTTCCATTTGCACCGTCAGTCTGTTGAATGTGAACTGAATGTCGAACTTTTTCCCCTTTATAAACGGTATTCTGAAGCCGAAAAAAAGAAGCCATCGATGATTGATGGAATACACATACCGGTACTTTCTCTCTATGGTATGATTCCAGCAAACATTTCAGTACTTTGCAGTGTCCTTTCGCGGGCGTTAAATATGTTTTGGGCCCGACTCAGAGTCACTTTGGCCCGAGCAGCTAAGCGAGGGTTAAAATGACTCTAAGTAGGGCTTAAAACATATTTATATCCTAAGAGCATCAGCTTTGTTACTATCATTGTCCCTTTGGAGAGCACTGAGAAAACAAAATCTGAAAAAATGACAACAAAATAGTGTGAACAATCACGCGAATTCTTAGTTCGCCCCCCCCTCTCCATTTTAGCCCGCAAAATCCGCCACAATGCCCGTCAAAGTAACAATAATGTGCATCAATGACGAAGATTGGCGGGATGATGTTAGTTAAAAAAAAACTGTTATTTCTGGGCAGATGGTCATACTGAAAAAGAATGATTGACTTATAGCTTCGCGTTATTGAAGTATTACATTATCCTGTGAACAAGAGGTGAGAATACTCAAACTTAACAGCATCAGGGATTTTTTTGAACTTCGAAGAGTCATGGAAGATAAGATTTTCAATCGTGAGGGCTCGCTATTTCGTTAAAAGAAAATGTACATCTGTATCATTTGGGGAGTTGTTACTTCTAGCACTCCTTTACCTTACGAGTTTTGAGGAAACATATTTGAGCTTGAAATGAAAACAGCTACTCACTTTGACCTATCAAATCCAAGTTTTACGTTCAGCAGTTGAACTTTATGTACAATTCCTTCGTAGCGATGTTGGCGCAAACCATGTTCGTATGCATAAATTCTATCTCCACGCAACACCGATGGACGGTTTTCAGCAAGGCCTGGTACCTTGTGTCAAAAGATTGACGTAAATAATTAGTAACAAGCCGCAATCCTCCATCATACAACCATGGCAAGTTGTAACGTACGTTCAATAGCCTTCAATTAACGAATCTTTCTGCAACCCCTTGGGGTTAAAGATAAAGTGATTAGGTAAAACTTACCTCCAGGATAAGGAACCTTCGGTCAGTTCTGTCTTCTTCCATTTCCACCTCTTTCAGATCGTAGTGCCTGATGTCCTTTTTCATTTGAATTTCCTCTAACTGGAGAAGCAGACGAAACCTGTCCTTGTAGCTGTCAAAAGTTAGCGGTTTTTCTAGCTGTTCCCTGCAGTTCAAAGAGAAGTAATGCTGAGCAACAAGAACAGATGCAAAAACAGGATGGGTGAATGAATAAATGAACGAAAAAATGAAAAATGGAGGTGTGCAACTACTCTGTTTGAGAGCAGTTCTGTTTTTGAATGGCACTCAAGCATACGCTCAATTAAAATGATTTCGAAATCACTTTGATTGGTAGTGATTTCCACCATTATGAGAATAATAATTACTGTTCGCAAGAGAGATCCACCTCATTGCATTGAAGCGGTCTTTGAAAGGACAAAAAGGAAAATGACAAAAGAGAAAAGCAAATTAGTCTACATTTTAATTGTTCATCGGAAATACTGTAGCTGGGAGAAAATCATCCCTATAGTAAGAAAAGAAAAAATGCTCAAATTATTTTATTCAGCTTCACTTGCATTTTAAAGCACATTTTTTTAAAACTGTCAAGATCCTAAAAAGAAAATCTCTATGCTTTTTTTTTGTTTGACCTTTACTATTTTTTCTATTTAACATTAAGCATTATCCGCAACAACGTTGTTGTGGTTAGAGTTTTACCTGATTCCCCTTCGATCATGCTGCGCAATGACAGTGGGAGGGACTTCATAGCGCTCCAATTTCTCCATCCGTAAGCCATCTCGCCTCAGCCTAGAATACACAAAAACACCAGTTGTCGAGTATTGCAAACCTCGGTTACCGTCTTACTATGATGCTAAGACACTATTAGTCAGTTCAGTTTGATGTAGCTGTATTCACAACAGCTCTGAAAGCTTTGTGGAAAGACCAGGGCCCAGATGTATAAAGGGCGGATAACGCTATCCAGCGGATAAGTGATAGCAAAACGTATAGCGCTCTTCAGCGGATAGAGATTTATCCAGGGGATAGTTTTATCCGACCTTCGAACAACCGGAGCCAGATTGACAATGGAATTAAGGGTAACTATTCCACCGATATCTCTGAGTGCGGGTTTCTCTTGTTGCGACATTGAGTAGGGTCCGCAGAGTTCTGCAATAACACCAAGTAAAGATATAGGGCTGAAGTTGAATCAATACTATTTCTTTCTGGAATACAACCCATGAGGAGAGATCAAAGGATCGAGGACATCAATTGAAAGGTGACATATGCCGACCTAGAGATATGTCGAGCATACGTACGGTGGTAGTGCCAGGCCCCTCGTAGTTTTGACGTCCCATGGAACCTTGTGGGCTTTGGAAGGAGTCCTATACCGTGAAGTCGGCCTAAGCTCCTCGAACAGATCGCTGACAATCTGCACAGCTAAAAACCTCAAGATGTGAAATTCTGAGCCATTCTTTAGTTCGAATGTGAGCACAACTGGTACATAAGAGTAGCCATATTCGCGTCGATTTTTGCAGCCTATAGAAAATGTACTTCTTTTTCCTATAAAAAGAGGATCAGCGTACGGATCAGGTAAGTAAGAGGCTTTTACAATTCGTCCGCGTTGCGGACCTTATGTCTTAGGGTTACAATACTCTATCGTTGGGTTGATAACAGCGTGGGTCTTACGGGTGTCCTCTAAGGCCTGGCTTCCATATGATCGTCTCGAGCGATGTTATGGAAACTGGGCATGACTGCAAACTCGGCCACTATATTTGTACTATCGGGGTCGTTTGATTCGAATCATTTTTTCTACTTCATATACAATCGTCCCAACCGCTTGAACGTCTTTTGCGAAGATTCTGGCAAAGGGCTCTATCTAAACTCTCTCTTTATCCTATTTTAACCGATCATAGTGCACGAATCATCTTGATTTGTAAGCCGGAAATAGAGAGGGTGGTGGTAATCATAGCAGCCAAGAATAAACACGGTCGTATAATAATGTATAACATGTGTAATATAGATAAGTCGGGCATATAGTTGAAAAAAAAAATGTTACCTGCGTAAAGATTTCCTCGATCTGGTCCAACTGATGATATATCCGAGTAAATAAAGAAATTCACTTTCCACAAAAGAGTTATGTCCTTCAATTCAACTTCCTCGGTGCCTGTATTTTCCACTACCAAAGTGATTCTTCCACCCTCTCCCTTTCCAACATTTAACTCAATGACACCATTTTCGTCAGCTTGAGGGATGGAGGTGACCATAATTCCATTTTTATCCAATACAAGGGCAGGCCTGTTTTGTTAAAATAAAACAAATTGCTTATAGCACAAACAATTGTTTTGGTAATGATGATATCAGTGAAATTTCTTGCACTCTTTCAGATTTCGAATAAATTTTACGTTCTTCTGCACTGCTTTTACCCAAAATATTAGCACAAAGCGACCTCGTTCGCAACGTGCTGTGTAAATTTTCTCAGTGGACAGGCCCTGCCCTTTTCAACTACCTCACTCGATATTGTGGAAACAACGTTTAAAAAAATCGAAAAATATGAATAAATAACAGCAAAAGAAAAGGAGTTGAAATCGGTTCGTGTTCTCTTGATTCAGATAAAAGTTGAAAGGGAAGTGCTTTTGTTTTTGGTTTGGTTGATAAAAGTTATCACCTTTAGGGGTTTCGCTATTGTATGTCAAACGTACATACGTACCGACCCTGCGTAGCATTGCTGAGCGAGACTGGGGCAAGAGAGATCAGACAAGTTGTTTTCACGCGGGTGACTTGTGTCAAGTGTCTGAATCACTTGCGTCCACATCAAAAATTTTTTCATCGATTATGTAAACAAGAATCGTGAACGTTTCAAAAGATCTCATTTATACTTACTTCTCAACTGATTCTCTAATCTTCTTCAAGACACTCTGTTGACGGTGGCTAACCGTTTCTAAATGATTTTCGAGGGCTGCAATATCCTGAAAACGTCTCCTACAAATCTTGCATCGAGGGTTCCTGCTATAATTTTCTTCTTCCTCGTCAGAACTCGACTCTTCAAGATCCTCAATGGAGAGCATTCGAAGCGCCGCTGCCTCTCCGCTGCCAAAAATAACACGACCGTGGATTTCCTGACATTGGCGTAAGTGATACTTAAGCGTATTAAGCACGGATGAGAAAGAAACTCCAGGTGTACAATATTTAAGACGGTATTTTGATTCAAATACGCTCTTCAAGTCGGTTCTGGGCATTTCATGTTTTAAGTCATTTTCCTCCAAGAACTCAATGAATGTTTTTGCGACACTCTTTACATCATCCAAAGTTAGGCGGAACATCTTGAAATTAAAACTGTCTGCAACAAAAAATTAAATAATAAAACCTCCAGATCTAATAAGGTCGACTTTGTGGTAAGTTTTGTGAAAAATTTAAGTGAGTCACAATCAAAACACTCAAGTTTCTCACGCAGCATTGAAAAAAAGCTTTAGAATTATGAAACTGTCACGATAATCTGAGAGCAAGTCGATTCAAGTCGAGTCAAGTCGAGTCGAAGATCCGTCCTCATCTGCTTGAGGGGTTCATGAGCAACGAGGAGAGTCCCCTAAAATGCAAGGAACGCCGATTTTGACGTTCGGACAACAGAGGTATAAATTCGACTCTGAAATTTGACATTTTATCAGCTTTGGAAGGTTTGCAAGCGCAGTTGTTAACATGGATTTATACTAAACCAGGGTTTAACAAAAGTTTAGCTGATCTTGGGTTTCCCCTCAAAAATACGATTTCGTATTTCCACTTGAGATTCTGAATCATTTGATTCATTTCAATTACCTTAATATTCAATTGATGTCACGTAATGTTTCTCATATTTTTTAAAATCACGCGAGCATGCAAATTTACGACTCGAGACACATCAAGTTAATTACTATGCCGCCAACAGAATTACTCATCACGGAGGTATTCGACATCTTCTTCGACTTTACCGTACTTTGTAACACTGAAATATTCGTCTTTTGACTCAAATTAGTATCAATAACTTTGAAATTAGTAATAATTTATCTTCGGAGACGACAAACGACCATAAAAAACTGAAATGTACAATCTAAAAGAAAGATTTCTCGGAAATTTACACGTCATGTAATCTCGTTGTACCATGCCAGTCGAACAATCAAACTAAGAAAGATCCATCGGTATACAGAGCGAAAAAATTAAGAAAATTTCTGAATTTGAAAGGAATATTCTTTTCTGGTAAAGGAAAAAGCGGCTTTTTCTCGCAATGTTGTTTGCTATGTCGCTGTTGAACGAGTCCTATCAAATCAGCGCGCTGGTTTTGTAAAAGCTTACGTAGTATAACCTGGTCGCCCTGAACTTTCATGCAAGAAATATTCCGACTCATAAAGGTATTTTACCTCAGAACTCACCTCAAATGTCACTCTAAAGCGGCCACAGCGTTATTTATACCGAAAACGGAAAGGAGCGTACATTCCTACATCTTTCTCGATTATCGTCGCTCATTAAAGTTATTTTGTAGCCTCGATTCAGCGGAAAAAGAGAGAGCCTTGGGCGAGATTTTCCATATGCGGCAACGGGTCGGTTTGAGAGGTCGCATTGTTTACGATTATCAGCGGCTGGATACAGTTTTCTTAGGCTCTGACCGGTTATATTCAGAGCGCTCAATGACCAATTGTCCCCTTTTGCAGTCGATCGACTTCCACACGTGTATCAGCAAGCGTTGTGCGACAATCACCCATTAATATATTCCTATATTATGGAAAATCCCGTTAAACGGTTTTTTGGAGACGGTACCGCTCTTTGACAGATATTTTCTCAACCTCAGGATTTTCATTTTTGGGGTAAGACCTCACTGTTGAGTGAATTTAAATCAATTAAATCGATTAAGATTGCGGATAAGTCCATTATGTACAGGATAGTACCTCCACATAAGAATGAAAAACTTTTATGGTCATGTTTTGAAATACGCATACACAAAATCAACGATTCTGGTGATATGAGCTATGTGATTGGCCCACCATCTAGTGCTTGTGAATACTAATCACACCCTGTCCGATGAGCAAGGCGTGTTTTCGAAATCAGAAACCAAATGGCTGGGATGAACTCGCGTTTCGCCGATCAACTTATGCAGTGCTTAGTTACTACGATAGCTTTTCTGTGGTTGTATTTATTTGACAGACAACGAATGCACCGCCTTTTTTCACTATTTGTTTTAGCGCTTAAATTGTTCCCACGATTGTAATGTTTCTCTGTAACATGAAACCTCACCAGTACGTAGTAAGTTAGTTTATTGTCTTAACTGTTGTACGGTCTACAAAAGCTCGAGTTCCAAAACAATTCTTAGCAAGTCATGAGGATAAAAGGCTTGAAGTAGCCAAGGAAAGGGCAAACCTTTATTGCCAAGACGGGTCTTTAAGATCTCAGTTCTTGACAGAAGGAAGTTGAGATTAGTACATTTTAGGTACGCGCCGTTGAACTGTTAGAAGGGAATGGCTCTAGCAATCTTGCTCTTGCAAGAGAGAAAAAGGGTTGATAAAAGGAAGAGTTGATGAAAAAAGAAAATGCATGATAAAAATCACTCACGCATCGCTTTTCTAACCTTTATGGCTTCTATCTCAATTGCCTTTTAATTAAAAATTACCAAAAAGCTACGTGTTCATATATCCATGTGTTTGACCATCGGTGGGAGCAAATGCTAAGTACACCTGGTCAAACTCAGCAACAACTGTCTCTCCTCGATTAAACACAAAGTAAAATACAGGGATAAAAAAAGGTAAAAAAAAAAAAAAGATAAGATTCTAGCGCAGCTGTAGACTGGAACAGAGATATTACTCGCGCCTAGTCCACTCTGGGTGCTCTTGAAGCTGACGCTGGCTAATTTCCGAGTCTTCGTCGTATTCTGAAGAAGAATTATGTGTAACGGTAATTAGTATGAGAGGTCAAACGTACAACATGGGTAAAACAAATAACAACACCTTATCATCATTGTGCATGCTTGTTAAATTTATGTACCTAGTAATGGCCTTGTTCGTTGGTTAGTTTTTTGTAACTCAGTGGTAGAGCGTTCGTCTGCCAATTCTGAGTTCTGGGTTTTTTTTTCTTAGAGAACTCAGATTTTTCATCTATTTCTCTTTTTTCGCCCTCTTGCCAAAAAAAGAAACAAAAAATAAAAAAACGAGTGACACCTTTACTCGAATATTTTACAACTGTTCACAAAAGTGGAGGAGGCTAGTGGTAGATATACATCAAAATAGAGTTTAACGAATTAAAAAAGAAATGACCATTGAAAACACGATGATTGGCATATCAGTTTATCTGATTCTTTTTTACAGCGAGAGTAAATCAGTTCTGCTGTTCACCTGAAGCGGCTGAGGACAAGAGTTTGAGTCTTTTTAAAGTGTCTGCAATGTCTTCCACCTTTTCTTTCCTTTCCACGTCAACAATAGCTTTGTTTTCTCGACAATAATCTACAAAACTAGAAAAAAAAAGAGTTGAAATAAGATTTTGCTCCAGTAGTAGAGAGCACAAAACCTATACAGTTTAAAATAGAAAAGGTTATGAGTTACCCAAGTTGTATCTGGCACATTCTTTATTTTCTAACAGTTGTTATGAATGTAATCTGTTCCACTCACGTTCTCCAGTTCTCGTCCAAGTAGAGCATGTCCGGATTCCCTATGAGAATCAAGAGAGCCTGGGCACGAGTTATGGCCACGTTGAATCTCTGGAGGAAACGAGTGAAGTGTTACTCGATAAAAGTGCGTTAGATCACCTAAAGGGATGTGCGATACCGGAGTCTCCCTATAAATCTACGAACTACTTTTTCATTCATACCTGAGCTTCTTTGGGCATGACACGAGCGTTTTGCCATAAGTTAAGGAAAATACCAAAATTATAAATCTCGGGATTCGATGGCTACAGGAGAGGTATGATAAACGTAAATGTGATTAAACCAGCCATTTCTTACCCTTCGAAGGAGTTTTGAACCTTTTCAAAAATGTAGCTAGTCATTAATTCTACCACTTTCAAATTACCAACTTTTCCCCAACCACAATTGAATCTTTATTCCTTGAATTAACCGATAATAATAATAAAAATAACAATGGTAGGAATTACGATAAAAAAAAAACACACAGAAAAACCTGCCCCTGCATATGACGGGTTTAGTAAAACGCAAAGATTAACTGGATACCATACCTTGGGATTGTTGAGGAATCCGAGGCCGAAGTCCTTGTTCATCTCCAGATATTCTTTCTTGGTGCTCCTGACTGTTGACAAGATGATTACTCTTCTTTCTTGCCCCTGAAACTCTTCCACGCTGCCAACTTTGATTTCGCCACCAAAGCGTCTTCTTTCAATCATTTTCTGAATCTTTTGCACCTTGCCATGAAAAGAGAGTTCTGATTAGCGATAAGGACTGAAAGGTAAACAACTAGTGATGAGATCTGCTGGGATGTTGGACAGACCAGGGTGGGGGAGCCTTCAATTTAACAGATGAACTCTGATCGCTAAAATATTGAGCATGATGCGTGCCAAGGCGTTTACCTTACAATGTACATGGAAGAACGAGGAGACATTTAATTCTTTTGGGGAATTAACTGAATTGGAAAGCTTTTTGACAAGATTTAATTGAAGAAAAAAACAAACAAACAAAAAAAAGCAAAAAAACATCAAAGAATGTACGCTATCGAATCGTCTAACACCAGGAACAATGCAAGATAAGTTCCATTCTTGTACTTACTTGTCTTCTATAAGGAGATATCACCCCAATCATCTCAGGTCTCAAGTGCTTTAGTCCTCTGCTCCTCACATTGTCGTCTAACAGTTTCCTCAGGTATCGCTCAATAGTTTCCACCTCAGCCACATTAAAGAAAGAAGGGCTGCTGCCTTCTCTCTCGTCCTTACCAAACACCGGATGGAAAATAATCGGGAAGTTCTTATTCGGAAGCTCTTCCCAGCCTACCATCACATTTCTTGGAAAAAAACAGGTGAATATTAGCAGTGCAATGTTTTACATTCCGGTTTGGTTGACGTAGGAAAGTGGTGTGAAACAAAGCGCGAGTAACTCTCCAACGGGTATCACCGCCGGTGTTACGGGCTGCTCGCTAATAAGTTATTTCCTATATTACATTTTCATGTAGCTAGTGTCTTAAAGTGTAGCTGTTTTCTCATTTGCTGTAGCTTTGTAGAAAATATGCGATTTTTTTTTTACCTGAAATCTTCAGCGCATTCATTCAGCTCGTTATCATAAAACAGCTGCTTGGGAATCTCGATAATGGCTTTGTGTGAACGGTAATTGTTCACAAGTTTTGTCAACAGATTTGGATTATAACTCCCTCTGGGTCCACAATCGTAGGCAGGACATGACGTCATCAGCCGTTCCAAAAGAGAAGTTTCTGTGAATATGAGACAACGGCGGCTCATTTAAAAGGAAGTTTTCCCACCTTGTAAGCGGGTAAGTAGCAAAACTCTTTGATTATCTCTTTGGAAATAACTGTTTTAAATAAATCGCGAATTTCAAAGAGCAGAAAGTCTGACGTTCAGCTTTTGTCTGAAATGTCAACTTTAGCCTGAATTTTAAATGTTCCTGTTGTCTACTGATAGACGTACTGGAACTGATGATCATAAAGGGCCGGGAGGGAACAGAGAAACGGGGAAATATGTGTACAGTGTGTACAGTGACTGCTGATGCAGATGTTATCTGTGACATACTCACCCAGTCCATATTTCTGTGAAATTGGGGATCTGAGGATCGGGCCCAACTGCTTAGGGTCTCCCGCAAGCACCAGCTGACCGCCCCTGGGATTATTGGGATCCAGGAGGTCCGCCACAGGGATGATACACTCAGGTTCTGTTGCATGACCCGCCTCGTCTATGAAAATGTGCGTGAAGTGATCTCTTGGGAACAATGCTGACACCAACCTGAGAAAATGATGCAAAAATAAAAGTTTTGGCAGTCAAACGTCTTGTAGAACGATAAAACGAGTTTGTTTTTCTTCATTCCTTGACGTTCTTGTTTGCAAGGGAGAAAATGTACTCAGATACTTACATAGCACCATCACCAGTTTTGATGATGGCAGGTTATTTTCAATTACAGACACAGTGTTACCACCTACCTTCCTGCCGTGACCAGAGTTGTAACAATTATGCGATAGTCGCTCATCAACTCTTCTTTAGAAGGGAAATACACTTCACGTAACACAGGGTCAAAATTTACCACTCGTGCGTCCTGAAAAGTGAACATCAGTTTAAGAAGCTAGATATATCTCTCCGACTATGATTAGTTCAGATGTGGACTTTGCGTAACATTTTTTGTAAAATCTAGGGTCTAAATATTTAGGGCAGTTGAATGCTGGAACTATCTGTCCAAATAATGCTATTGTATAAAAATGAGTGGAAAGAATTAGAGTGTTCACCTTGAGCTTTTGAGGCACAAAGTCCCACGGCCTTGACGCAGCATAAATCCGGAACAAATTGCCTTTATCTACATGAGGCAACAGGCGCTCAGCTAATAAGTCAGCAGCGCTGTTTTCTGGCGAACACACCAGAATGTAGCTTGAGCCAATCAAAGCGTGCACCTTTAGGTAGCGAAAAGAAGATAGACAGCGAATTACAGGTTGCATTTTTCAGTCCATCAATGAAACTGCCAAAATGCTAAAAAAAAAAAATAACCTTGGCCGCTTTCCATTTGTTGGGACAACCCAGTAGACCCTAAATTGAACGATTCAGCGTTGAAAACCAACCAGCCGAACCAGCGTTTACCTACAAGCACATAGCTAGTCAGGATTCATGCTCCTGTGATATCTACTTGCAAAATTCGCAAGCGTTTTTGCTGAAAATTGCTGTATTTACAGCCCTAAATGGCCGTTTTTATGCTAGAGACGTTAAAGTTGTCTAAGACGTTAAAGTCGTCTCGAGACGCCATTAACGTCTTAGACAACTTTAACGTCTCTAGCATAAAAACGGCCAATTTCCGGTGACACTTTACATTGGTTACAGGCGACAACGCGCAACTCGCACGCTAGGAATAGACTTAATCTTTCCATCCAGAACCAGAGCCATTTTCATCAAATAGGCTAGAAATGGGAAAGCTCCCCAATAAATCCTCCTCACCAGTTTAATCGCCTCGACCAAAGTAACCGTCTTTCCAGTTCCGGGGGGTCCAAACACGAGATATGGAGCAGGGCGTGAAGATCCAGACACAATCTTCTGGACCGCCTGCTTCTGTTCGCTGTTTAGATTACGATCGTAAAAGAAACTGAAAACAAGAAATAAATTACAATATTTTGTGTATGAGCCGATTAAAAGTGATCTCAAATTCTGAAAATCTACTTTGCATGTGGTTGTACTAAAAAAGAATAACACCAATGCGGTAAATGTTAACGATCAAGCTTTATAGCGTAGCCCCATGATTATACAAAATAGTAGTAACTCATCAAGCCGAAAAAATTTGAATGTACGACCGTACGACCGACCGTACAAGGTGCTACTTTTAGCATGCGCGGCCAACTGTACCACGGGCACTATCTCATAATCAGTCCTCTACACGGACATGGAGAAGTTGCGAATGAAAATCCATTAATATTATCACGCATTTTATCCATAGTAGGGGCTTTAGTTTTGTTGAAGAGACGTGCGGGAAAAAAAATGCGAGCTCCGCTTTTAGGCTTGCCTAAATCTATATATTATATGTAGTTATGTGGACAATAAGAAGCTTTGCATCTCTACGCCGACAATTAGTAAGACCGCACTGAAAGAAAAAGATGCTCTCTTGGTAGTATTCATTACCTAGAGAGCTAAATTACTATAAGATCTGGCAAGTCCTAGCTTTAAAACTCTAATCGTAGTATTTTTCCCAGTCGGTATCTAGAACTGGAATGAGTCTGAAGCGTTATCGAATCCCTATAATTTCTTCCAGACTTTGATTTTCTGCAGTTTCTATATTTGCAGTTCATTTGTGACGATCAGTCTATATCACTAATCATCCACAAGCCAAAATATTATGACTCGTACATTAGTTGTTTCAATACTTATACATCATCGCAGTAATTCTAATTTTGTACAGGATGAGAGCAGGCAATGCATGGAAGGCATCTCTTAAGTGCAAAACATGGCAATACCGTGAATTATCACGGTTTTTTTTTATTTACAACTTACCTGACTTCCTTGTTAATTTCTCCTTTCTGATCGAGACAGTCTTCTGATGGGAAGAGAACGTGTCGCATGTCTTGCCTGTTCACAGATGCAATCCGCTCACACGCGCGATGTTCCATCTGTACTGCAAGTCGATGGAAAGTGAACTGGATGTCGAACTTCTTACCCTTAACATAAGGCATACTGAGAAGAAAATTATGAGATACGAGATCACAACACACTCCTAACCCCTTGGAGGTGACTTCCTATAAACAGCAATTTTCTTATGACGTGCTCTGCTTTCACAGAAACCTTCGCACTACATTCAGTCGTCAGTCCTTTCCCAGTGAGTCGTTGTAGTTTACCGAGTCTCATTGTTCTACATAGAATAAACCGGCTATCATGAAGTAACAATTCTCATGGTTCGCTTTCTACGCCAGAAAAAGAAACTCATGCAAGACTCTGAGAACAACGACACCTTCTTATATTATATTTTGACTAATGCACTACGTACTCGTTCATGTCAAAGCCAAGTTTCACATCCAGCATTTGGACTTTGTGCACGATTCCTTCGTATCGTCGCTGTAATACACCTGGCTCGTAGGCATAGATCTTGTCACCGCGTAACACGGACGGGCGATTTTCTGCAAGACCAGGTACCTAAAATTCACACACAAAAACAAAAAATAAAACTTAAGCAAAAGAAAAAATTAACCACGAAACTGAAATCCTTTTAGTCAATAAAACTCTTCCTATGCGTTCCATGCACGTTTCTTTTTCTCTAGAGGAAAATGAAACCTCAGTGGTCCAATAAAAAAATTATAGAAAATTCATCATGGTATTATAGAAGGACGAGTGCTAAATTCCCCGTATACTAGAAGAAAATTGAACACCAGACCCTGGAGGTTTTCGAAATCAAGCAGTGTGGCCAAAAGAAAATAATCTTTCAGACATAAATGGAAAATAAACGACGAAAAATTGCTTTTCTCGGCATCGGTGTTATATTTGGAAACAAAAGAGGCTTTTAATATAACATGTGTTCTTGATTGGCTCAAGAACATCTACCAACCTCTAAGATCAGAAAGCGTCTGTCTCCTCTTTCCTGTTGAAAAACAACTCCTTTCATATCATAGTTTCTGATATCCTTCTGCATTTGTAGTTCTTCCACGTGAAGAAGCAGAGAGAACGTCTCTTTGTAGTTGTCAAAGCTCAACTTCTTTTTCAGTCGCTCACTGAAAACAAGACAAGCAGGTGAGCTGCAGATTATACACCTCATTTTAAAGCACAAAGTTTCCTTACCAAAGTCCTTCTCGGATTTGATTGCTTTTAATGACCTGGGCTTTTACAGTTAAAGGGATTTCGTGAACGTCTAGCTTCTCCATAATTAAGCCATTCCTCTGTAACCTAAAAGGCAAGGAAGATCAAAATAAAAAATATCAGTGACGTTGAATATTTGAATTACATAACTGAGCACATGAGTTATTACCTCTGATTTAATTCGTTTTCTGCCTGAAAGTCAGTAAATAAAAATTATCATATACGATTGGAATCCATATCTTGGTTTATGAGTACGTGTTACTTACGTTTATAGATTTGAGGAAAGTCTCAGAAAAGTTTTGAACGTATTTTTCATAAAAAAAAAAATAATAATGATAATAATAAGCACTCTATTAACAAGAGTCACTCTTGTTAATACAAGACTTCCTCGGAGGGAATTTTGAATGCCAAGAACCACACATTTTAGAGCATAATTAGTTGCATAACCAGTTGCCGAATCTCTTTTGTTTGGAGATGCATTTAACAAATGTCTCTAGAAACTGAAACTGTGCACTGAAGGTGCATGTCCTTCGTCTTAGTATTCAGCCTTGTAGGTTGGTTGGTTTATGGCAAGTGGTATTTATGCCTTAAAAGATTTTTTTTTCGAACTCATACTAGCGTTTTCAATGAATTAAAGTATTTCAGTGATACTTCTTCAGGTATTCCGTGGACCAACGCAGACGGATGATGAAAAAGAACAATCTCAAAAACCGATAACTGAAAAATCAACAACGCAGAAAATGCCATACTGTACCGTGGAAGGGGTATCCCTTCAAATGTTTTAACATCCCTGGGAATTTCTGTTGCCCGTTGGGGAGGTTTATACTCTGAGGTCTGCTTCAAGTCATCGTACAAGTCACTCACGATGCGCACAGAAAAAAACCTAAGGATGTGAAACTCCACCCCGTCTTCGGTCTGAAATGTAAGCACACCGGGAACATACGAATAACCAAACTCCCGGCGATGTTTGCAGCCAATCCTGAACCTCCTCTGACAACCTGTTAAATAAAAATCCATTTCCTTACGTCACTGTAGAGATATGCATAACATTACGAAGCAATTTAAACTCAGTAGTAAAGCAGTTTTCACAAGATAATGGACTGCCCTCGTTCGACTGAGTCCAAAGCAGTTGACTATATGCGCAATCTAAACCGGCACAATACATGTAATATTTTTTGCTCGCGCCGAATGTTCAGTTAGACCTACAAGAAAAAAGAAACTAGAAGCGCTTTACGTGGAACCTTGTTATCAAGTTCACGCTCTTAAAAACGAGCTACACTGAAATAGAACAGTTAGTCTGTAGGCGTCGAGATCGGTGTCTTTGATGTGCATTTTGGCAGCGATTCCAGGACAGTCCTAAACCATCGGAGACAAATGTTCTTCATAGCACATCATCTCAACCATTTTATTAATGCCGTATTAGGTAGGATTTACTGGAAAATATATGTATTAATCATGAGGAAAATTCCCTCTTCTACTGCAAATATATCTTCCTTCTCTATCATAAGTCTACTCCTCTAATATCAATGTCACAATTAAAGAAAATTGGATGAAACTTAGCAATGGAAATTTCGTAATTGCTCTGTAGAGCAAGTCGAAAATTACCTGGGTGGAGCTGACCCTCAAAAAACCCAATATTGGATATTTCCGAGTAATCAAAAAAGTTGACACTCCATAGTAGGGTTATATCCTTCAGAGTGATGTCCTCCTTACTGAGGTTCTCTATGATTAACACAATTTGCCCGTATTTTCCACTCTCCACTTTCAATTCGATCACACCATGTTCATCTGCAGCGGGATCTGAAGTAACTCTTATCCCATTTTTGTCGAAGACAAGCTCTGGCCTGGATGAACAAAAACAGAAAAAAATGACTTGTTACCTAGGAATTGTCTCAAAGTTTTTTCAGGTCTGCTTTTTCCCTTACTTGACAAATATCACCCCTTATTTTGACAACCATACAAGAAACATATATCATCAATTTTCATCCTGAATCTGGTTTATTTCAATGATGTTTGTCACGTAAATCTATGGAAATACTTAACTAACGAGAGAGAAGGGGGTTAGTCATGACGGGAGAGCAGTAGGGGGGAAACTTACTTCCCGTACTAAGAACAGTCGGGGAAGAAAAATTTAAGATCATCTCTGAACACGTCCAAATTGTCCCTAATTTACATGTGAGCATTCTAAAAACTAAAACGAAACTTCAATATTACTAAGAAAGCAACCATTATTTAATCATGCAGCTAAATGGAAACAATGAAGTCAATTAAATCATTATTTCTGTAATCTTGTAAGTATTGTAACTAGTTTTTCCTGACTCTCTTTAGGAACGAAATAGATATTAGCAAAAAGCAGAATAATAAAATACCTTTGAATTACCTTGCAAAGGAAAACACTTACTTTTTCAGTGATTTTCGAATCGTTATGAGGATATACTGTTGGCGATGTTTCACCCCTTCGATGTGTTTGCTGTAAGCTCTATCATCTCCAAGATCTCTTTTACATACATTACAATAGAAAGGGATCAAGAGGTACCAAAGATCCTCAACAGAATCAACAGAATCATCAGAATCATCAGAATCATCAGTGAGGAGTTGAAGAGCTGCGGCTTCTCCGCCACCAAAGATAACACGATCTTGAAGTTGCTGACAAGCATTTATATGGTACGTGAGCGTGTTCAAAGTTTTGGAGAATGACATACCCAGCGTGTCGTACAAACGGCGAAATTCTCCTTGGTATATCTGCCTCAATTCGTCTACAAACATGTCTTCCTTACGATTGTTGTCCTCCAGAAACTTAACAAACGTTTGGGCAATAATTTTCTCCTCCTCAAGACTTCTGCTCGACCTCGGGCGGCGACTACGAAACATACTGGGAAGGTCTGCAAAGGGAATGATCAAGCCGTTTTTAAACGAAAAAGCTTATAAGGTCTAAGAGGTTTAGGGCTTGTGACATCATAAACGGGTATTGTGCAAAAATTCCAAAAATCCTTGATGCTCGGTTTACTTTCGTTTTTTAACGAACTTTCACTTAAAGACCAATTATTGAACTCAGAATGCTTTATTTTATTAGACTTACTAAACAAAGGCTGCTGTAGCTCCTGAAACATCTACACTCGTCTTTCAAATCCTCGAATCAGTGAAGGCTGCGATGGATAATCTCAAATTAAACTGCTCACTAAGAATTTTAAAGCGGCTTGACATAACCAGCAGGTTAAAGGTTTCGTTGTAAACCATAATCACATTACGAGAAATTTCAAAATCTTTCTCGACCTCCGATCTTCAATGAACACAGTACTCGGTAGTGGACGAATTTCTCGAGCAGAAACATATCTGTTGGTAAGCAAGCGAGAGATTATGTCGTCGATATAGCGTTTCCAAACTAGCAGTTTGTTAACATTTTTAATCGAAGATTTGCGTATCGATTTTAACCATGAAGATGTTTACAAACGTTACTGCCTTTTTGGTGACCATGGCTGTTCCATGCGTTCGCAAATACTTTTGTTCTTTGAATTGGAATGAATATGTACTTTCTCTAGCGAAGGCTTGGGGGGGGGGGGGGAGGGAGGGCATCTCTGTAACAATTCTCGTTGCTGTGCATACTATGTTTATGCCCTCAACTTGTGGTATATTTGTGCATAAGCTCGGAACATGCATTGAAACGAGTATCACTTCTTTCGGAAGCTTTTTTTTTCTGTGAAGTTCGTGAAGTTTGTTGTATCTTTGAGATATGTGCGATCGGCTGAAAAATTCAATAGCTTTTCTGTCACTCCTTTCGTAGGTGAAAGATTAAATTTTGTTCTAGAGCTTTGCGGCTTTCCGAACTGCCTGGATGTCGGGAAAGGCCGCATACTGCCACATGCTGCTTAGAATGATTAGGGAGATTAAAGTGTCCAGCGACTGGTTCGGATGCGTCCTTGTCATTTCCTTCTACGTCGCGACGGTGTTCTCGGAATCGGTCACCAAGTCGTCTTCATGTTTCGCCTTAGGTTCCGACGTTATGAATGAAAGGACAAGTTTTGCATCGTGAGCGAGCGCACTTGAAAGTTCCAGGTTGGTCATTGGTTTGAATTGAATTTCTGACCAAAAAGTTTCCTAGGTTTTTGTCACGTTTGAATGGAATTAGTGGAGGTTGCGAAAAGATAGTACCTGAATTGTTTTGAAATGATTTAAAGTTTTTGAGAATAATAGATTTAACTGTGTGGTTGTGAGGGTAAAATATAAGAGTGAAAATCTGAGAGTGAATGGCATGCGGTCAGTGTTTTCCTTCTCAGCCGTTTGTAGTGCTGACTGTCGATCAATTTGTTGGGCGCGGTGGTGGCCCGCTTAAACGACAGAGACAGCATAGCCACGTTTATCGAAATCAAAGTGCTGTGTGAGCAAACTCGTGAATTGACAGAATTGACATGATTTTTTGGATTATGTTTAATGTTATTTAGTTTAGGGAATTTTGCGATTGATTGTCATATTTAGAGTACGAGCAGTAGTTCAGTGTTCGCTAATGTAGCAAAGAAACAAAGTATAAAAAAGGCATTACAATTGATATAATCATGCAATTACATTTGACAAGGGTGGATAATGTCATGTGTTTTAAACATATGTCATTTTTGTTTCTGGTTCAAAAGAAAAGGTTGAAAGTAAATGCGGGTGGAAAGTGAAATTTACTGTCTATCATTGTAAACATTGAAAAATCAAGGCAATACTGTCTTAATGAAAACATTAATGATTCCCAATCAAATGAGACAAACGGGAACGAGTTTGAGCGATATAACTTAGCCCGGACTGCCACCGTCATTTTGGATTTCCGCCTGGGTAGATTTTGGGCACGTGCTAGGCAACGTATAATCAAGAACAAAATAGAACTTCATTTCAGGCCTATTTATCAATTTTGTGGTGTATAACTTTAGCATTTCAGTACGTAGGATTTATTTTGAATCTTCAAATCGTCTTGAAACTTAAAAGAAAATTGTTCTTTAAAAATTCGCTGAAAATCGGTAGCCAAAATTATTTGTTTAGGCGTTATTTGATTTTCGTGTTAACACCTGTAATTTCGTCAGTCGCCGGCACCTTTTGTTGCTTCACACAGAAAAAACACACGATACGAAATGTAATGATCGATTTTGTCCCTAAAATCACGCCATAACAGAAAAAGCTTTTGAACACCTCTAAACTCCGAGCGTTTCGGAGAAAGTGATATTTTTAATGAATCTTCGAATTGTTTTCAAGTTCAAGTACTGTAACTTCCAATTTTATGAAAAACGAAGGTTATTTTCTTATTTCAGTGTGAATCCTGGCACGCTTGCCAGTCGCTGGCGCCGCTTCTTGACACTAAAACGAGAAAAATAAACTCTTTTAAGATTATCATTGGCTTCTTTTTCACCCCACCACTATTCTCAGCAACAAAGGTCGCCGTTTCGTTTTTTTATTACTCACCAAAAACTATCAAATGCACTCAAAAGCCTAAAATCGAAAAAAAGTTTACAGGAATCGACCAATCGAGCGAGCGAGCGAGCGAGTGCCATTCTCCACATCATATCTACAACTCGCTCTTGCGCATGCGCGCAATTCACGAGTTAAAAATGACACATTGCCTCTGATTTTTCGGAAAAAAACAGAGTCGTCACTACATAAACGACGAAGTCTGAGAAACTGAGAAAAAGGTATGGAATACTTGACGTGTATTGAACGCGAGGATGAATACAACAATTAAACTATGAGAATCTGCAGGTTTGTATTTGGTTGCTGCCTACCTGGACTTTACCCCGTGTGTGTGGAATACGTGATAAAATGCAAGTTTGAAATAAGAGAGATGGTAAATTTTGAGCTCGGTAAAGAAATAAAGATAGATGTTTTTTCGTCTTTTCACGAGCGCACGAGTCAATGTTAGATCATCAATTTGAGTTCATCAGGAAGCGCTATGGAAACTCAACGCGAGTTCCTTGTATAAGTTGAGGATGCAATCAGAAAGCCTGACATTTCGAAGAGCGTTCTGAGGTGCACCAGGCACTTGGCTTATGCCCTCCAATCTTCTTCTCAAAACTCAGCGTACGGTTGGATATAATAACAGCCTGAAGAACGCAAGTTTCGACATGAAGCTGGGAGTCAACAAATCGGTGAATTTGGAGATGAATATAGTCGGAGTAAGGGACATGAATGGGGGCTCATCAAAAATCAACCAATCAACCAACCAAGGTTAGATGAAACACGAAGCACGAGCGACAGCGAGTCAAATTATGACATAATTAAAGCTGATTAAAGTTGATTCATCGCTTGTTCTTTTGAAAGCGCTCAACCATGAATATGACGGCTCCCACGATTAGAAGCCATGCACTTTGACAGAGGAAGCTGATCACTGATCCAGCAGTCTTGAAAATGAAGCCGACTATTGAGCCGATGAGACCTGAAAGAATTCCCGCGATCTTACTTCCATGAGTCTTAAAACCATTTCCAACTCCTTTGGCAACAGATTTCAGGGTTCTTGTCAATGCGCTCACAATCGTTGTTCCGACTGCGAGCACAACAGCTGAGACTGTGAAACCATATTTCTTGGAAATATTTCTCACTCTCTTTTAATGAAGTGCCTTCTTCAAGTTCTTCTCTCTCATTCTCAAGAGCATCAATCCGCTCTCGATATTCTATTATCCTTTCTCTTGCTCTTTCTCTTATAGCTTGGTCTTTCTCATCACCAGCAATCCCCCGATCCTCCTGAATAGACTTCTGCAGCTCCTCAAGTTCGTTATCCTCCGAGCAATCAAAACTCACGCTCCGGGCCAAGTGAGGTTTTGATTTGTTTTAGGAGTGATGGATTCAACCTTTGTTTCTTTTCACCCCTTTCTTTACTATACAATATGTCTTCTTGCCCTGACCAAATATCTTTAACTGCAACTTTAACTTTTTTACTGTAAGAAACCTCAAGTTCAGAAGCTTTTGCCTCAAGACAAATTCTGGTAGGCGATTATCATGCATTCTCATTCGAAGTGATGACTCGCGAATTAGCAGTATCACCTTCAATGAGCTGAACTGAGCGAAGCTCTTCTTAGCAGTAATGTTTGCCGTTTTATGGTCCACATGCAGCTTTTGAAAACAATAAGCCTGGCGATGTTCTATCCGTTTGCGGCCGTCTTTGTTGTTTATAGGTCGCGCCACTCAATTTAGCGGGATGATCGTGCATGGGACACAATGATTTGGATCTAATCTTCTCCAGACATAAAAACCCTTTCGAGTCTCCTTAGTGAACGCTTCTTTTACGAAGTTTGGTTGCTACCATTAGATGCACAGGGCTTCGAAGCTTGAGGCTCCAATCAATTAAAAAATATTGTTTTGAGCCCAAATGTCCACAGAAATTTGCAATTTTCTTGGCCATATAATGCTATTGACACGAATGTGAAATAAATGTACAGTTTTCTGCCCCCACGTCTAAGAAATTGTGAGAGAATACTGGACAGATGAAAGATATCAGATTATCTATCGTAAACGTGTTACTCATGCTGTGAAAATGGCGGATAGTTGTTTGAGAGAAAATGGAGTTGGAGTTCTGTGCACTGTGGCACGATCATGGTTATTGTTCCTTCACGACGAGGGTGAGGGGAAAATTTTGAATCAAATATTGCTTGAGGTGTTGATGAATTGCACCGAACATTTTGATTTGCGTAGTTCTTTAACGGAAAGCTGTGTTGCAAGATTCATGATTTGCTGAGTATGCCGATTATATTTTTCTGGATTGGTTTCCTCGGTGCTATCTCTAGATGAATGTCTGATTAAAATCAACTATGGACGATTTTGTGTGGCTCCTAGGAAGCTTTGTCGCCTCGTGTGACATCGTGTTTGATTGATACGCAATGTTAAGATGTGTTTTTATTACATACAACGATTTTTCTACGAAAGATGGCTGAGTTTTCTCCTTGGTAAACATAGTGGTGTGTTACACTTGGATCAGGTCTTTCGATGTTAGAAGTTTGAACAGTTGCAAGTGTGTTGCAAGGTGGATTTTGTGTCATTATTGGCTGTTGAGGGAAATGTTTGGCTGTTTCGAGCGTAATTTTGAGGACACTGGACGAATGCAAATGTTTTCGATGCCTGGGGAAAGTGATCTTGTGGAGTCGTTTATGTTTGGCCATGTTTATTTTCATTCTGTTATCTGGAATGAATGATTTACGGCAATGAATTAATATGACGTGATCTACTGAAGTTGAAAATATATCAAGTCGAGGGAACAGTTTTGGTCTCGGTCCGCATTTTTGTCAACAAAATGAACATATATCGGTTAAAAAGATGATAATACGGACAACGTGCAAAGCTGTCAATTGTTTCTCGAATATTGCGCGTGTTAAATAATCAATTGTGACATCTCATTTACATCTACATCTACTTTTATTAAGTTGGTAAAATCTGTACAGAAATCACACCAACCAACTTGCGCTCAAAGTGAGGAGACTTTACGAAGGCTTGAAATTATATTAAGAACGATTTTGATCAAGAAACGGGCCAGTAATATTCCACAATAGTGCAAATAATCGTGAGAGCTGATCGTGGAAAAGCGATTGTGTGACGCTCGGTAAGTTGTAAGATGACATGTTATCACATACCAGACGAAAAAACACCTTAAATTCTCAGTCTGCATTTTGTACCCTCTCTGCAGTCTGCAGTCTACATTTTGTATCCGGTCTGCACTCTGCATTCTGCAATCTGCAGTCTGCATTTTGTACTAACAGGTATCCATGGCACCGATACAGTTTATTTTTAGTTACAGTTATTTGCACAACACACACAATCGAGCACAAAATACCTGTGTGTGAGTTAATTCGACATTTTCGTTCTTTTTCGCATTAATACTCTTTCCTTACGTAAAATTGTAGACATCACTTAAAATGATTCAATTAATCCAACCACCCAAAAAATAACTCTTGCATGTTTACGATCAGTCTCCAGCCGAATCTTTTAAAAAACCTTTCAAGAGTACATAAAAAAAAGTACTAACAAAGGGTGAAATTTTCAGACCTGGCGACTGCATTCTATCACACCAAAACAACTTGATGCTCTTTTGGTTAATTAGGGGGAAACGCGAGACGTAGTCGAGTGCTTCTTCCCACTTTTTGTTGATCTAGTCGCTTCCTTAGGCCCCATTTACACGGTCTCAGGTACCTGAGACAACCCTCCCCCCTAGTTACCATGGGCGAGCTAACTTTTCACTTATTTCCTGACAAAATTCAGCCGACCGTTTACATGAAATTATGAACTGTCCCGCCAGGCAGCGAGACAACTTTTCCTCATGTAAACACCTCGTCTCGCCGACCCGAGACGAGACAACTCGAACAGAAAATGCGTGCGCACGCCATGACCAGGATATTTACAGCTATTTTTTTCCTGTCCTCCGCCATTTTGTCAAATATGTAACCTGGCTGAACGAGGGTCAGTAGATGTTAGATTTCATATAAACGCTCCGTAAAGTTGTCTCGGGGGAAGGGTTGTTTCGGGTACCCGGGACCATATAAATAGGGATTTCGTGCTTTATAACAGAAAAGAGCACAGTCAAATTCCACTCGCACGACAGCATGTTTTATACTCTCATAAAACGCGCTAAGATAAGCCAATCAAAATCCTTGTAAGAATTGTTCAAAAACATCTGATCGGCTGAATAAGACTAAAGCTGTCAAAATATCAAACCATCAAGGTTTACGAACCATCAAAGTTCACAGTCTGTAATAGTTCGGGAAGTCGAAGTCAATACTTTTGCTTTTAGTTTTTTTAGTCTTGATTCAGAGTCCGAAAGCGAAATGTTAAACGAAACCCGGCCGAATTGTTGCTCATAAAAACACGCATGTTTTGTTACCTATCAATAAGAAAACAAAAGTCTCAAGACGTGTGTTTTACGAATGAATGACAGCCGAATTCTCAGGAACATGAAGATCGCTCGAGGTGACAACGCCGAAAAACTTGGCTTCTGTGACCGATGTGGCCTTACATTCAATGCTTTGAACAGGATATCAGAGCAAGTTTTAAGTTGTTCACTCGAAGGGAGGACGATTCAATTTCTAAGGTTTCCTTCACTGCGATGACCAGAGATCATCATGATGAGCTAACCGCGATAGACCACAGCATGATCTGCTCTGACGCAATCGTGCTTTGGATAAATTTTAAAAATTATGCCAGTTTCGTTATATTTTTTCAACCTTTTCTGTTTTGTTCCGTTTTGTTTTTGAACGAGAACTATACATACTATACGAGTGTTAACTGTGTTTGAGTTTAATTACCTTTTTTTGGTTTTTCTGCTGCTTGAAGCCGGCTCCCTTGTTCCAAAAATTCACCTACAATTAGAGAAAAAAGGTTGAGAGAAGTTAGGGGAATGGTCGGACACAGTGCACATTGACAGATGGCGGGACGGCTCTGGCTCAGCTCCGTGTTTTGCACTCTGATAAGACACGCTCTTTCAACCAATGACAGCGCGCATTATATCCGGACTTAATCAAAATTCTCCTTAGACAAGCCTTTTGTTCCGTTTGGCTGGAAAAATATAAAAGATATGAACCATTTAAATGAGCAAATGACCTTACAGGTCTTTGTCAACGACATTCTTAGTGTTCGTAAAAGTTGGGTTGATTCCATTGCAAAATTTTTCGAAACCCATGACATGAGGGATAATACCCTGACGCTCTGATTTGTGCACTCCTACCCCTATGCTGTGATCTGATTTGTGCGAGATGCATACCCTAATGCGGCTATCTGATTGGTGTAAGCGGCATACCACTCTCTGCACTGACAAAAGAGATATTTCTTAAAATGAAAAATACCTCAAAAACAAAATAAAGCAAAACTAAAGAGGGAATAGTTTCCTTTCAAAAATAGTATTAAGTGCAAAAGCTGAAATTGATAAAATTCTTTCTTTACTTTCTTTTCATTAATCAATATAAACTGAGCTAAGTGTTTGTGACTTTTCCATCCCCATGGTTTCCAAGTTTTACCTCGTTCTGCCAGTTATTTTTCATGACCGTGGGTCAAGGGATGACTGTTTTTAGAGGACTCATCACAAATTACCATTGTTCAAGACAAACTCTTTATATTAACCTTTAACTTCCAGAGGTGATTGAAAAATGTAACTTCTTCCTAAAATATCCGTTATCCACTTTATCCAGCAAACAAGTAACGAGAATACAATACTCAAATTTCACAGGAAGAAGTTGTAATCTTGATCTAATGCCAAATTCTTGTAACTAATTCACAAGGAAATGTGTAACAGCTAGATGGGAGATTTAACAATCAGATCTTGGCAGTCAAAAATTGACTGTGTGGGGTTTCTGTAAAACCCATGCCAAAATTTTAATTTGTTAAATTTCTCAATAACAAGTTTTAATTTAAATCTTGCAGTTACCTTTCATTTTCTCTGACTTTGCAACCTCTATCTTCTCTTTCCATTTTTCCAAATGTGGTTCACGACCTTCAGAACTTTTGAAGTATGACTGAGAGCACAAAGCATCTTGAGAGAAAAAATAACAGAAAACAAATTTGTGCTTGCCATTCACTTAAAACTCCACCACAATTATGGCTGACCAAAACTATTTGCTCACCCATTTTCCATATTAAGTTGATGAATAATTACAAATAAAATTAAACAAAACCCAAGGAAAACAAGCACTTTATAAACAATGATGACAGGTTGCTGGTGCCAGGTTTATTAAAAAAAATAAACAAATAAAGAGAATTCAACAAACTAATAGTGAAACTTTATACTAAGGTAGACCAATATCTTGTTAACAAATCACTTCTAGCACTGTGAGGACTTAAATAGCCAACACAAGCTTGTTCAATCATACAACAAGTTCTGTCCTGATCAGAAACTTTGCATTTACCTTAAAACCCTTTGGTACTCCATTGTGAAAGAGTGATGGATTGTGTCCAAAAAACCTATTAAATATTTTTTGAAAAGATAAGTTGTCTTATGTAACTTTCTGTTGACTAACCTCTAAGTGCAACTCTCTCAAAGTAGACTTTCCTTGCTTTGTACTCTTCTACGTCCATTGTTGTTTTCAGCTTTAGCTCAGTCAGCTTAAATTCCTTCAAGATCTTTTCAGTCACAAAACAATTTTGAACCATTTTACCAAGATGACCAGATGAATAATCTGTCCACAATTTCTCCAAGATTTGGAGAGATTCACACTTCACTGATATCACCAAACTTCCTAAAGAGGCACTTGTAAAAATGACCCTAATTTCTCTCAAGTATTCCTTAAACATATTATGCTCTTCTATTGACTGTGGTGGTGTGGTCTTAAGGTAATTCATAGCAATTGAGCACAATACTCTATCTTTGAGTGCTTGAGGATCTTCTGTTTCCAATTGAGACAGACTTCCCTCTGTAGGCAACATGGCAGATACCCTCTGGTATTGAACCCCCTGGCATCCTCCTGACTCTGTTGGTACGGTTGTAGTGGGCATATTGGTTTCTTTAGGTTTACACTCTTCTGCCTCAACCTTAATGTTCAAATCCTCATCTGTTGAATTGTAACAAAACAGTCAAATTTAATCCCAGTTTATGTTTCTTTAATCACCTCCCAGCTATTTGAGTAAAATATGATTTAGGTACAACAATGTCAAACATACAGAGCTGCAATGAATGGAAACAAACAACATTTTGCTGCTATGAAAATTATTACCAAATATTGTTTGTTTCAGTTAATTTTGCTAAGTTAGCTCATTGCAAATGATTATCAAAATTCTCAGTGATCTCAATATGAAAACAATTTAAAACATGAAAATATCTAATAAGTGTGATGTAATTCTCACACTTACAGGGTATATGTCATGGTTAAAAATAAACTTTGATCAAAACGATGTTTATAGCTACTTTTGTTTCTGTCTTTCTTCTTCCAAGATAAATTATTAGTATTATAATTCTCAAACAAAGATTATAATTATACAAACCAATGTGAAAAAACCATCAAGTCCATCTCATCAAATTTTAAATACAAAAAAATGAAATTTCAACTTCCTCGTGTTTTTACTACTGAAGACTGTGTTTACTAAATGCATGTTGTCACTATTGATCTATTAACAGTTTCACATGCTTCTTAGACCAGCATTGATTAGAAAACTACTGTTATTAAGCCGTATGTGTGCACAGCTAGTCATAAAACCACCATTTATGCCATTACACGTGGAAGTTTCCAATTCTTTATAAATGAATTACATTGATCTGCCTGCAAACTATTGGGCATCAATATTGTAAATTGCAGTTTAAATGGCTATTTTAAGATTCAATCAGGTTTTAAAAACTTTGCTCCCCAACGGGTTTTTTTTAAGCAAAGAAATTTTGTGACTTTTAATTCCCATTTTTATAAAGGAAAATTGTAACATGCACTTGCACTGGCTTGCTTGCATGGTCATTGTTATAAACATAGTGTCATCTCTTAGTTCCCCTTCCTGTTTGGTTAGAAAAGAAGGGAACAGAAAAGTTATCAGGTTAGATAAAATTCTTCAGCTGATTGCACAAAAACAGAGACTTTATCTCAAAGGTACAACAGATTTCATCAACGTCGCAGAAAAGACAAAGTTTCCAAAAGAAGTGATACTCATTTCAATGGATGTTAAAGGGTAATACACAAATATACCCCCACTCCCCTTCCCCCATTCCATAGTGCTTACTAGAGAAAGCACTTTCAATTGACTGGTTTTGCAGGAAAGCTCATCCCAATTCATGGAACAAAATTACTTGGAAAAGCATAGAACCAAAGCATGGGCACCAAAATGGCAGTGACTTTTGCAAATATCTTCATGACTAAAATCCAGAAGCTAATCCTAGGTAAAGGCACTTGTTTGAAATGCTATATCAACTACAAGATCTCTCTCTTGTATACCAACAGATATCTTGCCACCAGTTCATTGAACGAGGAAATAAACACCACCTAACAATCAAATTTACTGCTGAAACATCTTTTCAGAAGCTACTTTCTTAGACACCACTATCTCTAAGAGTGGAAAATTCAACAGGGAGTTAGTTTCAATGTAGGAACCCACTCCAAACCAACAGAAACATTCTAATACACACTCTACACAATGTGTTACCTACAGGGTGAAAGACTTCACTAAAGGCTAGGTGTTATGACTCCCCATGACGTATTCTTCAAAAGAAAAATTTGAAGTGAACATTGGACAGTTGAAAACCAAAGAAACCTGAGTACCTGAAAAAATGTTATTGACACTCTCAGAAGTGAAATTTGAATGATGAAAATGGGCCTTCTAACAGGGAAAAACAAACAATCAAATCTTGCTCTTTGTAATACCACAAGACTATTCAACAGATCCAAGCCTTATGGAAATCCTTATGAGCAAGTGCATTTAGTACAGCAACCACCATTACTTACAATAGGGAAATCTTCCAAAAACCAGCGGTAACATCATGCAGAAAGGGACGTTCACTCAAACATACTCATGAGAGCAAAACTATAAGGAAGGTGAGAAAACTGGATATACTATGGAGTTGTGTAAACACTTGTGACTTAAATACAGAGAAAATTAGACACTATAGAGTCATTTAGGCCTGTCAACCCCAATTTGCACAGGAGCATTAATTAAGCCTGTTTCTAAAGCATGTAAAGACTTGCCAATGTCTATTTGAGTTAGGGTGACTCATACTGTATCTTAGCAAACCTATGTTGGACCCTCTTTCTTATGTGGCTTAAATATACCTTGGATTTAACTTACAACATAACATAAAATACCAGCAAATCTGAGTAAAAACAGATGTAAATGCAATGAGCTCACCATTAGCTGTTTTCATTACATTTTCAATCATTCTTCTGAATCTTGCACATTCTGTTCTCCAAGAGTAAACCTTCCTGTAGTTCTCTCGCAGCCTCTTGGCATTGGCTTCTCTCTCTTTTGCACTTTCTGCAGACGTCTCTGTAATCCTTTGTGCCCATTCACCTACGTCTTCATCTGATTGAACAATGACAGTGTTTCCACCTTCTACTTTTTCTAAAGCCTCAGCTATGCCAGATTCACCAGAAACAAGAATAGGAACGCCAGCAGAAATGGCTTCGAGGGCAACCAGCCCAAAGCCCTCGGTACGGGAAGGGAGAGCGACCAAGTCTGACTGATAGAACATCATCTTGAGTTCCTCTGGATCACTGCAATAACCACGGATGGTTAGCTGGTTACGGTTGATGCACGTGTTGCCAAGAAACCACTGCTCAACTTTTGTATGTTCACCAGGAGGTGAGCCAACAAATGTCAGTGTAAAGTTCTTACCAAGAGAACCTATGGCATTTGCAACAATATCGTATCCTTTAAGGGAAAGATCCTCAAAGGTAGCTCGGCCAAACAAGAACACATGAAAGTTCTTTACTGATCTGTGTAAAGCAAACTGTGATTCACAGGAAAACTTTTCGAAGATTCCAGGGGTAATAATCTCCACTTCGACAGTTGGCAGATTTCTGCTGTACTTCTGTTGTAGACGTGAGCCAACAGCGACAACTGCATCCGCTGCTTTACACAACTCAATTTCCATCTTGTGCTTCTTCTCATTTTCTTCGATTAAATCTTTGTCAGCCATAGTTGGTTTCTTATATTTCCCAAGGTCCTCACAATAAACGTGGACAAATTGTATCCATTGACACTTTGTAGCCTGTACTAGGAAATAAGCACATCTGCCGAACTTTCTTCCATGGCCTATCACCAGATGAGGATTTGGGAGCTCTGGGGGTGGAAATTTCAAGCGCTCGAGGGAGTCAATTGAACCAGGAATACTTCGAGCTGTGATTAAATTTACGCCGTATTGCCTGGCATCTTCTTTTTCCTGATCATCGCTTTTCGAGACGTAGCAGTGGATTTTCATGCTATTAGTTGTCGTTTCTGCCAAGTTAATAGCAAATTCTCGATTGAAAGTTGATAATCCACCTTTCGAAGATTTCCATTCGTCACAGAGAAACACGACATCAATAACCTGCTCTTTCTGCTCCTGTAGGCTACTAACAGCAATAGAAGCTTTGGAAGACGCCATGGTTATTATTGCTACGCTTCCCTTTATCAATGGATAAATCTCAATCCCCTGAAAACCGCAGTCGGTAGAAATTCCAAAGGGCTTTCAAGTCTGACTTCATCTCATTCATACCTTTTGTATAAACACGGAAGTTGCGCCTACAGATCCAAAGGGCTATCTGTTCAGCGGTTCAAGAGCTGAAGGCTCAAAACAAAGCTTGTAAGTCTGTCATGTATGGAGAACTAATATATAGATTTAGCCAAGCCTAAAAGCGGAGCTCGCATTTTTTTCCCCGCACGTCTCAAGGGCACAACGCCTTGCCCGGGCCAGGACTAGAACCCGGGTCGTTCGACTCGAAGCCCAGTGCACTGACCACTGGACTACTGGACAAAGCCGTGGCGTTGGCGTGCCCGCGGTACAGTTGACCACGCATGTTAAAAGTAGCACCTCGTACGGTCGTATGGTCGTACAACCAAATTTTTTCGGCTTGATGGGTTACTACTATTTTGTATAATTATGGGGCTACGCTCTGCGAGCTCCGCTATTATGGACACTACTGTATGTAAACGACTATGAATGAATGAAAGTCATATATTTGAAATGCGGATAAAGACGTGAGAGAGAGATCTTTGCAGTTATGAACACTACTTTAGCAGTAGTGAAAAGAAGGCCTGAAAAAAATTCAGGCCTGTACGGAATTTGTACCCATGACCTGCATTTTTTTGAAGCCTTCTTTTCACTACTGCTCAAGTACACTCTCATATTACTGTATGTATGTAAAGTATAAGACATAACATGTGTTGAGTAGATAATTATTTCCCATACATGACGTACCTAGGTGAAAGCTTCCTACCCTTTGAACAGTTGTAATGTTCGCTACTTGTTTTCAACTAATGTGACAGATCGGTCTGTCTCCTCCGTAATAAAATCTCACTGAAGTTTCCAGATCTGCCCATCGTCTTATTCTCCGAAGATCCAAGGTCGCCTTTCAAATTATTGAACAGGAACGAATCATTTCGTTAATAGTTATTTCTTCCATTGCGTTCAGTAGCCTTCTATTTTTTAACTTGAATTAAAGTCGAATCCTTGAATTAAAATAAATGATATTTGGAGGCTCTCGGCCACACCCCGCGTGCCACCTTTTTGTCGTTACCATTGTAGTCGTTAGTAAATGAACAGACGATGCGACTGACGGCGTCAAATATGGAATATAATTATTAAATAAGCAATGGCCCTCGACCATCGGGCGCGCGGCAATTTCTACAGTTATAAAGAAAAAGCGCAATTGAAAAGAAAATTACACGATCACCGAGTATTCATTGTAAATCAGAGCCCAGATATCCAAAGGGCGGATGACGCCATTCTACAGATAAGACGTTATGAAGTGCTTAAGTTATTAGTACGGAGCATACTAGGCTATCCACCGGACTGTGACCCATCCAGTGGATAGTGCTATTTACCATTCAAATAACAGCCCCCAGATGTACGGGAAACTTTTACCACCAAAAATACAAGCAATATAAACCGTTAAATTTAACAGAATTTATGTAATTATTATTTATAGTACAGTATTACAATTTTTGAGTATGAATTAAGAAAAGAAAAAAAACATAGGCATGAGGGTGAGGCAAGGTCTCACTGTTAAACCAATTTCAACCGATTACAAATTCAGATTGCGAGTACGTTAATTATGAGCTGGATAGTTTCTTTTCAAACGAATGAAAAACCTTTTTTATGGTCATGTTTTAATTTGAGCTAAGTATGCACACTCTCGACGACGATTTTAATGATTTAAGCAATGTGCTAGTGAAGTCAGTGAACCTTCATCACTCCCCATCGCAAGAACAAAGCGTGGTTTTTTTTTAATCAGAAACACTATGGCTGGGATGAACTCGCGTTTCGCTGATAAACTCAGTATTAAGAAATCTACTAATTACTTAATAGACAACCAAAGCACTGCCCTCTGCCCTTTTTCATTATTTGTTCTAGTGCTTGAATTTTTCCTACAATCTCCACAACACGAAACCTTATTTGTAAATAAATCAGCTAGTTTATTGTCTTTCTTCAGAGCCGACTTATGATACAATTCTTGGCAAGCTGAGAAGATAAGCGGCTTGAAGTATACAAAGATAAAACAACAATCCTTTATTGCTGAGACGGGCTTCAGAGATCTCAGTTGTTTACAGAAAGAAGTTGATTCTGGTGCATTGAAGTATACACCGTTGAACTGTTAGAAGGAAATGGCTTAAGTAATCTTGCTCGTGCAAGAGGCAAAAGAGTCTCATCAAAAATACGATAAAAATCGCTACCGCATGGCTTCGCCAATCTTTATGGCTTTTATCAAATCAACAAAAAGCTGGGTGCTTATATACCCTACTGTCTGTGTTTTCTAACTTGCAAAGTTGACGATTGTCAATGCGAGCAAAAGCTAAACCCGGCCAAAGTCAGCCTTACAACTGTCGAGCTAGACATAACAAAGATTAATGTAAAACACAAAGAAAATGAAAAAAAAAAAAAAAAAAAAGCACAGCTGTTCACTTAAAGATGTGAACTTTTCGCTAAAATCATGTTCAAAAACAGTGAGTATTAAGTTAACAAACAGATTAATATTACCAGAATCATAACATTTGTAATTTAAACCACATAACCATACACTGCTGTCATATAAAGCTTTCAGAGCCGTGTATACGTAATTTCCTTAGTTTGATGATTAAAAAAATAATTTCAATATTCTTTAAATGACACTAACTTATTCATCGTCTGAAGACAGCACCTGTCACTTAAGTGTGTAGAAATACTATTTATCACAATTGCAAATCCTAACCTAAAAAATCCAACACTGACAGTTCAAATAAAAAGTCCTCGAAGATGATTTGTTTAAAAAAAATTATTACAAGATGACCAGGTTTCAGCGCAGCTGGAGACTGGAACAGGAGCATTTACTCGTGCCTAGTCCACTCTGGGTGTTCTTGAAGCTGACGCTGGCTAATTTCTGAGCCGTCTTCGTCGTATTCTAAAAAATAATTGTGTGTAACGGTAATTAGTATGAGAAGCAAAACGTACAATATGGATAAAACTGTTACGGTATAATCCAACCGACAGAAAAGCACTACCATCCTACAAACTCGACTAATTTATTAAGCGACGAGTAATATTCTTAACGATAAGGAGCGACTCCTAAAGGCAGTACAGTACTTATCCTCGATAAACTTACTTAAGCCCACTACAGTCTATATCTTAGCTCATCACTGACCCAAATTCACAGTTTCCTCCAACGTTTCTTGAAATTAGCAATCTTCCACTGTAGCTCTCTCTCACGGTAAAACTTTCTAAACAGTCGGTCACTCCCGACAACAACAACGACTACTACCACATAACTGAGTCCTTACATACATTCACAAAGTGGAACATTTCAGAAGCTTACAAAAGGACTATTTTGCGAAATAGTCCTTTTTTAGACTTTTTTTCCTTTTTTTACAAAAGGACTATAACGGCGTGACTTGATGAAATGTCCTAGAAAGTTCTTTGGTACGCATGTCAGCATGACCAAGCAGTCTGGAGATTTCTAGAGGCTTATAATTACAACAACAATTACTCGTAACAAAACAAATAGAAACACCGTATCATCATTGTGCATGCTTGTTAAATTTATTTACCGAATGATAGTCTTGTTCATTGGTTAGTTTTTTGTGACTCAGTGGTAGAGCGTTCGTCTGCCAATTCTGAGGTCTATGTTTTTTTTTTTGGAGGACTCAGATTTTTGATTTATTTCTCTTTTCTCGCGCTCTTGGCAAAAAACAAAAAACCATTGACACCTTTATTCGAGTATTTAACAACTGTTCACTGAAGTGGCTAGTGGTGGATATTAATTATAAAAAAGCTGAACAAATAGAGAACGTGACAAATAGAGAGCAGTGTATCTGTTTCTTTTTTACGGCGAGAGTAAATCAGTTCTGCTGTTCACCTGAAGCGGCTGCGGAGAAGAGTTTGAGTCTTTTTAAAGTATCTGCAATGTCTTCCACCTTTTCTTTCCTTTCCACGTCAACCGTAGCTTTGTTTTTTCGACAATAATCTACAAAACTAGAAAAACAGGAGTTAAAATAAGATTTTGCTCCAGTAGTAGAGAGCACAGAACCTATATAGTTTAAAAGAGCAAAGGTTATGAGTTACTCAAGTTGTATCTGACACATTCTTTTGTTTTCTAACAGTTGTCATATACGTAATCTGTTCCACTCACGTTTTCCAGTTATCGTCCAAGCAGAGCATGTCCGGATTCCCTATGAGAATCAAGAGAGCCTGGGCACGAGTTATGGCCACGTTGAATCTCTGAGGGATAAGAGTAAAAATGCTAATCGATAAAAGTGCGTTAGATTACCCAAAGGGATGTGCGATACCGGAGTCTCCCTATAAATCCATGATGGTTTCCATCCATAACCGATCTTTTTTGGGCATGACATAAATGTTTTGCCCTCAATTAGGGAAAATACCAAAATTACAAACCTTGAGATTCAATGGCTGAAGTAGAGGTATGATAAACGTAAATGTGATTAAACCAGCCATCTCTTACCCTTCGAGTTTTGAACCTTTTTAAAAATGTAGCCAGTCATTATTTCTACTATTTTCAATTTACCAACTTTCCCCCAACCACAATTGAATCTTTATTCCTAGAAGTAATCGATTATAATAATAATAAAAATAACAATGGTAGGAATTACAATAAAAAAAAAACACAGAAAAACCTGTCTCTGCATTAAGTTAACTGGAGACCATACCTTGGGATTGTTGAGGAATCCGAGGCGGAAGTCCTTGTCCATCTCCAGATATTCTTTCTTGGTGCTCCTAACTGTTGACAAGATGATTACTCTTCTTTCTTGCCCCTGAAACTCTTCCACGCTGCCAACTTTGATTTCGTCACCAAAGCGTTTTTTCTCAATCATTTTCTGGATCTTTTGCACCTTGCCATGAAAAGAGAATTCCAATTAGCGATAACGACTGAAAGATAAACAGTTAATGATGAGATCTGCTGGGATGTTGGACAGACCAGGGTGTCCTTGTGATCGCTAAAATATTGAGCGTGATTTGATCCGTGCCAAGGCCTTTACCTTATAGTTGGAAGAATGAGCTCGGGCCACGAGGCCTGATGACTACAAAACGATAATTGGTAACGTGAACGAGAGACATTCAATTCTTTTGGGGAATTGAATGAATTGGAATGCCGTTTGCCAAGATTTTGTTTAAAAAAAAAAAATTAAAGAATGTACGCTATCGAATCGTCTAACGCCAGGAGCAATGGAAGATAAGTTCCACTCTTGTACTTACTTGTCTTTTGTAAGGAGATATCACCCCAATCATCTCAGGTCTCAAGTGCTTTAGTCCTCTGCTTCTCACATTGTCGTCTAACAGTTTCCTCAGGTATCGTTCAATAGTTTCCACCTCAGGCACATTAAAGAAAGAAGGGCTGCTGCCTTCTCTCTCGTCCTTACCAAACACCGGATGGAAAATAATGGGGAAGTTCTTATTCGGAAGCTCTTCCCAGCCTATCATCACATTTCTTGGAAAAAACAGGTAAATATCAACACTACAATGTTTTACATTACGGTTTGGTTGACGTAGGAAACTAGTGTCAAATAAAGCGCGAGTCATGCGTAGATTAGCATGCTTTTGGGCCTCAAGACAACTCTCCAATGGGTATCATCGCCTGTGTTATGGGCAGCTTGCTAAAAAGCTATTGCCTACATTACATTTTGATGTAGCTAGTGTCTAAAAGTGTAGCTGTTTTCTCATTTACTATGGCTTTTTAGCATCAGGTTTCTTTAAAAAAAACAATTGCGAATGATTTTTTTTTTACCTGAAATCTCCAGCGCATTCATTCAGCTCGTTATCATAAAACAGCTGCTTAGGAATCTCGATAATGGCTCTATGTGAACGGTAATTGTTCACGAGTTTTGTTAACAGATTTGGATCATAACTCCCTCCGGGTCCACGATCGTAGGCGGGACATGACGTCATTAGCCGTTCCAAAAGAGAAGTTTCTGTGAATATAAGACAAAGGCGACTCATTTAAAAGGAAGTTTCAAACGAAGTGAAATGTATGTTGTTTAGGTTGTAGCCAGAGATGAAAGTGTTATGGCTTTTGAAAAAATCGAACGTAAAGGACCTTAAAAATACAACGCATAGCCAGCTTGAAATACGCGCGCTTTAAGTGTGATATCAGAAACAATAGATGAAACAATAAGTTTCGAGGCCTTTGTTTCTTAGCTCCGCCTTGACAAGTTAATGAACTAAGGCAGTATTCCCTTCGGAGGAAAACGCGCGTGATCTTCGACCAATGAGAGCCTCTGTTATGTATACCGCTGACCTCTTGTAGGCACAGCATGAAATAAAACATGTGTGGCGGTCGAATGTTAATATGTTACATGGTGTCAGAATAGTGGGATTTCGAGCGCCCCCGAACGAAACTTAGCACAAAGATATGGCAGAAGGATACGTTAACGCGTCGTACAACCGGCCAACGATGAATTGGGCCGCCACGGACCTGAGTAAAGAGTGCGAAAGACATAGTTTGATGCTACTCTGGTTTGCAGATTTAATGAATGTAACTGAAGAAGTTACAATTCATAGACCCAACGTTTCGACACTCCTGTCTAGTGCCTTCATCAGGGGTGATCTAAACGCTGTAACAAGAGGTCCTTTTATATGATCACTAATTAGCGGCCTTTTTTCTGACGAGGTGTAAATAGGCGCCAGGAAGCAAACCGCCATCGTCACGATTTAAAGGAGCGTGGACGGAGTTAATATGCCAAGCCTCCAAACAAAGGCGCTGGTGATAACGCCGATTAGTGGTGATAATTTTAGAATTATCGTACCCAATTGTATGGTTGGTTAGGCATGTATGCTCCGATTAAGCTGAATTTCCCTTTTTGCAAAGAAAAACCGCTTTTTGGTGCTCTTTTAACCGTGTACCAAACTGACGTTTGGTCTTTCCGATGTATTCGTTGTCACAGTCATTGCAAGGAATAGAATAAATGGCGTCGGTTCGTTGTTCTTTCGTGACAGGATCCTTAGGTTTGGCGAAAAAATGCCCCAAAGTCTGAAAAGGTTATTGAGCAACTTTAACGTTGTGGCTATTCTCTTAATGGGAAAGTGGGAAAGATTTTATCAACACTGCGAATTTGCCACTCAGCAAGCGCACGGAAAAAGAGAAAATATGCAACCTGATGAGCTTTGTCGGTGACAAGGGCCGAGAGATTTACCTCACTTTCCAGTGGGACACCGTTCAAGTTGGATCGGGGGAAAACAGACATGGCATCAGTGAAAGGGACATACTTGAACCAGTCGCCGAAAAATTCAAGGTACACCTCGAAGCCAAAAAGAACCCAATAACGGCGGCAGTCAAATTCGATCGAAGACGCCAACTGCAAGGGGAAACGTTGCTTCCTTCGTCACTGACCTCAAACTCCTAGAGTACGACAATGTTGCCTGGAGTTAGTAAAGTTACATGGAAGAAGGATTCTTCTGAGCAGCATAAAAAGGCGAGAAATTTCAAGAAACCGAAAGGTAACAACGAGCAGGTTAAGAAATGTGACAGGTGTGGATACAATGCACACAAGCCACAAAAAAAGTGTCCAGCCAAGAATGAATCGTGTCATAAGTGCAGAAAAATTGGACACTTTGCCCAAGTGTGCAGAAGTCGGAAAAGTATTGTTAACTTGTTGAGTGAAACAGACTATTCGGGAGACGAATATTCCAGTGATGAGGAAGGTGCTGATAGGGACTTACAACTACTACATGTAGCAAGTCTAGAAATAAACAGGATCAATAACCAGAACCCAGGTGAAATGAATGAAATGTTGGAAGGTATCGACCATGCGTATGCCATTATGGATGACATATTAATCACAGGTGGTAACGTTGCTCATCATGACTCGGTGCTAGAGGCAGTGCTCCAGCGAGCCAAAAGCTACAACCTCAGGTTGAATATTGACAAGGTTAAAGTACGCAAGTCCGAAGTCCAATATGTGGGCCACATTATCTCAGCAGAAGGACTCAAACCTGACCCAGAAAAAGTGAAAGCCATGAAGGATATGCCACCTCCAGAAACAAAAGAGGATGTACGCCGATTCCTGGGATCCATACAATATTTGGCCAAGTTCCTCCCAATGCTTGCAGAAGTTGAAATCCCGTTGCGAGAGCTCACTAGAAAAAAAGTAATTTTCCATTGGGTTAAGCCACAGGCAGATGCATTCCAAAAGCTCAAAGATATGTGCTGTAAAGCCCCTGTGCTAGCCTACTTTGATGTCAATAAGGACGTGACTATAAAGTGTGATACCAGCAAGGAAGCAGTGGGTGCGGTCCTACTCCAAGAAGGAAGGCCAGTAGCTTACGCGTCTCGCAAACTTCGAGAATCTGAAATCAACTGGGCCCCAATTGAGAAAGAAATGCTGACAATTGTGTTCAGTACACAGAAATTTAGAGAGTACATTCTAGGCAAAACGATTGTGGTTCAGACCGACCATAAGCCCCTAGAGACGATTCTCCGCAAACCAATAGCAACGGCACCATTAAGATTACAAGCAATGATGTTGAAAGTAAGCGATTATGACCTAAAAGTGGGGTATCTTCCAGGCAAGAAGCAAGTTCTTGCTGATACCCTTAGGCGAGCAAGTCTGAATGAACTACAAGCGGACGAAGATGAGCTACAAGTAACCATGCTGGAAAGAATATCCATCTCAGAGCCAAAGTATACAGAACTCCAACAAAAAACTGCAAACGAGTTCCACGAGCTGTACGCTATGATTCAAGCAGGGTGGCCAGAAACAAAACGACAGGTCCCACACAGCATACGAGAATACTGGGAGTCACGTGATGAACTTGCAGTCTTAGATGGTGTAATCTACAGAGGGATGAAGATTGTGGTACCCCCGTCCATGAGACCAGCCATGCTCGCCTTAATACACGGAACACACCTTGGAATTGTGAAGCGCGAACAGAGGGCCAGGGAAGCGCTTTATTGGCCTGGAATGAGCGCTCAAATAGAAGACAAAGTAAAAGACTGTACCATGAAGGAGCATTTCAGCAGACATGGTATTCCAGCAAAACTGGTGACTGACTGTGGTGTCCAATACATAAGCAAAGAATTTGAGACTTTTGCCAGAAGCTACAACTTTGAACATATCCTAGTGAGTCCCAGGTACCCCCGTGCAAATGGAGAAGCAGAGACAGCAGTCAAAACAGTAAAATCACTATGGAGGAAAAACAACGACAAGAACAAAGCACTTCTAGAGTACAGAGCAACCCCAATCCAAGGGATTAACCTCTCTCCGTCTCAACTCTCCATGGGACGTAGGCTAAGGACAACACTACCAATAGCTTGTGGTCTGCTAGAGCCTGAGGCACACAACATCAAAGAGATAAGAGCAAGAATGAAGTATGGCGAAGAGAAGCTGAAATACTACCACGATCACCGAGGTACTAAAGAGTTACCCCCGCTTAAGCCAGGTGATTTTGTTAGAATGAAACCCGAAACGGGATCAAAGGAATGGAAAGCAGCGACAGTTGTGCAACAACATACATCACCCAGATCTTACGTAGTCGATGTAGGGGGCCGAAGAATCAGACGAAATAGAGTGACACTAAGAACAGACTCCCCCAAGTCACATGCAGGGTATCAGAGCTGTCATGCAAACATCGAGGAGGCAGAGACAGATCCTGAGAAACCACGTGTAATGCCGCATGCAATGCCACCACCCATGCCAGACACATACGGAGAAGCTACCATTAGATTACCAGTCAGACCAGTCAGTCACAAGGAAAACCCCAGCAAGAAAGATACCGCCTTCACCTGAAGTAGCAGCGACTAGGGGCTCGACCTTGTACACAACTCGAAGTGGCAGACAAGTCAAGAAGCCAGTGAAACTAGACCTATAATTAATTTTCAGAGTTGGACAGGCGTTGAAAACGTAGCAATAACAGACACTATTCATTGTGCAAACACTTTCTGTTTCCGTTCAGTTACATATATATATATATATTTGTTGTTGTTGTTGTTGTTGATATTATCAAGAGAGGGAAGGGGGAATGTTATGTATACCGCTGACCTCTTGTAGGCACAGCATGAAATAAAAACACTTGTGTTGTTTAACTCCAACATGGCGGTCAAGTGTTGATATGTTACAGCCTCCCTGTTTACGCTTCGCCGCTTATATTACAGATCTATAACATTTTCGTCACTGCAAGTAAATGTCGCGAGAACAATAGGCATTCTGCCCAATGTATCCTCCTTTTAAGCGGGTAAGTATCAAAACTCTTTGATTATCACTTTGCAAATAACTGTTTTAAATAAATCGAAAAAACGAATTTTAAAGAGCTGATAGTCTGACTTTAACCTTTTGTCTGAAATGTCAATTTGAGTGTTCCTGTTGTCTACTGATAGACCTACAGGAAATTGTGATCATAAAGGGCTGGAAGGAGACAGGGGAACAGGGACAGACATTATGTGTGATATACTCACCAAGTCCATATTTCTGTGAAATTCGGGATCTAAGGATTGGGCCTAACTGCTTAGGGTCTCCTGCGAGCACCAGCTGACCGCCCCTGGGATTATAGGGGTCCAGGAGGTCCGCCACAGGGATGATACACTCAGGTTCTGTTGCATGACCCGCCTCGTCTATGAAAATGTGTGTGAAGTGACTTCTGGGGAAGAATGCCGACACCAACCTGGGAAAACGATGCAAAAAAAAATAGTTTAGGTAATCAAGGGAGAAAATAAGCTCAGAGGCTTACACAGCGTCATCACAAATTTTGTTGATAGGGTTCTCTAGGAGACACAGTGTTGCTACTTACCTTCCTGCCGTTACCAGAGTTGTGACAATTATGCGATAGTCGCTCATCAACTCCTCTTTAGAGGGAAAATACACGTCACGTGACACGGGGTCAAAATTTACCACTCGTGCGTCCTGAAAAGTGAACATTAGGTTAAGAAGCTAGATATATATCTCCGACTATGATTAGTTCAGTTGTAGAATTTGTGTAGCATTTTCTGTAAAATCTAGGGTCTAAATATTTATGGCCGTTGAATGCTAAAACTATCTGTCGAATGATGCTATTGCATAACAATGAGTGGAGAGTCTTCACCTTAAGCTTTGGAGGCACAAAGTCCCACGGCCTCGATGCAGCATACATCCGGAACAATTTGCCTTTGTCTACGTGAGGCAACAGGCGCTCAGCTAATAAGTCAGCAGCGCTGTTTTCTGGCGCACACGCCAGAATGTAGCTTGAGCCAATCAAAGCATGCACCTGTAAGTAACGAAAAGAAGGTAGACAGCGAATTACTGGTTTCAATTTCAGTCCATTAATGAAACTGCCAGAATGCTATAAAAATAAATAACCTTGGCCGCTTTCCATTCGTCGGAACAACCCAGCAGACCCTAAATTGAACGATTCAGCGCTGACAACCAACAAGTCGAACTAGAGTTTACCTATGAGTACATAGCCAGTCAGGATTCACGCTCCTGTGAAATCTACTTTCAAAACTCGTAAGCGTTTTTGCTGAAAATTTCCAATGACCCTTTACGTTGGATAAAGGCGACAAAGCGCAACTCGTACGATAGGAATTGACTTAATCTTTCCATTTACACCGGCAAGCCAGAGCCGTTTCCATCAAATAGGCAACAAATGGGAAAGCTCTCTAAGACATTCTCCTCACCTGTTTAATCGCCTCGACCAAAGTAACCGTCTTTCCAGTTCCGGGGGGTCCAAACACGAGATATGGAGCAGGGCGTGAAGATCCTGACACAATCTTCTGGACCGCCTGCTCCTGTTCGCTGTTCAGATTACGATCGTAAAAGAAACTGAAAACAAGAAAAAAACGTATTATCTCTCACTTACTTTGTGTAGGAGCCGATGAAAAGTGAACTTTAAGTCTGGAAATCTCCTTTACATGTGGCTGAACCAAAAAAATATAACACCGATGCGGTAAATGTTAACGATCAAGCTTTGTAGATGTAGTTATGTGGACAATAAGAAGCTTTGCATCTCTAGGCTGACCATTAGTAACATCGGACTGAAAGCAAAAAGATGCTCTCCTGATTGCATTCAGTACCTACAGAGCTAAAGTACTTTAAAATTCGGCACATTCCTAGCCTCAAAACTCTAATTGTAGTATTGTGCCCAGTTGGTATCTAGAACTGGAATGAGTCTGAAGCGCTGTCGAATCCCTATAATTTCCTCCGGACTTTGATTTTCTGTAGTTTCTATATTTACAGTTCACCTGAAAGGATCAGTCTATATCACTAATCATCCACAGGCCAACATATTATGACTCGTACATTAGTTGTTTCAACACTTATCCATCATCGCAGTAATTCCGATTTTGTACCTCTTCAGTGTGGGGAATGACAATACCGTGAATTATCACTAAAAGATTATATCCCTATAATTTACAAATTACCTGACTTCCTTGTGAATTTCTCCCCTTCGATCGAGACAGTCCTTTGATGGGAAAAGAACGTGTCGCATGTCTTGCCTGTTCACAGATGCAATCCGCTCGCACGCGCGATGTTCCATCTGCACTGGAAGTCGATGGAAAGTGAACTGGATGTCGAACTTCTTATTCTTAACATAAGGCATACTGAGGAGGAAATTATGAGATAACTAAAGTAACACGCATCATATACGAGATTCAGGAATATAAAAGGCAAAAGAAATATTTTGACGGCACCATCCTCTCTCTGAATTAGTTCGTATCTGTCTCGGGTGTGGTATCTTCGGAACAATATTCTCCTAACCCCTAAGAGGTGACTTCCTATAAACAGCCATTTTCTTATGACGGCCAGGGTTCTGCCTTCAGCTCCTCACCAATACTTTCGCAAAAACCTTCTTACTACATTCAGTCAGTTTCCCAATTAATCGTTGTAGTTAACCAATTCTAATCGTCTGTATAGAATGAACCGGCTATCGTGAAGTAACAATTCTCATGGTTCGTTTTCTAGGCCGGTGAAAGCAACTTATGCAAGACTCTGAGAAAAATGACATCTTTTTACCGTGTATTTTGACTAATGCACTACGTACTCGTTCATGTCAAAGCCAAGTTTCACATCTAGCATTTGGACTTTGTGCACAATTCCTTCGTATCTCTGCTTTAATACACCCGGCTCGTAGGCATAGATCTTGTCACCGCGTAATACGGATGGGCGATTTTCTGCAAGACCAGGTACCTAAAACTCACACACAAAATAAACAAATAAATGTAAAAATAAAAAAAAAATTAACCACGAAACTGAAATCCTTTCAGTAAATAAAACTCTTCCCATGAGTTCCTTTTTTTTTTCTTTTTCTCGAGAGGAAAAGTAAAAACTCAGTGGTCCAATAAAAAAATGATAGAAAATTCATCATGGTACTCTCTAAGGACAAGTACTAAATTCACCGAGTCCTCGAAGAAAATTGAGCCTCAGACCCCAGGGGTTTTCGAAAGCAAGCAGTGTATCCGAAAGAAAAATAATCTTTCAGGAATAAATGGAAAATAAACGAGGAAGAATTGCTTCTCTCGGCATTGGTGTTATTTCTGGAAAAAAAAAGGCTTTTAATATAGCATGTGTTCTTGATTGGCTCAAGAACATCCACTAACCTCTAAGATCAGAAAGCGTCTGTCTCCTCTTTCCTGTTGAAAAACAACTCCTTTCATATCATAGTTTCTGATATCCTTCTGCATTTGTAGTTCTTCCACGTGAAGAAGCAGAGAGAACTTCTCTTTGTAGTTGTCAAAGCTCAAATCCTTTTTCAGTCGCTCACTGAAAACAAGACAAGCAGGTGAGCTGCAGATCATACACCTCCTTTTAAAGCACAAAGTTTCCTTACCAAAGTCCTTCCCGGATTTGATTGCTTTTAATGACCTGGGCTTTTACAGTAAAAGGGATTTCATACAAGTCCAGCCTCTCCATAATTAAGCCATTTCTCTGTAACCTAAAAGGCAAGGAAAATCAAAATAAAAAAATCAGTGACTTTGAATATTTGAATTATTTTGAATATGTGAGTCACCGCGTTATTTCCACTGATTTACTTTATTTTCTGCCTGATTTTAAAGCCGAGAAAAAAGTACAGTTTTGAGCGTTGGAAAGGGGAGGTTGCTCGACTTCATACCTTGGTTTTATGATGACATGACAAACAGAGACAGTGAAAGTCTCGGAATAGTTCCGGAGGTATTTTTCATAAGAAATAAAATAAAAAAATCACCCCACCAGCAAAAGTGAGGAAATCTTAAATGAAACACTTTGAAAAGTATTGAAAAAACTTTCGCTTGCATTATCGATGAATTAAAGTATTTTAGTTCCATTCCTTCAGGTATTCCGTGGACCAATGCAAACGAATAATGAAAAAAGCAATTACAAAGGACGATTATTACAAGATGAGAACCGTGACGAATGCCATACTATACCTAGGAAGGGGTATCCCTCCAAATGTCTTAACATCCCTGGGAATTTCTGGTGCCCGTTGGGGAGGTCGATACTCTGAAGTCGGTTTCAATTCATCGTACAAGTCACTAACGATGCGCACGGAAAAAAACCTCAGGATATGAAACTCCACCCCGTGTTCCATTTGGAATGTGAGCACACCAGGAACATACGAATATCCAAACTCCTGGCGACGTTTGCAGCCAATCCTGAACCTCTTCTGACAACCTAAAAGATGAATTTATTTGCTCACGTCACTGTAAAGATATGCATAACATTACGCAGAACTGTGGGCTCAGTCGTAACTAGGTGTACACGGATTGCTCCCATTCGACTGAGTCCAAACTAGTTTTCTATGTGCTAAATCTATCCATGATAAAGCCTTGTTCCGGCGTTCGAGAATCAGGTAGAACTACCGGAAACAGAACAAGTGTAAGTGTATAAAGTTGAAAGTTCTTATCTAACTATACTCTGAAATCGCATGGACAGAGTGTGTGGGCCTTGACCATGTCGGATCTTGGCGTGTTTTAGGCTTTTTAACAGCAATTCAGTTTGACTACGTACTTAACAGACCTAAATTTACTATGTGATGCATTTTTGGAAAATTCTTCGCCAATGCAAATGAGAAATACAAACATTCATCCAACGGACAATTTGCCCTTTCACTGTAACCATTGTAAATATGTCTTCTTTTTCTACAATAATTTAATCTCTCTGAAATCAATGGCCACAATTTTAAGGAAAACTGGATGAAAGTTAGCAATTAGGGTTGTAGAGAATAATTCAGAAATTACCTGGGTAGAGTTCGCCCTCATCCTGATCGATACTCGATATCTCCCTGTAATCGAAAAAGTTGACACTCCACAGTAGGGTTATATCCTTCAGGGTGATGTTCTCCTCACCGAGGTTCTCTATGATCAACACAATCTGTCCGTATTTTCCACTCTCCACTTTCAATTCAATCACACCATGTTCATCTGCAGCGGGATCTGAAGTAAGTTTTATCCCATTTTTGTCAAAGACAAGCTCTGGTCTGGATGAACAAAAGGGGGAAATTCGCTCTCAACCTGGGAAATCTCCAAAAGTTTTTCAATGTATGACGTTTCACTTACTCTACAAATATCACCCCTTACTTTAATTACCAAAACTAAAAAGGAATGGATTTGATTTAGTGATCTTTGTCATGCAAATCCTTATTAAAAGTTAGTAAAAGGGGGAGAAGGGAGTTACATGACGGGAGAGCCATTAGAGAAAACTTAATTTCTATACTTGGATGGCTCTTTTTTTTCTTAATTTCCATATTTTTGGATGGCTCAAATCATTGTATTATGCGGGGTGTAAGTCACATTGACCATCTTCAATAAATAGTTCAACCGTTATGAGTCAGTCTCCTGTAGCTCAGAGGTAGGGCGTCAGAATACTTAGGTTAGATAATCTTAGGTTAGATGTATGTTGTAAGATAATATATTTTCTTTTTGATCTGCTCATCGAGATGATTAATTTTTACAGGACCCTAGCTGCCTCGAGTGGAACATAAATGATTTTTACATTCCCCTATGCGAGCATTTAGTTCAATAATAACTAAACTTTCCTCTTCTTCTTCTTCTTCTTCTTCTTCTTCTTCTTCAAAAAAAGAACTGTTACATTCCCCCTGTTTAACTTTCACTTAGCTCGTGTTCAACATTAAACATTTTTGCAAAATAGTGCGTTGCAGGAGCTAAGGCCGACTAAAAGGAATCAGGAATAGAACTACACGGATGATTCTTGATACATGTATTCGACAGGTATGGTATACATAAGCTTTGAAGTCATTTTACTTTTTGACTTTTTGACAGCCAACTCTCAAATATGAAAAATCTTTGAAATTTATTGAAACGAAAAGGCACTTACTTTTTTAGTGATTTTCGAATCGTTATGAGGATATTTTGTTGGCGATGTTTCACACTTTCGAGGTGTTTGTTGTAAGCCATAAAATTCCCAAGACCTCTTTTACAAACTTCACAGTAAAAAGGCCTCCGAGAAAAGGCCCCCGATAGCGAGCGGAAACAAAGATCATCATTATCCTGCGGCTCTTCAGGATCGTCGGTAAGGAGCTGAAGAGCTGCGGCATCTCCACCACCGAAGATTACACGATCTTGAAGTTGCTGGCATTCATTTAAGTGATACGTGAGAGCGTTTAAAACTCTGTAGAATGGAATACCACGGTCCACGGAGGGATTTAGACGGCGGAATTCTCCTTGGTAAATGTTCTTCAGTTGAATCTCAGGCATGTCTTCCTTACGACCGTTGTCCTCCAAATACTTCACAAACGCTTGGGCAACAGTTTTCTCCTGCTCTACAGATCCGCTCGACCTTGGGCGTCTAAACATACTGGACAGGTCTGCAATGGAAATGATCAAATCTTTTGAAATGAAAAAGCTTTACAGTTGCGATTTACACTTATATTTAATGGTCTTTATCCAAATTAAAGTGAAGAGAGAAACATGATCTGCGCAACAAGGTGTAGGAAACTAAGAAGGCTACATGAAAATAACCACGACTCCGCATAGGCATGGTTCGTGATTTGCATCACATTTGCAAGGAATTACAGAAAAAGAAGAGAAAAGCAAATTCAGTATCACGATCCGCTATTAACCCCCAAATGGTCCGTTGTTTTCCTCTAATTCGTTCGCTAAAATGAATCGATACCTCAGCGAAATCTGGCTAGAAATGAGGGTTCTCAAAATCCTTAATATTCATCTTATTTTCGTTTCTCACCGTGTTTTCAAGACAATATTATAAACTGCCATCTGAAGAAGCACCAATTGTTGAACGCAGAATGTTTGTAATTCTGGATGTTGTTATTTGGATCCCAAAATGAAAGCAGCGATCAACAAACCTAAATTAAACTGCTCACCAAGAATAATTATGCGGCTTTGCATAACCAGTGTGTGTATGGTTTATTAAATACCGTGAGAAATTTCAGAACCTCTTGCGGCCTGCGATCTTCAGTGGACACAATATAAGATAGTCGACTACATTCTCCTGTGTTGCAAAAATATTATCTACGACCCAGTTAAACGGAAGTGAAGAACCTTCGCATCTGAGCTGTAGCACTTTCAATTTCTCTTATTTCTCTACTTTGACATCGATAGCATTAGCAAACCCTGAAACTCCTTAGGATTCCACTATAAGCTTACTGCACCCCGAGTCAAATCTATGTACCGCTCACAAATTTCAGTAACTAGGTGAAACATTGCATTAGCTTGTATCTCTCCGAGAAAGAATTCTCGGAAAACTACACCGATGATGTGATTTCTAAGTAACGAGCAAAATATGTTCATCGAACAATCGATCGGCCAATGCACCTATGGAGCTGAAAATTTAGAGTAGGATTTCTCACGACCGAAGGTTCAACGTGAGCCCACAAAAAACTTTATTATTATTACACGTTACAGACTGAAACAAGTACTAGTTGAAAATTTGAAATTCTTATTGAGCATCAAGCCAGCAACACAGGCCGGAATCGCACTTATTATTCAAACAAATTAAGAAACATAATTGCAAAATTACTAAATTCCTTGCTTTTAGAACTCACCTTTGAGCAATAAATGCCTTCGGTTTCTTCCTTTGAATATTACGAGAAGCAAATACAAGTTTATACAGTTTTCCTGCTGATTTGTTCGATTTCTCAGTATCACAGGACCATGACGTCAGATTTCCGAGAATACAGCTGCGACTTGATTACATTAGATGTACCGGATATGTATTTGTCCGTCGATTAGTTTAGTGCTAATCCATTAAAATTCAGTGATGTGGACCCAAATAACATGATTTTTTCATGAGATTATTAAGAAGGAAGTATTTCAAGTTCAAAACAAAATGAAATAATCCTCTATTCCTGGAACGAAGCTGATACATTTGTCGCCGAGCTTGAGGGTAATGCTTTCTAGTCCTTTCAGTACTTTGATGCCATGGGAAATTTGCAGCACTTAAGAAATGAGCCGTAAGAAAAGAATGACGGAAACCGAGGGAGCTCCTTGATTAGCAAACTTCGTCGTCCGTAACGGTTATCGATACTAAATCTTACAGCCAGGAACTGAAAACGTTTTTTACTCGGTCATAGTCAAGTAGGATATGGGAAGTATGAGCTAAGAGTTGATAAAAGTTGCATAGGGCTGGATTTCCTACAGGTCCTTCGAAGCCCTACTTCAAAATGTCACGCAACCCATCCTCAGATATGTATTGGAGCGCTGCGTGACGTAGCAAAAGTGACTCTTCTGAATGCTGCGAGATAGCATTTTCCATTCTTTTCGAAAGAAAACCTGATACACTTGGCACTGTAGACGTTTCGTGGGTAGCCTGAATTCAATAGTTCAAATTGCGCACCTGGAAACTAAGCTGCATATACTTGATTGCAATTGCTTGCCAGTCACAGTTAGAAGAGGTAACGTAATCAGCTAATGCAAAATTCATCTTTGATAAAAAACGTGGTAGTTTACCATTTATGGCCATGTGAGATCTCACTTCATCCGACTTTTCCAGGACTAAATCGAGGCTCTGTTTGTAAATGCGATAAAATTTGCGAAGAAGAGTTTCGAGATCCTGTTATCACGAAACTGATGACACAAATCAATGGTGTCTTCCTATGGTTTGTAATCTTTCCGAGCTTTTGTACAACGCATTTGTGCATGATATCTCGAAGCAAAAAATAAAAGTTTCTTCAGTCGCTCGATTTCATCGTCGAGGAAGGTAACAAGAGATTTTCGGGTGTCTAAAAAGTTAAATTTTAGGGCCTGCTGCCGGTCAAGGAAAAACACCACAACTGTAAAATGAGGTAAACCTCTTTTTACGTCAGCTGGACAATCTTCTATAAATGAAAAACATTGGTCCACCTTCTTCTGGAAATCTATCTACTTCGTCAGATGTTTTGAAAAGGTTGACGTTTGCAGCCTTATATTTTCGGCATTCATCACACCCACAACCCTCCTGAAGAGTTAGTATCTCATCCTCCGTAAGCTCCAGAAAGAACTTGCTGGGATTCATTCCAAAGAATATATTGTAGACGAGGAAGTACTCTGCTTCTAGCGAGGGATATCGAAGAGTTCCACCGTAGCTCTTTATTACGTCGACAACTTTGCATCATGGACTGTGCAATTCACACGAGTCGCCGCCAATGAATAACGCTAAGTACATTGGAGTAATTCCATCTTTATTGGGGCAGTCCACATCAACACCAATAATTTCACTGCTAGCACAGATTTTTTTTCAAAGACTCTTAAGTTGTAAGAAATTCACTAACAGATGTGTTCACTTACAGATGAGAACTTTTCGCTAAAATACTGTTCAAAAACAGCAACAATGACGAACACATGAAATTCACAAACACATTAATATGACCAGAATGATTACATTTGAAATTTAAACCACATAACCATACACTGCTGTTACAGTATATAAAGCTTTCAGAGCCGTGTGTTCGCAATTTTCTTAGTTTAACGTGTAAAAAATAATTTACAAATTCTTTAAATAATACTGACTTATTCATCATCTGAAGACAGCGCCTGTCACTTTAAGTGTGTAGCAATAATATTTGTCACAATTGCAAATCCTAACTTACAAAATCTAACACTGAAAGTTCAAATAAAAAGTCCTCGAAGATGATTTGTTTAAAAATTAATTACAAGATGATAAGGTTCTAGCGCAGCTGGAGATTGGAATAGAGACATTTACTCGTGCCTAGTCCACTCTGGGTGTTCTTGAAGCTGACGCTGGCTAATTTCTGAGCCGTCTTCGTCATATTCTAAAAGAGAATTGTGTATAACGGTATTAAGTGTTGGAGGGAAAAAGCACAACATGGATAAAACAAATAACAACAATGTATCATCATTCCTCACGCTTGTTAAATTTATGAACATAGTAGAGGCCTTGATCATAGTTATGTTCTCTGTAACTCAGTGATAGAGCGTTTGTCTGCAAATTCTGAGTTCTGGTTTTTTTCTTGGAGAACTCAGATTTTTTCTCTATTTCCTTTTATCTCTTTAAAAGACGATTGACTTCTTTACTCAAATATTTAACAACTATTTGGGATTTTAAGAAAACCACGACGGCAATGAGAACGCAGCGAAACAAAAGATCTATTGAGCAAAACAATAACGAAAGACGTGCGTTTTAAAACTTTGTACATTTCTAAGCCGTCCCAACAGAACAAAAACGTGACTTCACTACGGTGACGTTTTACCACACGTCCCTATTCACTGAAGCGGAGTTGGCTAGGGGTGGATAGTCATTGTAATAAAGTTTAACCAACAAAAAAGAAACGACCAATTAAAACACGATAATTGGCATATCAGTTTATCTGATTCTTTTTTACAGCGAGAGTAAATCAATTTTGCTGTTCACCTGAAGCGCCTGAGGAGAAGATTTTGAGTCTTTTTAAAGTATCTGCAATGTCTTCCACCTTTTCTTTCCTCTCCACGTCAACAGTAGCTTTGTTTTCTCGACAATAATCTACAAAACTAGTAAAAAAAAGAGTTAAAATAAGATTTTTCTCCAGTAGTAGAGAGCACAGAACCTATACAGTTTAAAAGAGCAAAGGTGATGAGTGACTCAAGTTGTATCTAGCACATTCTTTTATTTTCTAACAGTTGTCATAAATGTAATCTGTTCCACTCACGTTTTCCAGTTCTCGTCCAAGCAGAGCATGTCCGGATTCCCTATGAGAATCAAGAGAGCCTGGGCACGAGTTATGGCCACGTTGAATCTCTGGGGGATAAGAGTAAGAATGTTACTCGATAAAAGTGCGTTAGATAATCTAAAGGGATGTGCGATACCGGAGTCTACCTGTATATCCATGTACTACTTTTCCATCCATACCCGATCTCCTTTGGGCATGACATAAATGTTTTGCCCTCAGTTAGGGAAAATACCAAAATTATAAAACCTTGGGATTCATGGCTAAAGGAGAAGTATGATAAACGTAAATGTGATTAAACCGGCCATTTCTTACCCTTCAAAGGAGTTTTGAACCTTTTTAAACATTTAGCTAGTCATAATTTCTACCATTTTCAATTTACTAACTTTCCCCCAACCACAACTGAATCTTTATTCATTAATGTACCAATAATGTTAACAAAAATAATAATGGTCGGAATTGCAATAAAAAAAAAGCACCAACAAACCTGCCCCTGCATATGGCGGTTTAGTCAAACACAAAGATTAACTGGAGACCATACCTTGGGATTGTTGAGGAATCCGAGGCGGAAGTCCTTGTCCATCTCCAGATATTCTTTCTTGGTGCTCCTAACTGTTGACAAGATGATTACTCTTCTTTCTTGCCCCTGGAACTCTTCCACGCTGCCAACTTTGATTTCGCCACCAAAGCGTCTTTTTTCAATCATTTTCTGGATCTTTTGCACCTTGCCATGAAAAGAGAATTCCAATTAGCAATAACGACTGAAAGATAAACAGTTAATGATGAGATCTGCTGGGATGTTGGACGCCCAGGGTGGGGAACTGTCAATTTAAGAGATGAGCTCGGATCACTAAAATGTTGAGCGTGATGTGATGCATGCCAAGTTCTTTACCTTATAGTTGGAGGAATGAGCCCGGGCCACGAGGCCTGGTGACAACAACTGGATAATTGGTAACGCAAACGAGTAGACATCCAATTCTTTTGGGAAAATAAGGAATTGGAATGCCGTTTGAAAAGATTTTATCATGTAAAAAAAATATCACAGATTGTACGTATCGAATCGTCTAACGCCAGGAACAATGGAAGATAAGTTCCACACTTGTACTTACTTGTCTTTTGTAAGGAGATATCACCCCAATCATCTCAGGTTTTAAGTGCTTTAGTCCTCTGCTCCTCACATTGTCGTCTAACAGTTTCCTCAGGTATCGCTCAATAGTTTCCACCTCAGCCACATTAAAGAAGGAAGGGCTGCTACCTTCTCTCTCGTCCTTACCAAACACCGGATGGAAAATGATCGGGAAGTTCTTATTCGGAAGCTCTTCCCAGCCTATCATCACATTTCTTGGACAAAACAGGTGAATATTAGCAGTGCAATGTTTTACATTCCGGTTCGGTTGACGTAGGAAAGTAGTGTCAAATAAAGCGCGAGTCGTTAGCATGCTTTTGGGCCTCAAGACAACTCTCCAACGGGTATCACTGCCTGTGTTACGGGTAGTTCGCTAATAAGTTATTGCCAATATTAATTTAAGTGTAGCTTTTTTCTCATTTGCTATGGCTTTGTAGTGAAAGGTTTTTTTTTTCAAAAAATGCGAATTATTTTTTCTTTTTACCTGAAATCTCCAGCGCATTCATTCAGCTCGTTATCATAAAACAGCTGCTTAGGAATCTCGATAATGGCTCTGTGTGAACGGTAATTGTTCACAAGTTTTGTCAACAGATTTGGATTATAACTTCCTCTGGGTCCACGATCGTAGGCAGGACATGACGTCATTAGCCGTTCCAAAAGAGAAGTTTCTGTGAATGTGAGACAAAGGCGACTCATTTAAAAGGAAGTTTTCCCTCCTTTTAGGCGGGTAAGTAGCAAAACTCTTTGATTATCACTTTGGAAATAACTGTTTTAAATAAATCGAAAAAACGAATTTCAAAGAGCTGAAGGTTTGACTTTAACCTTTTGTCTGAAATGTTAACTTTAGCCTGAATTTTGAATGTTCCTGTTGTCTACTGTTCGACATATTAGAACAGATGATCATAAAGGGCTATAAGGGAACAGAAAAACAGGGAAATATGTATACAGTGACTGCTGTTGCAGATATTATGTGTGATGTACTCACCCAGTCCATATTTCTGTGAAATTGGGGATCTGAGGATCGGGCCTAACTGCTTAGGGTCTCCCGCAAGCACCAGCTGACCGCCCCTGGGATTATTGGGGTCCAGGAGGTCCGCCACAGGGATGATACACTCAGGTTCTGTTGCATGACCCGCCTCGTCTATGAAAATGTGCGTGAAGTGATCTCGTGGGAACAATGCTGACACCAACCTGAGAAAATGATGCAAAAATAATAGTTTTGGCAGTCAAAACGTTCTTGTAGAAAGAACAAGAGTTTGATTTTCTTAATTCCTAAACGTTCTTGTTTGCAAGGGAGATAATATGCTCAGATGCCTACGTGGCGTTATCATCAGTTTTGATGTTGGCAGGTTTGTAATGTAATTTGTAATTTTAAATTACAGACATAGTGTTACCACCTACCTTCCTGCCGTTATCAGAGTTGTGACAATTATGCGATAGTCGTTCATCAAGTCCTCTTTAGAGGGGAAATACACTTCACGTAACACAGGGTCAAAATTTACCACTCGTGCGTCCTGAAAAGTGAACATTAGGTTAAGAAGCTAGATATATCTCTCCGACTATGATTAGTTCAGATGTAGCCTTTGCGTAACATTTTTTTTGTAAAATCTAGGGTCTAAATATTTATGGTAGTTGAATGTTGGAACCATCTGTCCAAATGATTCTATTATATAATAATGAGTGGAAAGGATTAGACTGTTCACCCTGAGCTTTTGAGGCACAAAGTCCCACGGCCTTGACGTAGCATAAATCCGGAACAATTTGCCTTTATCTACGTGAGGCAACAGCCGCTCGGCTAATAAGTCAGCAGCGCTGTTTTCTGGCGCACAAGCCAGAATGTAGCTTGAGCCAATCAAAGCGTGCACCTGTAAGTAACGAAGAGAAGATAGACAGCGAATTACTGGTTGTATTTTTCAGTCCGTTAATGAAAATGCCAGAATGCTATAAAAATAAATAACCTAGACAACTTTCAATTCGTCGGGACAACCCAGTAGACCCTAAATAGAACGATTCAGCGTTGAAAACCAACCAGGCGAATTAGCGTTTACCTACGAGTACATAGCCAGTCAGGATTCACGCTCCTGTGAGATCTACTTGCAAAATTCGCAAGCGTTTTTGCTGAAAATTTCCGGTGACACTTTACATTGGTTACAGGCGGCAAAGCGCAACTCGTACGCTACGAATCGACTTAATATTTCAATTCAGAGCTAGAGCCATTTTTATCAAATAGGTGAGAAATGCATGGGAAAGCTCCTTAAGAAATCCTCTTCACCTGTTTAATCGCCTCGACCAAAGTAACCGTCTTTCCAGTCCCGGGGGGTCCAAACACGAGGTATGGAGCAGGGCGTGAAGATCCTGACACAATCTTTTGGACCGCCTGCTCTTGTTCACTGTTCAGGTTGCGGTCGTAAAAGAAACTGAAAACAAGAAATTACTGTATTTTGTGTATGAGCCGTTCAAAAGTGCTCTTTAAGTCGGAAAATCTACTTTGCATGTGGTTTTACTAAAAAAGAATAACACCAATGAGGTAAATGTCAACGATCAAGCTTTATATATGTAGTTATGTGGACAATAAGAAGCTTTGCATCTCTACGCCCACAATTGGTAAGATCGCACTGGAAGAAAAAGATGCTCTCTCGGGATATTCATTATTTAGAGAGCTAAATTACTTTAAGATCTGGCAAGTCCTAGCTTCAAAACTCTAATGGTAGTATCGTGCCCAGTCGGTTTCTAGAACTGGAATGAGTCTGAAGCGCTGTCGAATCCCTATAATTTCTTCCAGACTTTGATTTTCTGCATTTTCTATATTTGCAGTTCACTTATGGCGATCAGTCTATATCACTAATTATCCACAGGCCAAAATATTATGACTCGTACATTATTTGTTTTAACACTTGTACATCGTCGCAGTGATTCTCATTTTGTAATCGCACCTCTTTAGTGTGGAGCATGGCAATACCGTGAATTATCACTAAAGGATTATGTCCTTATAATTTATAACCTACCGGACCTCCTTGTTAATTTCTCCCCTTTGATCGAGACAGTCATCTGATGGAAAGAGAACGTGTCGCATGTCTTGCCTGTTCACAGACGCAATCTGCTCGCACGCGCGATGTTCCATCTGTACTGGAAGTCGATGAAAAGTGAACTGGATGTCGAACTTCTTACCCTTAACATAAGGCATACTGAGGAGGAAATATGAGATACGAGATCACAAGACACTCCTAACCCCTTGGAGGTGACTTCCTATAAAGAGCCATTTTCTTATGACGGGTTCTGCTTTCAACTCTTCTCCAATGTTTTCGTAAAAAACCTTGCTACTTCCTCAGTCGTCAGTCTCTTCCCAATAAGTCGTTGTAGTTTACCGAGTCTAATCGTACTATATAGAATAAACCGGCTATCGTGAAGTAACAATTTTCATGGTTCGCTTTCTAGGCCGGTAAAAGGAACTCATGCAAGACTCTGAGAACAATGATACCTTCTTATGATATACTTTGACTAATGCACTACGTACTCGTTCATGTTAAAGCCAAGTTTCACATCCAGCATTTGGACTTTGTGCACGATTCCTTCGTATCGTCGCTGTAATACACCTGGCTCGTAGGCATAGATCTTGTCACTGCGTAACACGGACGGGCGATTTTCTGCAAGACCGGGCACCTAGAATTCACACACAATAACAACAAATAAATGTACAATAAAATCAAAAATTAACCACGAAACTGAAATTTTTAGTCAATAAACTCTTCCTATGTGTTCCATGCATGTTTCTTTTTCTCGAGAGGAAAATGTAAACTCAGTAGTCCAACAGAAAAATTATAGAAAATTCATCATCGTATTATAGGAGGACGAGTGCTAAACTCCCCCAGTCCTCGAAGAAAATTGAACCCCAGACCCCAGAGGTTTTCGAAAGCAGGCAGTGTGGCCGAAAGAAAATAATCTTTCAGCTATAAATGGAAAATAAACGAGGAAAAATTGCTCCTCTCAGCATCGGTGTTATTTCGGCAAACAAGAAAGGCTTTTAATGTAGCATGTGTTATTAAGAATATACACCCACCTCTAAGATCAGAAAGCGTCTGTCTCCTCTTTCCTGTTGAAAAACAACTCCTTTCATATCATAGTTTCTGATATCCTTCTGCATTTGTAGTTCTTCCACGTGAAGAAGCAGAGAGAACTTCTCTTTGTAGTTGTCAAAGCTCAAATTCTTTTTCAGTCGCTCACTGAAAACAAGACAAGCAGGTGAGCTGCAGATTATACACCTCCTTTTAAAGCACAAAGTTTCCTTACCAAAGTCCTTCTCGGATTTGATTGCTTTTAATGACCTGGGCTTTTACAGTTAAAGGGATTTCGTAAAAGTCTAGCTTCTCCATAATTAAGCCATTCCTCTGTAAACTAAAAGGCAAGGAAGATCAAAATAAAAAATATCAGTGATTGCAATATCAGTTATGCAATATTTGAATTGCATAACTGAGCACATGAGTTATCACCTCTGAGTTACTTCGTTTTAAGCCTGAAAGTCAGTAAATAAAAAATAATCATGTACGAATCCATATCTTGGTTTATGAGTACGTGTTACTTACGTTTATCGATTTGAGGAAAGTCTCAGAAAAGTTTTGGACGTATTTTTCATCAAAAAAATAATAATAATAATAATAAAAATAATAAGCACTCTATTAACAAGAGTCACTCTTGTTAATACAAGACTTCCTCGGAGGAAATTTTGAATGCAAAGAAACACACATTTTGGAGCATAATTAGTTGCATAACCAGTCGCCGAAACTCTTTTGTTTGGAGATGCATTTAACAAGCGTCTCTAGAAACTGAAACTGTACACTGAAGGTGCATGTCCTTCGTCTTAGTATTCAGCCTTGTAGGTTGGTTGGCTTATGGCAAGTGGTACCGATGCCTCAAAATAATTTTTTTCAAACTCATACTAGCTTTTTCAATGAATTAAAGTATTTCAGTGACACTTCTTCAGGTATTCCGTGGACCAACGCAGACGGATGATGAAAAAGAACAATCACAAAAACCGATAATTGAAAAGTCAGCAACGCAGAAAATGCCATACTGTACCGTGGAAGGGGTATCCCTCCAAATGTTTTAACATCCCTGGGAATTTCTGTTGCCCGTTGGGGAGGTTTATACTCTGAGGTCTGCTTCAAGTCATCGTACAAGTCACTCACGATGCGTACAGAAAAAAACCTAAGGATGTGAAACTCCACCCCGTCTTCGGTCTGAAATGTAAGCACACCGGGAACATACGAATAACCAAACTCCCGGCGACGTTTGCAGCCAATCCTGAACCTCCTCTGACAACCTGTCAAATAAAAATCCATTTCTTCACGTCACTGTAGAAATATGCATAACATTACGAAGCAATTTAAACTCAGTAGTAAAGCAGTTTTCACGAGATGATGGACTGCCCTCGTTCAACTGAGTCCAAAGCAGTTGACTATATGCGCAATCTAAACACAATACATGTAATATTTTTTGCTCGCGCCGAATGATCAGTTAGACCTACAAGAAAAAAAGAAACTAGAAGCGCTTTACGTGGAACCTTGTTATTAAGTTCACACTCTTAAAAACGTCGAGTCACACTGAAATAGAACAGTTAGTCTGTAGGTATCGAGATCGGTGTCTTTGATGTGCATTTTGGCAGCGATTTCAGGACAGTCCTAAACCATCAGAGACAAATGTTTTTCATAGCAAATCATCTCAACCATTTTATGAGTGCCCTGTCAGACAGGATTTATTGGGAAAATATGTATATTAATCAAGAGGAAAATTCCCTCTTCTACTACAAATATATCTCCTTTCTCCATCATAAGTCTATTTCACTAATATCAATGTCACAATTAAAAGAAAATTGGAAGAAACTTAACAATGGAAATTTCGTAAGTGTTCTGGTGAGCCGGTCAAAAAATTACCTGGGTGGAGCTGACCCACATAAGACCCAATACTGGATATTTCCGAGTAATCAAAAAAGTTCACACTCCATAGTAGGGTTATATCCTCAAGGGTGATGGTCTCCTCACTGAGGTTCTCGATGATTAACACAATTTGTCCGTATTTTCCACTCTCCACTTTTAATTCAATCACACCATGTTCATCTCCAGCGGGATCTGAAGTAACCCTCATCCCATTTTTGTCAAAGACAAGCTCTGGCCTGGATGAACAAAAACAGAAAAGAATTACTTGTTACCGAGGAATTTTCTCAAAGTTTTTTCAGGTCTGCTGTTTCCCTTACTTGACAAACATCGCCCCTTACTTTGACAACCACACAAGAAACATATCTTCAATTTTGATCCTCAGATTTCAGTGATGTTTGTCACATAAATCTATGGAAATACTTAACTAACGAGAGAGAAGGGGGTTAGTCATGACGGGAGAGCAGTAGGGGGGAAACTTACTTCCCGTACTAAGAACAGTTGTGGAAGAAAAATATAAAATAATGTCTGAACACGTCCAAATTGTCTCTAATTTACATGTGAGCATTCTAGAAACTAAAACGAAACTTCAATATAATCAAGAAAGCAACCATTATTTAATCATGCAGCTAAATGGAAACAATGAAGTAAATCAAATCATTATTTCTGTAATCTTGTAAGTATTGTAACTAGTTTTTCCTGACTCTCTTCAGGAACGAAATAGATATTAGCAAAAAACAGAACAATAGAATATCTTTGAATTACCTTGCAAAGGAAAACACTTACTTTTTCAGTGATTTTCGAATCGTTATGAGGATATACTGTTGGCGATGTTTCACCCCTTCGATGTGTTTGCTGTAAGCTCTATCATTTCCAAGATCTCTTTTACATATATTACAATAGAAAGGGCTCAAGCTCGAGGGCGAGCGGTGACAAAGATCATCATCATGATCATCAGTGAGGAGTTGAAGAGCTGCGGCTTCTCCGCCACCAAAGATAATACGATCTTGAAGTTGCTGACAAGCATTTATATGGTACGTGAGTGTGTTCAAAATTTTGGAGAATGACATACCCAGCGTGCTGTACAGACGGCGAAATTCTTCTTGGTATATCTGCCTCAATTCGTCTATAAACATGTCTTCCTTACGATTGTTGTCCTCCAGAAACTTAACAAACGTTTGGGCAATAATTTTCTCCTGCTCAAGACCTTTGCTCGACCTAGGGCGGCGACTACGATACATAGTGGAATATATCTGTAATGGGAATGATCAAACCGTTTTTTAAACAAAAAAGATTCACAGTTGCGATTCCCACATGAATTTGATGCAAATTAAAGTGAAACAAGAAACATGATATGCACTTCACACAAGGCGAAAGACCGAGTGAAAATAGTCACGTCTCCGCGAAGGCAAAGTTAATGATTTACAAAAGAAACTACGTAAAAAGGAAAGGAGACACATATGCAGTAGCATGAGCTGCTTTTAACTCCAAAATGTTCAGTCGTTGCCCTTCAATATGTTCGCCAAAACGGACTAATTATTCAGGGAAATCAGGCCGGAAATACGACGATTGATGCAATAGCAAAGATAATTTTGTTGACCCGTACGACTAAAATGAAGCTAACAGGAAGTTATGTTCGATGCTTTAAACCGAGAGTCGTGTAAAGTTTGCAGGATGGTGACATCGTACACACCTACTGTATGAGTAATCCTCAATGTTCGGTTTACTTTCGTTTCTTACGTATACCGAGCTCTCAAGCCAAGTCATAAGGCACCTTAAGAAGCACTAATTATTGAAATCAGACAGTTGTAATTTGGTAGACTGACTAAAAAAAAGTCTACTGTAACTCCTGACCATTAAAATTCGTCTTTTGAAGACAAAAATGAAAGTAGTGCTCGGTGAACTTCAATCAAACTGCTCGCTAAGAATAATTATGAGGCTTTACCCCACCGGCCGGCTGAAACTTTTGTTATAAACTATGATCACGTTACAAGAAATTTTAAATCTTTCTCGACCTGCGATCTTCAGTGGATGCAGTATTAGATAGTCGACGAAACTCTCGAGCATTACGGAAATATTCTGCGACAACGGCAACCGGATGTGAGGAACGTTGGCACCTGGGGTGCGAAATGTCTTACGGAAACACTTTCAATTTCTTTTATTCTCCTTACATCGGTGGCACAAACGAAGCTCGAAAAATCTCCAATGATTTCATCGTTACTTTACTGCACTTGAAGTCAAATCTGTGTACTGCGCACGAATCGTAAGTATTGAATGAACAATTGCGTTAGCTAATTCTCTCCAAGACAGAATTCTCAGAAAACTACACCGATGATGTCATTTCTTAGAAACGAGCATAGTATATTCATCGCACAATCGATCGGCCAATTTAGAGTAGGATTTCTCACGACCGAGGGTTTTACAAAGGCCCATAAAAAACTGTATGGCATTAAACGTCACAGACTAAAATAAGAACAAGTTGAAAATTACGAAGCCAGAATCTCAGATAACCCAGCCAGGGAAAGCAAAAGAGAGATCGTCCTCATAATTCAGAAAAAAAATTGAGAAACACACCAGTATGATTACGAAAATCCTCGACTTTAGAACTCACCTTCAAGCTTTATATGCCTTCGATCTCTTCCACTGAATATTACGAGAACTAAGCACAATTTTATTCAGCCGGTTTTTCTGTTGATTTGGTCGATTTCTCAATATTGCTGGGCTATGACGTCAGATTTCCGAGAAAACAGCCCCGATTTTATTATTTTAGATGTCCCGGATATGTACTTGTACATATATTCGTGAATTGTCATTCATAGTGGTTTCAAACATTAAAATTCAATGATATGGAACACAATTTTGCATAAGATTATTGGGAATCAAGTACTTTAAAATTCAAAACAAAATAAATACTGTTTATCCCTGAAACGAAGCTGATATATCTGCCATTTAACTCGAGGGTAATGCTTCTCAAAGTGAATTCGGATAGTGTGAGCTAACAATTAAAAAAAGAGGTAAAAGAGACTAAATTTCATCAGACCTCTTCGAAGCTGTTGTTTGAGATGTCACTCACTTCTCCTTTGAAAGGAAGCGTTTAAGCGTTGCATGACATCCGAAGAGCGGAAGCGGAAATAGACTTGGATTTTGTTTTGCTATATAAATGTTGGCAACTTACGTTCACCTAGACCTACTTTCCTCCAGTGCGATGTTAAGATTCACACTCAAGCCCTACTTTTTCCTAGGAGGTAATATGAAAATGCAAAGGGACAAACGTCTAGCGTTAAAATGAAGAGAGTTTAAGTAAAACCAGGTGAATATAAAATTTTCAAATATGGGTTTTTACGGGCGAGTAGGGATTGGAAAAAACCTGGGGGGACAGAAACCTAGAGCCCAGTCCTTTAATGAAAGCGCTGTTATTTTCACTTTCCTCCGTACTTCGTTTTCATCGTTTATTTACATTTGCTTACAATGGATACTTTGCATCTGCTGCACATTTTGAGTAAAAGAGTTCACGATATTGGGCATGGAGTTATGCTTTGCAAACAAGATGACATCGAGTCCAGGACTCTGGTCTGCTTCTTGGACAGGAGAGGCATTTTTCATCATGGCTTTGGCTACAAGAGCAATGGAACCATTCGAGTGGTCTGTTGGGAGGAAGAAATGAAAAAGCTCCGCTCCGTTGCCGAGGGATCATTTTTGATTGCTTTCACGGGGATAAAAACATGGAAGCAGTTTGACGCGGAGAATTTTCAAAGCGGGGACTTCCTCTTCAAAGATTGGTTTGACGACGAGAAAAAGCGAGCTGTGGAGGAAGAGTTGCAATGGGTCATCAAGAAAGAGGAAATGATCTGTGATGCCGTGGATCGCTTAGCTCGGCTTAACAGCGAGGAAATGGAAAAGGCCTTGGAAGCTATCAAGGAAATCCGACCGAACTTATGAACAAAACGGCTAAAGATTATAGCAATGGATGCTGTCGATAGACATAAAAGTAAGCTGAGCGTAGAATTGATAAAATCTATAATTTAAATTATATGTTATGTCTTATAAATTGAAGTTAGAGAATTTCAACAAAATATAGTGGAAGAAAATTCCTTAGAATTTGTTGTCTACACGAACAGCTTGTAAATCATGTTGGCAAAGTTATCTGAAGCAGTTTTCAGTTCTTCGCTCAAATAGTTGGGATGCAAATTGTTTTCAGTTGACTGCTTTTGTCAGACCTGTAATTTTTGAGATATATTTAGACACTTGTAGTTCTAACAGGCTCGCCTGGCCTGAAAACTGAGCCTAGTCGGCAAAACTTGACATTAAGTAAATATGAGAAATGAGTTAAAGAAATGTTTCGCTGTTTTTTTTTTTAATTTTTTTTCAAAATGAATTACATTGAAGCTGTCCATTGTTCAATAAAATACCTTTCATCGGCTTTAAACAAGTCAAGCAGCTACAGGGATGATGAACTTAAATTTGAAGGGTTTCCTTGCTCAGTTGCTGCTAAGATGACGAGAGTTTGAACAATCTTAAAACCCAAATTCGTCCTTAAAAGGCGCCTGACAGGCTAGCTGCGAAGCTATCTGGGATTTCGTTCGATTTTTTTGTTGTTGTCAAACTATTGGATATGTCGGTAACTCGAGGAGTAAACAAGGAGTCAATTACTTCCAAAACAACACTTTATTTCTAAGTAAAAACGTTGACATAATTTGGTACGTTTAACGGTAGTCAGTGTAGAGTTGACTGGTCAGGAAAGCTAGCATAAAGCAAAGATTCGAACAGGTGAAAACAACGGTGTTACCGTTTACGTTGGGATTTCTCTGACCGTGCCCTATCTACTGCTCTGCTTTTGATTTTACACTTTGATACTGAAGATAGTTGATGAGAAGTTTCTATCGATCAGTCAGCTCAAAATAATTGGAATGCCAAACCCAAAAGGCCTAAAAAAAATATTTACCTAAGAAATCTGCCGGATTTCTGACCAATCTCTTCTACGGTAGCTCATAACTACTGTATTTCAGCCTTGTAGTCACAGAATCTTAGCCAAAGCCTCACTGGAGCTCGAATGAAAAATTGCTAACGTCCCATTTACTGTTTGGTTATTTTTAATTCAGAAAGTTACTTACATTTATTTAAGTCATATTTGGGGTTCTTGCAATTGCTTGACGCCTTGATCGCGTTGGGCTCATCGTTCGTGAGAGAATTGATCGTCCTGAGAAGGACCACTGTGGGTAGTGGTAACCGACGTTTCGCAACCTAAGCGGAAGTCATTCTCAGAAGACTCTTGCTGAACTTTGATGATGACTTCCGCTAAGGTTATCGAAATATAAGTCTCTGCAACCAACAGCAGTCCTTCTCAGGACTACTCTGACCAGGACGATCGGACTACACGATCAAATTTTACTCCTACGTTCTAATTGTTCACTGGAGTACTGAACAAGCTAGATTAAAACTAAAACAGCTTACAAAACTCCTATTCAGTTGAATAATCGACCTAAATCTGTTGATTTATGAAGAGAAATTTTGCTTTTTTTTTCGGAGACTGAGAACTACTGCTTTTTTAGGTAAATACTAAAAGAAATCATTTTTTTTCCGCTGTGATGTTCTTTGAACATTATTAAAAAAAAAACCATGTAATTAGCAGCTCAATTGGTTAATTAAAATGTACAAAAATAATATTTGAATTTTCAGCAAAGCAACCTCCCTCCTTAATCGCGATTCAAGTTTAGATATGATGGAAGTAAAAACGTTTTTCACAAGAAAGATATATATTTATAGAGATATAAAAACAGGGGGAAATGGGACCACTCAAAACATTCGTTAAACACAACAAGCAAACGAGTCCAGTGGATAGACGGTCAAATGAGGCCTTTTCAAACCTGTTTAAACCACGGACTGTGTTTCCTTAACTCCGTAAAAAATTCAATTTTGTCTACGAGCTATTTCGAGCTGTTACATTGTCAAATTAATTGTGTCACTCAGTAATAAAAAATGAATCGATCAGTGGATTAAAATTTAGTTGAATTGAATATTGTAGGTCTCTCCATTAGGTCAGACAAAAAAGTGGATATAAATTGTTATCTCCTACGGACCCTTGCTCTGCCCAAAGTTTCCTTCACCTGAAAATGTTTCATACCACATAGGTGGCCGTGTAAATCTCAAAGTTCTTAGATAATTAAAGGCTTCAGTCGGGTGTCCGGATGCCAGCTTGAGAACAAGTTTAAGTGACTCTTCTGAATGCTGCAGGATAACATTCTCCATTCTTTTCGAAAGAAAACCCGATACGCTTGGCACTGTAGACGTTTTGTGGGTAGCCTGAATCCAATAGTTCAAATTGCGCACCTGGAAACTAAGCTGCACATACTTGATTGCAATTGCTTGCCAGTCACAATTTAAAGAGGTATCGTAATCAGCTAATGCAAAATTCATTTTTGATAAAAAACGTGGTAGTTTACCATTTAAAGGCATGTGAGATCTCACTTCATCCGACTTTTCTAGGACTAAATCGAGGCTCTCTTTGTAGTTGCGATAGAATTTGTGAAGTAGAGTTTCGAGATCCTGTTTATCACCAAAATGGTAACACATATCAATGGTGTCTTCCTTTGGTTTGTAATCTTTCGGAGCATCTTCACAACGCATTTGTGCATGAGGTCTCGAAGCAACATACAAAAGGTTCTTCAGCCGCTCGATTTCATCGTTGAGTAAAGTAACAAAAGAATTTCGAGTATCTAGAAAGTTAAGTTTTAGGGCCTGTTGACGGTCAAGGAAAAAAACCATTATTGTAAAATGAGTTAAACCTCTTTTTATGTCAGCTGGACAATCTTGTATGAATGAAGAACATTTGTCCACCTTCTTCTGGTAATCGACGCGAATTTTATCTACTTCGTCAGATGTTTTGAAAAGGTTGACGTTTGCAGCCTTATATTTTCGGCATTCATCGCGCCCACAGCCCTCCTGAAGAGTTAGTATCTCATCTTCCGTAAGCTCTAGAAACAACCTGCTAGGATTCATTCCAAAGAAAATATTGTAGATGAGGAAGTACTCTGCTTCTAGCGAGGGATATCGAAGAGTACCACCGTAGTTCTTTATTACGTCGACAACTTTGCACCATGGACTGTGCCACTCACACGAGTCGCCGCCAATAAATAACGCTAAGTACATTGGAGTAATTCCATCTTTATTGGGGCAGTCCACATCAATGCCAATAATTTCACTGCTAGAGAGCAAATGTGCAATGAATTGCCACATCCCTCGGGTAGCTGCAACGTGGTAAAGGGTCAGATCAGAACGCGTTTCACTACAGCCAATATCCAAGGTCCCATCTTTAAGGAAATGATTTAAAATAGCTGAGGCCGAAAGTGAGGCAAATTCAACCTCTAGAGCTGTAAGTGCACCGGGTACTTCGAGGTTTAGAAAAGGCCTGTATTTTATAGCATATAATACTGAAAGCCATAAAGGGGAGGACCCGTCATGAGTTTCTATACTTAGGTTAGCACCTAAAGAAAGAAATTTCTCAATTGCTACCAGGTTTGCACCCTGAGCCGCTCTATGTAGAGCGTTATAGCCCTCTGCATCAAAACATTCATCTAAAACGTTACTGCCGTCAGGATGAGACAGGATGGCTAATGTCAGTGGTCCATCGCCAGTCTTAATTGTTTTCAGATTTCCCTTGTCGAAGCGCTCGTCGTATTTGTCCAGAAAGTAGTCGAACAACGCATTTTCTGACTGCAGATATTTTTGCCAGCTATCACTCCCCATTAGATATTTGTAAAGGTAATGAAGGTAATGCAATTTGTGATATGATGCTAAGTGGAAGACTGAATCCTCGAAGGGATCTCCACACGTGATATCCACTTTTACGTTATGTTTTACAAGAACTTTGGACATATGACGGCCACCGATACGCAAATAAACGAGCAGAGGAGTTAGTCCCAAGGCATTTCGACAATTAACGTCCACACCTGCTTGTAATAAGGTGTTGGCGGCATAAACGAAATGGAGTCTAACATAATCAAGCAGATGTGAGCAGTTGAACTTTGTAAATGTTGTTGTATACGCTCGCGATATGACCCTCGTAAAAGACGTTGCAACCAAGGCTTGTTCATATGGCTTATTTAACGCAACGACACGGTCCTTCAGCCTCTCAGAGACTGCAATATCGTAAGAAATAATGAAAGGTGTCAAGGATAACACAAGAGAACTTTCGCTGAAACGACTGCTTCCTGTTAGGTAATTGAAAGCACTGGTTTTCTCTTCTAATATATGGAAGAACGTTCGATTTCTCCGGTCTTGCATAGTTAGAGTATCAATTTGATTAGCTTTTCCTTTCTTGGAAACCAGTTTAACAAGCTTGATCAAGGTATACAACCAAGGATATTTAATATCCAATTCGCTCATGATCGTCTGAGAGGCTCCGGAATGTTTCTCTATCCAACCCTTGGGATTGGTGACGTATAAGTCTGCAAAATACTCAGAACCCACGTATGTTATGTCTTTTACCACGTAGTGTAAAGCCGTCATTCCCTCGTCATCAGTAGCTTGGTAATCGCATCCCAGGTCAAACAGAGGCCCGAAAACGTCCTTTGAAAAACATGACGCGGCACTGTGCAGGGGTGTCGATCCATTCAGGCTTCGTGCATTCGTATCTGCCCCACTGCTGACCAGAAGTGTCACAAGGGATGGCATATTGTGGCAGGAGGCGATGTGGAGTGGCATGGAGCCATTACAATCCAACGTGTCAGGATCTGCTCCGTACTTAATAAGCAGCTCGGCAACACTATGGTAGCCATGCTTAGCAGCGATATGCAAAGCAGTAAATCCACACGGACAACGAGTTGGAAGCAATGTACCATCTGTAAAGGAACCAGCACTCGTTGATAACATTTTATCATCACAATGAACATTGGCATTAACTCCAGACTTCAACAGTGTTTCTAAGATGTTATAGTTATTTGCGTACGCAGCCTCGTGTAAGGGGAGTCTTGTCGCAGAATTTGGACAGTTGATAGCGTTTTGGTCTTCGCTCAACAAAGTTTTAATCACGTCAATATGTCCTCGAGCGACTGCCGCATGAAGGGCTGTTTCACGCAGGTGAAGATGATGGTTATCATACAAACGTAATTTTGTAGACTCGAAATTAAACTCATCTTCATCAGAAAAAGCAAAAAACAGGATGTTCTGGACACAGTCATCCACAACTCCTTCTCCCAATAGGTATTGTACGACCTCATTATGACCCCCAGCTGCTGCGTGATGTAATGATATGTCATCCAGTTCTCCCCCAGCGCTCTGAAGAGTCTGGATGGTCTCAAGATGTCCGTTTGCCGCCGCCAGTTGCACAGCAGTATTGTTTGCTCCAGTTGTGCTGAAAATGTTCACTTTGTGCTGAATAAGAAAGGCCACAACATCGTTGTTACCTTCTTGGGCGGCTGTATGCAATAATGAATATCCGCAAAGCTTTCTTCTACACTCTTTAATGGGATTTTTGGAGTGTGAGACACTTTCAAAATCCAAGTATGCTGCTCTACGGTTGAGGTTAGCTCCTCTACCAAACAGAATCTTCAAGTTTTTCAAGTATCCAGAAGTTGCCGCTATAAACGCTGGTGTACGTTGGTTGTAGTCTACATTGTCAACATCGCTGAAGTGGCCCACGAGAAGTTTAACAACATCTGCATTAAACCAGCTGGAACTGTGATGAAGTGCTGTCATTTGAGTCAAAGGGTCGCTTGAATTAATATGACTTGATGGCAGGGACAGAAATTGCTCCACTAAAGGATCATCCAGACCCCCTTCAACAATATGACTCGCCAGGTAAAAGGCTTTATCCGGCTTGAGGGGGAAATTGCTTTCTTCAGCCTTTTTCAGATAGTACTTTGCAAGACGGTTATGACCATTTTGCTTCTTAATATAATAGAATTTCCCTTTGTTTTTATCACTCGTGAGCCACTTAGACAAAGATGCATGATGAATCCGAATGAGATCCTCTCCTGATCCATGCCACAAGAACAAAGATACAAGGTCAAGTTTTGGTATGAGGTCGTACTCTAAGTCAAGAGCTGGGTGTCCAAGCTTGAGTGCTAAGTGCATTTCATGGATAGTAAGGGGGGTATATGCTGCAACAAGTACTTCAAAAATTGCTCGCAGGGGTTGAAAAGATTCGGGTGTGGCATACTTTCTCTCGAAGTATAGCTGATATGTGGTGTCAAGAGTTTGAGGAAACGTATCCAAACTGACACTTTGGGTTGATTCCATCCACAAGTCCAACACAACTTTAACAAACTGAAAGTTTCCCCGACCTTTCTCGGTTAAAATTGAAACAATTTTCTGAGCTGGCGCCTCGTTATTTGTGATTGCAAGGTTCGTTTTAATTTTATGCACGAGGGAATCTTTCCAAGAAAACACCTTGAAGGATAAATATGTATCAATGTCATCTAGGTTTTTTGTGTCGTCCGACCGTAACTCTACTATTTTAAGCCCTTTGAAACTTGCAGTGATGGTGCTTACATTCCGTGAGCTCAAAATCAGCTTCAGCCACTTTGGAAGGCGTCGAACTTTGGATTTAAGAATGTTGAGAACCTCTGCTTTGTCATTTGCACACTCATCCAAGGCGTCAACGACAATATACCAAGGTTCTTCAAGTTCCAGTCCGAGGTTTTTCAAGGGGGTAAGTATTCCTTGTTCGAAACACCACTCTGAGTCTTGAGGACAATCCTTGTGTAATACTCTTCGAACAAAGGGATCAGTCTCAAGGACTTCGCCGTACTTCTCCAGTTTCGAAGCGATCATGTTGGCAAGATTTCGAACGAACTTGGCTCCATTCTGCGTTCCTTTGTCGAAGTGCATGCAAAAATGATACCCAAGGATTCTGCTGTGAATAAGTGGGCTTGATGTTCTGGAACAAAGCAAATAACTAAGGAAAGCAGACTTACCAGAGCCTGGATTTCCAGTTATTAAAACACCACGCTTTTCAGTGTGCTCCAAAACAGTTTCCATTTCTTGGTACAACCACTGCCGGCCGATGAATTCTGCTCTCGATGAATTGATGAAATCGCTGAAGTCGAAATTCTTCAACTCCCACTGATCATTATAATCTTGGAGCGTACATCCTGCAGGAACAAGATTCACAAATTTTTGAAAATTTGAATACGGTGTATGTACAAACGTTTGGGATTTTTGATCACCACTTCAGATCTAGAGCTGGTAAATCGTGATAAAATTCCAAGCTGTGAATAAATAATCTAACTATCAAACATCCTCACGTATCCCTATTTGCGATTTAAAGTTTTATCTACTCACCATCTCCGTCGTAAGAATCCTCTAAAACGATACAGAGGTGACAAAGGAGCATAAACATGAACCACGATATGAGGTGGATTTTTCTCACGGGCTTGATATTTCTTATCAGGTTTCCTGATAGGTTTCCTATCAGGTTTCCAAATGTATTAGGCCAGGTTTGACTTTCTTCAGGTAATCTTGTCCAATTTAAATCATTAAGTTGGTTTCTTAGAATCTCGTGTTGTTCTTGGAGCTGATTTTGCTGCTCTTTGTTCTTGGCGGACTCCTCCATCAACATTGTCAAATTGTCATTAATGCTAGAAATCTCTTTTGTCAAAACTTCTTTTAAGTCGGCTAGCACTTGTGCCTCCATACTCTGCAGGTCTGAAACATGCCTAAGGTTGTTAACTTCTCTCGAGGCTTGCTGAGCGTCTGGATCGCGAACTATATTGGGATCCTGAAGCAGATTTTCAATCGTGTCAAAGGCGACTCTCTTGTCGGCATCGCTTAACTCCAGCTGTGGCACATGCACCCACTTGTCATTTCGAATGTCACGGACGGCTTTGATCAAGGGCAGTGAAACAGTGAAGTGGCTGCACCAGGACATCAGATTTAGAATACCAGCGATGTCCATGTCATCTGCGCTCTTGATATCTGCATGGCCTCCCTGATCAGGGAGGAAGAGCTTGGCTATTTCCCAAGGACCCAGGATTGGATCCATCCACTTACTACCATCACTTTGTTTCCAATTTGGCCTGTTTTTGTCATGATGTGCCTGAAGGATGTTAGCCCACTGACAGGTCCTCATGTCGTGGTACTCGTTTGGTTTTCTTCTCTTGATATGGACACATGTGCAGGGTCCGGCAACTCTTGCAGACACATTTCTATAAAACGACTCCATCTCACGGGTAACGAAAGGGCGAAGACCGTGACGCAGCTCCGTTGTTAACGCATGACCGAGAGCAAGCCAGTTTCTGTACTCCGGCTTTGTTAGTTGTCCGATCGTCCCAGGAGCACTTGGGGAGGGCATTACTTCAATGAAAGAACAGAAATAATTGATACGAAGCGAATTAGAAAACTGTGGTGTCTTGTCGTCTTGATTCAATATAAACAAGTGCTTGCGAATGGACGATAATTGATTTGCATATTAAGTGCTGTTTGTTATTCAATACGCCGGACTACATGGGAGTAGCAGATAAAAGGTTCATCCTTTATTTTATTTCATCGTTACGGTTTTATCTTCAACCTCTGAACAAAGTAATCGGTGTTAGTTCAATGCGGTTAAGAAAGTTGTAGCCGGAGCAATTAAAGTTAGAAGCTCTATGAACGAAATTATTTTGCATCATCTTCTGTTTTGAATTCGGGGAATCCCCGCACTTAACCTACCACTGAGCTGCCAATTGTGTGACGATGATACAAAGCTGTCTTTGTTGAGTTTAAAACCTGAAGATAATTTTAGATGAAAAAATACACGCAATGAGCTTTAGCTAATTGTTTCTATGAAAATTTTTAATGCCTTTATTGAAAACCATCAAAACCTCGAGGACCGCAGCACAGACAAAACAAAACATTATTGAGACGTCGTAATTGCGAATCGTAAGGTCGGTTATTCTGGGGCTCTCCAGAAGTTTCCATAAGCGTGTTATGGTACAACTTAAAAGCATGGTGTTCGGCGAATTCTTTATAAAATTAATCTGATAAGCAATTATTCCCGGAAAAGGAATCTTGGTGAGGGTTCGCCATGGCCGTAATCAAAAGGAGTTATCGAACATATCGTTCCACATGTTTAGGTCTCATATTGAAATTCACACCTTTCCGAATTAATCGGAATTGATCGATTACATATCCCTTCTTAAAGCTTTTATTGATATCAACTTTTTCTTAACCTTAACAAAAACTAAAGTGGCGGCTAAGCTCTGAATTATTTGAAAAGGTTTGGCCTTGGACATAAATAGTTTTTGTCTGAGCGTAGCCAATTTTTTTTCAACTTCCGGTTTCGATTTTGCTTCAAATGTGTCCTTGGCAGTGCTACCTTCAAACATCTAGCAATAGGTAAAAAATAATGGAAAAAAAGACGTAACAACGGGTAGACGGGTACGCTACAAAGCGACAGAGTAGCTGGTTCATGCATCAAGTTCGATAATCAAGTATGTTTTCACGGCGTACTCGTAAATATTACCGGCTGAGAAAAATTGACAATGTCGGCATCAACAATCGCTCGGTCGATTTCGCCGCAGGATGTGAAGTCACTAAAAAGTTAAAATCATTGTTTGTCCTAACAACCAACTTCATGGTTATTAATCTGTCTTCCTTATTTAACGCAACCTGATAGAATGTTCATCCAGGAATTTGTTTGTACATCAGGTTCCAAATGAACGAACAGTAAATTAGTTTGGTGTTTATGCATTGAAGTAGACAAAATTTCGTATCCAGTCAGTCGTTACTTTATTCATACGATGAAATAAAATGATTTCTAAGTTCCAATTTGATGTTAAATACAATGAGCGTTGAGATCGCTGAATAACAGCTCTAAGTAACTATTCCAAGTATATACAGTGAGCATTGAGATCGCTGAAGAACGGCTCTAATTAACTATTCCAAGTATAATATTCAACGTTGAGTATGTTTTGAGATATTCGAGCTGATTTTACCGCAAACGGCGCCAAAGGAAAAGCCTTAACTTGACACAATTCCTTTTTAAGTGTTCCATAATGAGGCTATATTACATCTTCGGATCAAACTCACCTTAAATGTCGATTTAAGAACGTAGTTAGTTAGTAGAGTAATTTTCTTGGTATCATTCATATAATTACGTCACCTTTCTGGGAAACCACAATATTTGTCTTTTTAATTTTTTTTCGTAGATACGTTCCCATAGTTCACTGCGGGCTTCATTAAAATTTAATTAGGACAGAGGTAGACTGAGTACGAGGAACATCAAATAACTTCCAACTTTTAAACCTCTCGTGACAGAATCTGTTTGCTGCATTTATTTACAGATGATTCGAATCTTCGATGAAAATCGGAAAATGTTAACGTGCCAGTAGAATTGAAGAGAGTTGAGGAGAAAAAACCAGAAACAAGAGAAGCACTTTTTCTCTGTGTCTTTATTCGGTGAATATTTCAGTAAAATTGTTGTGCAATAGGGGGAGAAGAGAGTACAAATTGCAAATCATGCTGACGAATTCCTCAATGATTTACTGTTCCCATTTTAAATAAGGATGCAAATATGTCTCAGTTCATTGCTCCTGGCTAAGATCGTGTTTGAAATAGCGTTGAAACGATAAAGATATTTTAGTGTGTACTACGTTTATCACGATATTGTTCTCAACGGCTAACTTTCAATACTTTTCGTGATTTATGTGGTAAAGCAAATCAATTTTTCTATCCACGAAATAACTGTAGATAAAAGAAGAGCCAGAAAAGATCATCAATTCTTGGAATTGCGCCTGGCCTGAAAACTAAATGTGGTCATTCAAGCTTTCGATTAGATTGGTATGTGCAAGTTAAACCAGTGTTTCTCTGCTTTGAAAATTCTATTAAAGCTGTCCTTTTTGCACCTAAAGGGAATTTAACCTTTGATTTATTCAAGCCAGATTTCACTTCTTCTTCTACGGGAATGAGAGTCCGAAATATCTTTTAGCATCTCATTTTCTTTACATTAGAAATCAGAAAACAGACAATTTGAAAATAAATTTGTATTAAGGGAAACAAACTCCTTTCACCAACTTGTTTTGCAATGATCTGATATTGATCTCCAATCCGGTCGAGTTCTTCATGGGGCGCGGGGAAAACTATATGGCTTGTCAGAGCTAATCACAAAGCACTTATTTATGTGTGCCCATATTAAGGACTTAACCTAAAAGACATAAATATTATAGGGGAAATTTTATAATGCTCAAGTCAATAATTTAAAACGGGCATTATTAACAGCGCTAACTGAAGTGCGTCAAGGTGAACCAGGGTTTTCAAGAAAGCGTTCCTTTAAAAAGGAGTCGGCGATTCAGTAATAATTTAAAATTCATTGATCCTCAACCAAAGAGGCTGATTCCCAATCAGGTTTCAGCCGGGCGAATACGAGGAAACAAAAATAACAATCACTTGTCCTTTGTTAAAGTAGGCAGGTGTACTATGGTAATAGCAACTTAATGATTATCATTTGAACGAACGAAACGGCTCGTGAAAACCACAAGCACTTAGTATACATTGAATTTCCGCATTTAACGCCAGTTGTCGCTTGTCGCTAAACAGAAAGGTCCCCAATCTTTTCTTCTGCTACTTTGGTAAAGATGACCGCCAGCCTTAATCAAGGCAATGAAGACTTCAAATCTCATGTCTTCATTATCAACGGAGGCGTACTGCTCTTTTTCGCGTTGTTGATATCGATCTCCAATGGCATCCTCCTGTTCATGATCTATAAAGATCCGCTGAAGAAATTTCGCAACGCCACCGCAGTTCTTGTGGTCTCTCTGAGCATAGCAGACTTTCTAACGGGATGTGTAACCGCTGTAGACGTTGGAATAGCACATATTCTGGAAGGAATGGCAATGCAAGATGTCATGCTTCAGGCCAAGATCGTTTCGCAGATAACCGTGCGCGCGAGTGTTTGTATCATGATCATTTTTGCGGTTGAACGGTTCATAGCTGTTGCCTTCCCGTACGTTTATCGTAGCTCCGTGACCATCCCAAAAACCATCCTCTGTTGTGTGCTGTGTTGGTTGTTAGCCATTGTTACAAGCTGTCTGGAGCTGGTAGTGGAGCGAGATTTGTACGATGTTGTGTTTCTTTACCTCATTTTTGTCCTACCACTTGTCACGATTATTTTCACATACTCGGCAGCTTATTATATGGTGCTACATCGACATGGAAGACTCTACCAAAAAGAGAAAATATCCAGGCGATCGGCTGAGATGCAGAAACAACTGATGACGACTGCCTGTCTGATAATTCTTGTCTTCTTCGTTTCTCTCGTTCCGTTTTGGGTATTCACCACCATCCGGCGTTACTGTAAAGAGTGTGTTCATCAAAAATGGTGCATCGCAGGTTATCGATTGTCCATCCCGATTCTGTACAGTAACTCTGCCCTAAACCCGTTGTTGTACGCTTGGAGAATGCAGCCATATCGTCAAAGCTTTCAAGCCTTGTTTTCCAGAAAACAAAATCGTGTGGGAGGAACAAGTCATAACGAATTCCCTCCAAACAAAGGCAATGAAACTATACTGGTCAATGAATTTTGCGAAGAGACTAAAGTATAAATAAAACTTTACAGAGGAAATTTTCCAGTTTCAGTTTAAAACTTTCAAAAATTATGCAAACAGCTGTATGAGCATATGTAAACAGCTTCTTTATTTTAAAACCATTTTTTAAGCGCAAGTGGGCGCATATTTTTTAACCAGACAATTATTGCCACGCATTTAACAAGGAAGATAATGTGTAAATAGTATGCGGAAGAGATAACTGAGAGAACAAGTCACTGAGGAATACATTGACTTCACACCTTAAATTAAAGCCCTATTGAATTAAGAAAATTTGCAGAAATAAGTTAGAAAAGAAATTTTTGTAAGCGATGATGTCTTAATGAAGAAGATTAAGTTCTTTCCTGTTTTTTTCAAATGTAAAACAGGGCCTGGATCGTTCTGAATGTAAAATAAAATTTGGCAGCTGTGTAGTTTCCAAACCAGTTAAAATGCTCAGACCTCGCTGTTCCTCTTTACCCAAAGATTTGTGAGAATAATTCTGGACATCAAAACTTCTTCCGTGGGACTACAGTGACTCTGGTTTTTTGTTCAACAAATTTAAATTTAGAACATGATAACTGAATGATCTTAAATGCATATTCATATAACGAAAACAAATCAGACAAGCTGGCGCACTCGATTAAAACGCAGACGCTATATATTGACTCGGTAGATAATATCTTCTTCCAATTAAAAAAAATGATATGATTATGGGCCGTAGGTTTGAAAGCAAGACGAATTTCTGAGCCCATTGTACGAATTCGTCTCTAGGAATTGGTTTATAATTTATCAATTGGTTAAAAAAAAAATAGTTATTCAGTTCAAATGTTAACATGAAACGTTCATTGATTGGTGAGAAAAACCCCGGCTACTTAGCTGGCCATTCGGATAATTGGAAAGATGAACGGGAAAATGCTGTTTGTTTGTTCGTGTCTTGGCGTCAATGTTGGACATATACATCTTTTCGTGTAGGTTTTTATCATTCAATTTAGTTATTTGCATTTCTTGTGACAAATATCCTTCCATCGTCTGATATAAAGAAATTTTAAAAACTGAAATATTATCGCTTTATGCAAAAAACGTAATGGTCGACGACACGCCACTAAACAAAGCCATTAGTTACCGTATTTTAGGTGTCAGATACCAAAGAAAACCACCGCCAACGTAGATTCTTTTCGGGTGAGGTGGTCATGACGCCAATTTTTGCAAAGAAAAACAAATACCGATCTTCAATGGACTCATTTTCATCTTAGTCGACTTCACTATCAGTAAACAGTCTCGTTTGTGTTTAATTCTTGAAACTTCTTTGATAACATGGAAATTTTTAGACAATAAGGCACTTACGGTAGAACATGTAACTAATTATCTAGCATTTTCTACCTTGCTCCACTAACGTTGGTGGTAGTCTAGTTCAATTTTTGATTTTGAGGATTTATAAATTATTATTATTATTAAAAGCGGTCCTTTTCCTAGGCACGAGTCTTTTTGTCTGAAATAATTTTACGAGTGCTGTCTTTGTTGGTTGTGAGAGACATTTTTGCCCAGTTTAGTTCATATTGTTTGATAACAACAATTTTGAGAATTTTGTGCAGATTTTTAGGGATAGGTGTGGTATTCATGCGTTTGTTTTCTTTTGAAGAGATCTTCGGGGGACATTAATTGATATTTTTGGTCAGGTTTTGAGCATAAACTCACTGTATGTTAAGTCTGCTTGGTTACATTTCCTGTTACTCGTGCCATGTAGCATATTGCAACTGTATAAAGCTCCTAATTTTTATTGCTGGCAAAATGCCAACCGGCTTGTAAAGCAACGCGGGGTACATGTAGCATGATGACTTGTTGCGGAGTGTTCTTGCTTGTAATGCCCAAAGTTGCTCAATTGCGAGTCTGATAGCAACAATAAATCAGTACCAGACCCCTTTCAGATCTCTCGCGTTGCTTAAGGCCTCGTACCTTCCGACGGGCGGAAAAGCGTTCTACCCGAAATGTTTTCGTTTATTTTGCATGACAAGTTCGTGACAAGTTAATATGGCAATTACCTTATGCAAATTAATTTACATCGTGTTGACACGACTCAGGACGTTTTCGAATTTTGGTAGCGAGAGAGAAAGTTTTTGTTGTTAAAACCTAATTTATGAAGACCCATGTGTTGAAGTGAGTTATTTGGTGTCACAGAAACATTTTCCACAGTTCGTGCCGAAGCGTAGGATGAAGGGCTGCTCGTAGGCTGCTCAGGGTTAGCAGGTAATCGTCACTATTTGAGAATGCATTCACCGATTGGCAATAGTGTCAAGGGTATTGAATAAATTATAAATTTGATTGAAAGAAAAAGCTGTTAGTTCCACTGAGTTATTTTGTTGTATGTCTTATGTTCTCATAATCTTCATACAATCTCGGCAGTGATCTAAATAGGTATACCATTCAATCGACTTTGTCAAACAAACATTTTGATTTTAAAGCGTAAAAAACATACTTTTTAATCACTTCTTTAGCTTCCAGCATCATTATTCCGGGAATAATTTCAGAGCCTGTAGGGATTTTTTTTTGTATATTGCCAACATAAAATGCATGATTCACAGTTAAAAGGACTACAAAAAAAGTTTGAAAATTTGCGAAACCGTTACATTCTACAGTCTACAGTCGAGCGAGAGACAGTTCTTCAGAAATCCCTTTATTACATCGATGACTGATAAGTGCATGCCTTTGGAAAAGAGTAAGTCATAATACAAATTGAGAAATGTGCAGTACATACATTTGAGTAACATTGTACTTTGTCGCAGAAGAATGGATCACCTTTGCCTTCTTATTCTTTTGTTGGAATCAGGTACATCCGTGAATAAGCTGTTACATTTTAATCCACAGTGAGAGTTAGTTTCTGAACTTTAAACACGATTTCCTCCAAAATCGTTACACCTTTCCCAGTTGCCGTACTCGCTACTAAGATGGTCATTTTTCTGTAAAACCCGATTCATTTTTTTCTTCATCATCCTCTCTAATGGAAGTGGGAAACCTCAAATATCGACACCTCTTCATCTCCTCCACCTGTCTGGTAAAGTTTTGGTTTTCGAATGTCCCGCTACAGTTCCCCCCGATAAATTTCTTGTCCTTAGCCCACAGGTTTAAGCTCAAGTCAGGGCAGCTTCCTCTCCGCATCAACACCCTTCGATTTGAGACAGCTACTTCCACAGCCGAAGAAAACAAATTCGTGACTTGTAAACTCCCCCTTCGCGCTGATCTCGTCATTGGTGGAGATGCAATAATGGATGCGGAATAACCGTTCGATAGCTTGGTCGTTAAATCTTGTATATCCAGCCTTGCTTGCGCTTGTTTCGAGTACTTGAGCTTGTTTTTTGGCGTCTTTGTCGGCGTGACTTCCTCTAACTCTATCTTCCCTGTTCCTGCATCTTTCTGGATTGTTATACTCGGCAATTTTAGAAGAGGAGACGTCGATAATGGAGATTTGTTTTCGCCCTTTAATCCAGATCTTAGCCCCTTAGCGTACTGATCCAAGGCGGAATCGGAGAGAGAACTCCGTTGCAAGATCTTTTCGGCGACGCTTCTCATTTCATCTTCGCTCTTTGGGTCAGCCGTTGAGGGGAGAGAGCGTCTTCGGGATTCTCGTCTCCTTTGAGATTCGAGGAGAACTGATTGCTGCACCGACAATTCCCGAAGTTTCTTTTCGTATTCCTTTTTAAACCTATCCACCGAAGAATTAAGCTTCTTAGATTCTTGACAGTTTCTCATCCCTTTAAATTTTAAAGTTTGTGAAATTTCCGATCTACCTGCCATGTGTTTCCTCCCGTGCATTTTGTTCTCAATTCCTTTTTTGCCTCATAGGACTGTGACAATGAACTCTAGATTTCAGGGTCTCCTTGTCATAAAATTGTACTTAATTTTATTCATGCACTTGCGGTTTAATTTACGATTGCTCAAGCGTCCCTCTGTGTCAATAGCTTGTTGTATCTTGTGCAACAAAAGATTATATTTGTTGACTTTTCGTGTATCTTTTAGAATTTTGCAATCATCCTTTTACCTAATGACTTCTTTTCGTAATTTGATTCGCCTACCGGTGAAAATACGAACTTGGCTTAAATCGACCCCTGCTAAGGTTTTCGCGGCGGCATGAAGTCATCAGGAGTTTATAATTAATTTTCATAAGAGGGAACTTTAGCCATTGCTGGTCAGCTCTCAACATTACACTGGGTTTGCTGTCCGTTTCCTTGGCAAATATTGAAGTAATCTCTCGAACCATTTCAATCAAACTCCTTCGTATAATTGTGCAATTTGATGCTGTGTTAAAGACAAAAACGTGATATAAACTCTACTGATTTCAATATTTGACCCGGAAGATAGGATTAAGTTTTTTAACATCTTATTGCAGTTTACATTCGTCTCGAGCTGCAACTCAACTTAACTTTAATGAGTTTTGATTAATAGCAGAATGAGTAAAGTAAACTTTTCGGAAACGAATTAAATTTTTAAACAATTAAGTGCTTCTTATCTCCGCAAAAGTGTGATCGGCGCTTCTTTGTTAATTTATCGTCAATGAATGAAGCCAAAAATGACATATTGCGGTTCTTTTAAGTGGATATTAGCGAATGAGGGAAGTAATGATACTTATTATCTGGTGCCAAAGTTCCTAAAATAGCTGCAGGGATTAACAAACTGTTTATTTACCACTCCTTGTTGAGTAAACTCACGACACTTATGAACGAAGTGTCGGTAAGATTGTTTGAAGTAGATTTTATTGGTTGTCAATTGGATGAGCTATCATTCGAATTTACTGTGAAGCCATCCATAGTCACGTATATCACTGGTAATAAAACTAAAGACCCCAAAAAACTCAAATTTATCATAAATTCGGTTGCTAATAAATTGCGTTAACAACGAAGAAAATTTTCAAGAGTCCTTTGCGACTGAGTGCCATAAAATCAAAACCAAAATAATCTTAACCGTCAATTACTCAGCATGCTAAGCATGCATCACTACTCAAACTTCCAAACTTTTTTTTTTGCAGTTTGTGGCTTGAAAAGATCTTTCGGTTGGGCAATCGTAACAATGTATGATGATGTATGAGAATCTCTATTTCGTTAATCGCGCTCCTGATATAACGGTCTTTAAAAAAACTATAGTACTGAATATTCTGCCTTACCAGTTTAACACGGCGCTTTCGACAATTTTTGTACCTAAATCTTAGGGTTAATCCTCTTGGTTTTTTAATCAGTCACAGCACAGCACGCGTTGTATTCCAGTAATTGATTAGATTAAGTTTCAATAGCTTGAGTAAAAACACCGATAGATGTTTTGTTACTGATCACGAAATTGCGCCTGATGTTGTGTTTAATTAAATTTGCAGCGAAACAGTGCATTTGGTGATAGAGTTTCTCTTTTGTGTGTAAGCTTCGTTGTACAGTCCGCGAGATCAACAATGTTTTTTTCTCCAAAGGTGAAAGAACTTGTGTGCACGATGGAACACCAGCGTGAAATGTCATTGCCAATTAACCATTTTAAACTTCTCCGCCCAGGTGAGGATTAATTATTAGTTATGTAAATTAGAGCACGTACTTGCGATATGTCGCTCAAAATAAATTTGAAATGAACAGCTGGGAAAAATTTCAGTCAGGTATATTTGTAGAATGCTTGAAATACTTTGACGAACATGACGAAGTTTGCAACTGAATGAAATGTTACTATAGTGCCTCATGCCTCATGCAGACCTCGAGTTTTCGCCTTTGTATGAATGAAGAAAGTCTCTCTTATGCTAGTCTTTCCCTGGGAAGTTGAATAAGGCCGTAATGGACTATAGCTCTTTCGCTATAAATATATACATATGTTTTTTTTGCTTTTCAATTTATCATCACGTCTTATATCGTGACTGACAGCGAATCTCTCCGGAAGGACTGGACCGAGACACGTCATTTTGTGACTCGTCATCCGTGATTTATGCGCATGCGTGGGGAGAACATCCAAACAAATATGGCTGCTTTTGATCTCGATCGTGTGAAGGTAACTGGATGACGATAATTTTCATGAATTTCCAACAATTCACCTTCATTTGTACTCACCCTGAATGTCCGATTTTAGGCACAAATAAACAAGGCGTTGGGGGATGCCTCTGTGGTAGTAAAGTTTTCCTGTGCGACTGTTTGTCTGCTGTATTGCTTGAGTTTTTTACCTAATGTTTATTCTGTGCTTGCTGTTACCCCTGGATTGTAAGTTGCTATGTTTTAAAATTTAATGTATGTTTTTGTGTATAGTTCGAATCTTGTGGATGGATTTCTTAAATGGAATTTTTGATTAATTTTATTTCTATTTTCTCCTAATTTCGATTCTAAGCAATTTAAGTAAATAGTGCTTATCTTGCACTTTTAGAGTTAAAATGATAGCCACAGACATATTGAAACTTAAATTGCATCTTGGGCCTTTTTAAAAAATTGTACTTAAGCTTAATACTTATCCTACACTTTTCATGCATGCCCTGGGTAGAGCTGGTTTTAATTAAAGATTCAAGCTAAAAATATGTCATTACACTTGACATTAATTACTGTTAATATTTTCTAATATCAAAAGAAAGTGGTGTTAGTAATATCATCTCGATTTTTCACGATTTTTACTAAAATATAATTTATATTTATGTTGTTACATAGTCATCTGATTCTCAAACCAGAAACTTGTCTGTGGGGTTAAGCCACTGTGATTGTCAGAAAAAATGTGTTTATTATTTGTATAATAAGGTCATAACTGTTTTAACTGTTGCCAGGAAATGTTTTAATTTTATTTGTATTTTGATGACATGATATATCTTTGCAGCATTATTCCACCACATTTCAGAATATGGACCTTAATAACTGGAGGATTTATAGAATATAGAATATGGAATGTGAGTGTATACCAAATGTTCTGATTATTTCAAGCAAAAATATACTGATGTATGTAGTTTGAATCAATTTTGTATGGATATGACTTGAATTGCCCTTTTTCTACAACATTATTTATGGCAAATGCTTCAGTAGGATTCAGACCTCATGTACTAGGTGACGGTTTTATTTAGTGCTCAGAAAATATGTCAAAGGATTCCTTACTGTAGGTGTACTAAAAACTAAAAATGATCAACCAGAGATACATTTGCTGTCTTTTAGATGTTAATAGACATTGCAGTTCTTGTGTTGTGTGGCCAGCTGCTAGAACCTCTTTGGGGAGCACTTGAATTCTTGGTAAGTGTGGCATTCTTTGTGATTTTCTATACAAATATTGATAATAGAAGTCATGTCACTGCTGCATGTGTTGGAAACAAGAGTCTTAATTTCTAGTGTTGGACTAAAAGTTTGATTTCTTTCTCTCCTTTTTGTAGAAATTTTTTTTGATCTTGGATATAGGAACATCACTTATTACATCAGCTGTTTGTGTGATAGCATATGTTGCAACATTTGACACACATATGTGGTAAGTCATGTATCATTGGCTCCTATTGAGTTCCTTTGTATAAGACAGAAAAACAGGGTAAAACCTCAGACCTAATTGTGTGTAAATTGCTTTTCTTACACTTACCTCCTTAACTTTCATGCTTGTCTTTTGTTGGATTTTCTTAACAACAAGAAGTTGGTTTTAAGTCCTGCCTTCCTGGGTTGTTCTCCTTTAAGTTCTCATTTGCTTCTCTTATCATGGGATTTTGAGAGGGGTAACTTTCAACCACCAATGTATCTTTTTTCAATGTTATGAAACACAAGAGCTTAGTGTTTCAAGCACAGGACTCTCAATCAAGTACTAAAGGTGCCAGGTCTAGTTGAGGAATCTTTTTTTCTCTTAAAGTAGAACTGCATTATTTTTTACAATAGCACTCTTTGCTCAAAAGTATAAATGGTCATCAGTGAACTGTCAGGGTAGATTTTATTTGATAAAAATAATACTCAGGCTTACTAATTTTCCATCTTGTGGGGGGTGGGGGGGGATTGCATTACTTCAAGTTGCTCTTTGCTACAGGAACCAAGATGTGCTTTGGCCCCATAGGACTGTAAGAGTTATCTGGTGCCAGGAAATTATGGCAAAGATCAGGTGGTTTTTATTGTGAGAGTGGGAGTCAGAGACTGTCAATTTTAAGTTTAACATCTTTATTTCACTCCAAGGTTTTTACAGTTCAGTGGCATGACTGGTATTTTATCTGGGATGGTGGTTGCATTCAAACAGATCAAACCTGAACAGGAGTTAGGCTTGTCCTCAATTGGCCTTCGTGTTAAGGTAAGTTTTTAAGGGCACATTTACACAGGTTGGGAGAAAAGTTTCAAGTGGGTTTCAGAGTTCACCCTGTTTATAACACTTTATTTTTTTATGTATTTTGATGGATAATGACATTTTATTCAAATGTCAATGAAATTGTTGTTACATGTGGTGCAGCACCCTTTTTGAAAATTTTTGTAACAATCGTTGGTAGTAGCATAGCTAAATACAGTTTGCATACATATTGGTGTTTAACTAAACCATTTCTTTTGACAATTTATTGAGAATTGGTCTTATTAAATACAACACAGCAGAAGGGAAAAGAAGAGGTTATTTTGCAAAGTTACCTTAACCCTTTAACTCCCATGAGTGACCAACACAGAATTACTCCTCACATTATCAATACAATGTCAACCAGATAAGCAATGAGAATTAAGAAAAATATCAATTTGGGGATAATTACTTGATCCAATACTTAATTCTCTTGGAACTAGCACTATAAGAATTGTATGGTTGATAGTAAGGAGAATGAAACATTTGATCTGGGAGTTAAAGGGTCAAATAGTATGTTACAAGTGATAATAGGAAAATTTTTTACTTTTTATGATTTATCAATCTTTTTTCAGCATGTGCCATCTTTAGTTGTCATTGTATACAGTTTCCTGTGCATACTTGGCTTTCTTCCTGTCATTCTTTTGATCATGGTTCTATCAGGAACAATAATCGGCTGGGTTTATTTGAGATTTTATCAGCCACGTGGCAAAGGTGTTAAAGGAGACCTGAGTGAAAGTTTCTCCTTTGCAAGCTTTTTCCCAGAGGCTGCACAGTAAGTGAGCTGTTATAAGTATTTATATTTAATTAATCTGACTTTTAACTTACAGAAGTGACCAGTGTCAACTTCACCCTACAATATTTACAGATGATCCAGCTAAGATGTGATGAAAATTACATATACACATGAGGATTTTAAGGATTCTAGAGGTTCAAAGGTTATGGCCAGCTTATTATTAGTTCCCTGTTGCTTAGTGATGGATCATCCAACTATCATCTCATTTTCTTGTTCTACACTAGCAACAAATGTATTTTAATGTGAACCTCAAAAACCTTGAACACTTGAAATATTTCTGGAATAGTGATGTGACCTCAAAAAAAAAAAAATTAGGTAAAAGAAAAACTTAACTGAAAGCAGTAACACTTTTTTTCTTAACTGGTATTTTGGTTTGATCTCATGTCCAGATTGTGATTGGCCCAATCATGATAAACATTGTAGACACATTCCTGTTTTCTGGTTTTCTGGTTCAATAGCAGGTATTTTCTCTAAAGGTGTTAAGAAATAAATTTGAGTAATGGTTATGCTTTCTATTTTTAACACAGGCCACCAGTGAAGACAATATCAACAATTGTATTTAACACACTGATTGGTCTGAAAGTGTGCCACAAACCTATCAGAACATACGATGTGGGGGCGCCATCAGCCATAACAATCAGTTTACCAGGAATGGATCCAGCAGATGCTGAAAGGAGAAGGTAGAGTGTTTTTCTTTGACAGAAGATAGTGCTGGTTGAGACTTAGTGGTCAGTACATGAATCATGTTGAGGACATGGTTCTTGTAGAGTAAGGGTTGATTGAAATTGGGAAGAAAACAGGAAACATTTTGATAACTGGTGAAGTAAATATCTGAAAACTTATTCAATTCTTAAGTTCTTAACTCTATTAAAAGTAAGAGTAAATTCAAATTTAGACAGAGCTTTCCTATGTGCTGTAGGTATACTCTTTATCCACCAGCTGATAGGTATTGAGTAGATGAAACTGACTTTTTACTGATATAACATTAAGTATCACTTGGGAGACTGGATTTTTGCAATTAAGTGCTTGAAGAGTCTCTTTGAACTGTTTGGTAGAGGCAGGAGCCAAGGGCTTCATGTAGAGGACCTTGTGATGGAAATATCAAGCTTGCTCTACAATTGTAGACACAATACCATATTGGTTCTGTATTTTCCAGCAGATTTCTTATAACTCTCTTGAACATTACTCCATTTCAATCTCTAACTTTCAGAACATTCATCTGCAAAATCTTGTATGAAGTTGTTGTGAACACCTTTTTAATCGAATCAAAAAAACTGACAGATGTCAAAGACTGTACTTCAAATGCTTCCTCGTTTTCCTTTTTTTTTTTAGACAAAAGGCGCTGAAAGCTTTAAATGAGAGGCTTCAAAAATTGGAGCAGACCTCTAGTTGGCCTTCGCTTGATGGACCAGAAGGAAAAGACAGTCCACAAAGTCCAGGTGCTGTGGAAGAGGTACCTGAAATAGTGGTTGATCAGGGCACATCAAAAAGGACCGAAGGAGTGCCAAACAGTTCAAGTGTCCCAACGTAACAGATAGAATTTGCGCTGGGTAGAGTTGTTCAAAGCACAACTGGGTTTAATTCAGGTATAATTGTCCCGGTAACATATGCAATAAACCCTGGAATAGTGCTAGACAGCTTTTGATCAACCTGGCTCAGCTTTTGTCGTCGATTCAACGTAAAATATAAATAATTCTAAATACTCTCTGAAATTGGTATCAAGAGCAACTGATATACTCCGCTCTGGATTAGGGTAAAGTCACTAGTTAGGTAAAATATGCAGACACTGCAGTGAGGATAAGCGTTTAGGTCGGTTCTCTCAAAGAGAGACACCTAAGTTTAGAGTCATTCTGCATAGCTATGAATCTTGCTGCGCAGCTGGATGTACACATTTTAGAAGAGTTATAAATTATATTGCTGACTGAATGTTCATTTTGTCGGCGAAGTAATCTATTTTACGAACCGGATGCAAAGAGAAAGACCTGTGGCGAGCTATCGGTTTTTGATAAAGCGTTATATGTATAATTTTGTCTCGTTTACAGTGTTATTGAATTAATGATCGTTTCATTAAAGCTATGGTGTGGTGGTGGACCGCTTTTTAATTGAGTGTCGCTTGAACGAAACTGAAGAAATTACAGCAGCTAGTCAGAATCAAGGAAAATAGTACGAGGAGTCATTGAGACCTCAGGGTAAAAAGAGGCCAATTGCCGGAAGTGCGGGAAAACGCAGACGACCAAGGTTTAGTTTTGTGTGTGATTGGTTGAGAGGGTAGTACGAGTTTTCTCGAGAAATCACAAAGCGAAGTCAAGGAAGAGCATTGCCCGGATGACTTTCGACAGTCAATTGAAAATTGCCTCACTCTAATTTTTGTTCGCTTATTTATGTATTTATATTTTATGCACGAATTATGGAATAATGGGAATCTTTCGACGATAAAGAACGTGGCGAAAAAAAAAAAGATGAACGGAAGTATAAATGTAAACGAATCACAGCATAGTGCCTCCCTTTCACGAGTCATTGATACTCTGCCGAGCTTTTCCTTGGAAGTGTTTTGTAGTTTCAACAATTTTAGAGGAGGAGCGCTTTCTGAAAAGCGGTGCTCGTATTTTCACGAATTCTTACAACCAAGTCCAGTTTGTTGGGACATGCGGATGTGAAAATGCGAAAAAAACGCTTTTGATGTATCTATAAACATGATTTAATCATAGTTATAAAGAGAGAGAACAAGATTTAGTTCAGTAAAAGGAAATGTTACAAATAAAGAATGAAATTTATGTGAATTTATCAGAATAGGTATCTTCTAAATAAGTTATGTTGTGAAATGCTCAAATCTTAAAGGTTCACTGAGCCAGTTTTCAATTAATAATTGGTTCATACGTCAGCGTGCGTTCATCGAGATGTGAAGCACGCGGGAAGTTTGAAGAGCAAGAAAGAAGCTAGAGTTGCCCTCGGCTACGCCTCAAGCAACTCTTACGCATCTTTCGTGCTCTTCAAACTTCCCGCGTGCTTCATATCTCAATGAACGCACAGCTGACGTATGAACCAATTGTTTTATAACATTTTCAACCCGATGGTTTAAATGTTGTAAAGGGGTTAATATTCCCTCTGCTACGCTTCAGCGCGTTGATAATTTTGTTTCAGGAAAACATTTCTTCCTCATCAGCTGGCTCACAACTTTCCATGTGTAGCTTAAATTCCCGCCGAAGTCTTAACCAGTTTTTAATAGTAAAATCCCAGAGTAAAAAATGGCGGAGAAAATTTTTTTTCTCGAGGGATTTGTTTGCGGACGTCATGAGCGTGCACAATAGGAATATGAAGCACGCTCACGCAATTGAATTTTATGGAACAAATTTACGCGCTATGTTATAATGTCAGATAATGTAGTAGCTAGGAGAAATATATCGTGAATCTAGCCAATAGTTGTAAACCCGTTGCTTCCTTAAGTGACCAAGACAATATCTCCTTACAAATCAGTACAATATCAAGCAGGAAAGTTACGAGAATAAATGTGAATTAACAGATTATTAGTTGATCCAATAACAAATTCTCCAAACTAACATTATAAGAATTTTCTGGTTGACAGTTAGGAGAATTACCAATAAAATATTGTGATGGAAAGGGTTAAGTGACAGTTTTAAGCGATGGACCGTGAAAATGAAGCGCTAAGCCGCTAGAGGAATGGGAAAGAATATCATTGCTTCTCATCTGCGCACCTTGATTATCGTCATTGGGTGCTCGAAATCCGCCAGCTACGCAGATGATCCTAGATGAGGAAATCTTCACCAATATGATTTGATCCGGAACGAACGAGCAAAAGTAAGCACAAGGCAAAGGAGGAGTCGCGTGCGAGAGGATGCACTCCTCGTCTTACTCATGAGAAGCCTCACTTGCTTTCCTCGACTCAATTGAAGTGCAAAAAAGAAAATCATTTTAAGGCCTGGTTTATGAAGCAAGAAAAAAAGGGGGAGCGGCAGTGATAATAGGTTACAAATTATTCTTTACAGGAAAAAAGTGTTAAACCGATTACGTTATGAGGTGGTACACTGAGATCTAGACATCATGGGTGTCATTGTATTTTAATTGGAGAAAATAACTGGACTAAACTTATTTGAAGGCTTTTGGGACTTTGCCCATTAATGCTTGCTTTCTCTGGTGGTTTATCGCTGAATTTCCCTGGCACAATCAAGCAGAAAAAAGGCCTGAGTATGAGTCACATTTAAACTAATTTAAGTGTAGTCAACAAAGTCAAATGGGTTCACGCTCTGATTGGATTACTAAAAGGTTTGCCTGAAGCGGTTTCCTAATTTAATAGCTCTGAGGTTCACTGAGTCTAAGAGTCGTTGGTCGAAATCAATTTGAGTGAACGAATAAGTGGCGTTGGTAACTAAAGTAATGTATTTCAATTTGAGTGAACGAATAATGGCTGAGAGATAAGTAAAACCAATGCAATCGATCGACAATATAGTCCAGATTACTTGCGACACTCGTTTGAAAACTGTTGTTCCACTGTGTTGTTCCAACAATTCGCTGGACTTAAAATCGTATAACGTCTTTATTCGATCTCATGAAAAGGAATTACATGATAAGTAAGAAATCTAATTACGAAAGTTTCATAAAAATTGCATGGAAGAGGACCAAAATAAAATCACTTAGAGTATAATTGGCGTTTTCCAGCCAAATTGTTTTCCGGTCAAACGATAACATGCGGGTCAGGAAACAGCTTTTTTAGGCGAAGAAAACGTGCTCTTAAACCGAACGCACAGCCAAAACTCTTTGATTTATGGATCAAAGGTTAATTTTCTGGTTACGCCTTGACCTTTTAATCAGAAATCAATTATTAATCAATTGTAAATCAACGTGTTAACTTGAACAGGAACAACTATTGTCATTTAGTCAACGATGCATTATCTTTATTGGTTTTTTTTTTCAACGAAATCACATTTGAATGACAAAGATAATTGGAAAGAGGGTTAGGGTTTGGTTAGGGTGGCAGTATTCATCAGTTCGACCCTCTGTTGTTAGACTGCCTACAATAGAATATTGTTTATTGTTAGTTTTACCTGCAAAAGATAATCTGAAATGCTGCAACCTTTGATCACAGTACACGTTAAAGAGTAATCCTTACTCAAAGCACAATACACCGGCGCTCAGTTGCTACACTACAGGAGGTTCTCAATAAAAACTCAAGCGGTGACAATGAGGTGTATTATGATAAAAGATGTGAATGCAGACAAGAATTTATTGTTTATTTTCAGTTAAACTACATCTTTGCAAATTAAACTCCCTTTGAGCAAATATCTCCTTATGATTACTCTCTTTCAAAAAGAAAGATTATGAAAAATAACTGGTCACTTGAAGGAAATGGTACGTAATCTAAGTGAAACGATTTGTGTGGCTCTTTAAAGAATATAGGATTTTTATGAATTATGATCTTGGATAAGCGGAAAAGAGTTAATTGGCTATCACCACTAACTATTCGTTTAAACGGTTGAAAAGATTAACATGTCAAAGCGATAAGCAATCAAGGCCTTAAGCATACCTGGAAAAGGAAAAAGTGTTGAACACGAACAAAAGTAGCTACACATTTGCGGTAAACAAGGAGAAATGAGTCTTTAAATTAGATTTAAGGGGTTGTACCATCATGATGTTCTTTTTCAATATTCCATTGTAGGGTTCACACTATAGCAGATTTATATGTACTTGAATAACAATAAATGTTGCTCACACAGTATTCAGTCTGTTAACTTTTCTCAGGTGTCTGTCTCTATGGGAGAGGTGGGGTATCTGAGAGGCTTCAGAGTATTCTTATCACCGGGAACAGGTGATGGACGTACTCTGGAACAAGCTAGGGACTGTAGACCTAGGTCTACTCCTTCGAAAGATAATGCCTAATTATATACAAAAGAAAGTTCAGACTACTACAAAGAATTCTCTCTACTGAATAAAAAAATTTTGATTACTCAGTTTTTCTGATTTAGTGGACATTTTATATGATCGCCGATTATTGAAAGACTGAACGCTGTTTATAATCGGCGCATGTAGTGGCTCTTTCAAATTAAAAAAAAACTGAGATTACCATTTTCTTGCACGTTTAGGTAATGTACCTTTCAACATACTACCAGTCTGATCTTTTCAGAGTTATTTTTTCAATTCACTAAGTTTTTCAGGCACAATGTAAATCTTTTACCAATGTTTCTGATGGGCCTGAATCAGTTCTTTGTCGAACCTCGGTTAAAAGAAGGAGAATACGGATTTTACGGATTTAATCCCTTTGAAAATAATGTTCAGTAAACACTCCGAAACAACTTATCCCGATTTTATCCTCTACCTTGGAAATAGAGACCTCACGTACTGTTACCATCAATTCATGCTGAGACTTGTTAAAATATTCTCATTATGAAATGATTTTACTATGATAGTTCCGACAAAATAAAAGACTTGCTTTACAGGTTTATGAAAAACCAAGCTTGTATAAAGCATTGTGTCTTATTTTTTTCTTGACAAAAACGTTCATATGAATTCTTGTGCGACGGCAGCTCTTCGAACGGAAACTAGAGGTAAATGTCACCTCAGCTTTGAACAGTTTATTTGCAGTGGCATCGTGGGATTCAAGAGTGTAATGAAACATTTCATTTAACGCAGATGAGCCAAGAAATGAATCGATAATTATCATGTTCATCTAAATGCTTGGGAAATAAAGGAAAAAATTAAAAACTCTAAGTACAGCGGGTACCTACTTGTCAGCCCAATGAACAAGTATCACCTTGAGATGCCCTTACCATGTGTAACACGAGGGTCTCAATGGTGTTAAGCCATAAAACGGTCAAAAAAGCTAGCCGTTAGGCGAAAAAACTTAACAAATTTTTACCTGGTAGTCGTAAAAAAGCCAAACCGCAGAAAATTTATTACTTTAATCACAGTGGAAAGGAATGAACCGTTAGCCGTAAAAGCTGTCACTCCACTGAAACCTTTTAACGCGTGTAGTGACCCTTGTACTCCGTGATTGCCCGATTGTCGTGTTTATGAGATGAAAAGCACTGTTCTCTTCTGCATTGTTCGTTGAAAGCTTAATCTATGCAGCGCAACCGCCATAAGAAAGATAAATCTTCGACTTCCTGGTAAATTATTTATCCTGTGAAGATCTGGTACTGTCGGTTCGCACTTACTTAACTGGCTAAAACTTAATGACAGTGACCAGTCTCAGTAGAAGAGAAGTACTTTTAGGTTTCTGGTAATACTTGATGGAGAGGAAGGTCGTTATTAGGTAGCCGCAAACAACCAGAAGGAGTTTATTTGCCATCATTATCACCCTCTTCTTGAAAGTCGTTTTATTTTTACTGAAGCGCTTGTCATTTTACAAAAAGTACTAATCAGACGTAAAATGAAGTAACTTTAACATAAATAATCCGGAGAACTATGTATAGGTGTGGAAAGTGTATGAACATTACGATCTTTGGTTAAAAATCATGCTTGAAAATTGCATCGGAACTTATAACAACTGAGTTACGCCCAGTCTCTCAAAAGGCACTCCTTGGTGCTGGGAAAGCGTTTGCTTAAAGTAATAAACCACGTAGATCTACTAATTATTGATATTTTTGCTTTATAAGTCACAGTAAAGAAAAAATACATAGTAAGAAAAAGTTTCCTGCTTCAAGCAACATACTTCACGAAATCCACTCGGTCATTCATTTTCGTTTTTGGAACTTGGACTAGAAATTAGTCTCTCATAACAGAGCTACCTTTTTTTTCATGATATCCAGAGTACTCGATTGACTTGTTGTATATTT